CCTCCTCCTCCTCCTCCTCCTCCTCCTCCTCCTCCTCCTCCTCCTCCACCTCCACCTCCTCCTCGCTCCTCGCTCCTCCTCCTGCTCCTCCTCCTCCTCCTCCTCCTCCTCCTCCTCCTGCAGCTGCAGCTGCAGCTGCAGCTGCAACTACACAACATCCTAACTATGGCGTTTTCTTCTTGTCTATCTTCTCTCTTCTTTCAATCATTCAACCTTCCCTGCTGACTCGCTCTTGCCTCTCCTTTCCTCCCCTTCCTATGTCTCCCCCTCCTCCCCTTCCTATGTCTCCCCCTCCTCCTCTCCCCTGTGTCTGCCTCTCCCTCCCTCTTCCTCCCAGGCTCTTACTTGCTCACTTGCGTTTCCTCCCAGTTTGTTCGCGAGATTGCTGAAGATCGCAAGAGCTTCGAGGACGTGAAGCAAAAATTCACTACTTTCCAAATCGACTCCCACCGCGTCGATAGCAAAGCCCCGGAGTCCTTCAAGCGCCGTCCTCATCCTCCTCCTCCCGGTCCCCTCCTCTCCCTCTCTGTCTGTCCCTCTACCCCCCTCCTCCCGCTCACTTCCCTCCTCCCAACCGCCTCCCTCCTCCCGCTCACTTCTCCCTCCAGCTGTTCATGAGCTCACTCTCTCTCAGCCCCGAAGCGGCTTGTCTTCTTCTCCTGGTGGTTCGAGGAGGCCGTGAAGAAGTACATCGAGCTGAGGTGGAGGAGAGCGAGAGGAGATGAAAGTAGCTGACACCCCCCCAGGTACGATATGGAAGCCAAGAATTTTCAGATCATTCTCAACAAGAGCGTCGCCCTGAGGGACGTGAAGATTGCAGGTTCCTCTCCCCTCACCCCATCCCACTCCATCCCCTCCCCTCCTCTTCCCTTCCCTCCCCTCCCCTCCTCTCTTGTCCTGTCCCCCTCCCTCTCCTTCCCTTCTCTCTCCTTTCTTTCTCTCCTCCCCTCTCCTCCTCTCCTCTTTCTGCCTCGTGTCCTCACCATGTTTCTCTCCTGCTTATCGTTTTCTTAGGACGGGACGGTGAGCAGCTTCAGTGTTGGGATCTCTTCGTGGGGCAGAAGATCGACGTGCTGGGAAAGCCGACGACCCTCATGCAGGCGTCACATTCGACCCTCATGTGGCTGGAGTATCACTCGAGGAGGCTGCTCAAGAAGGTTAGAGCGAGGGAGGACGAGGACGAGGACGAGGACGAGGACGAGGACGAGGACGAGGACGAGGATGAGGACGAGTATGAGGACGAGGACGAGGACGAGGACGAGGACGAGTATGAGGACGAGTATGAGGACGAGGACGAGGACGAGGATGGGTGGTGGGGTTGAAGGGAGAAAGCGAGGAGGAGCAAGATGGATGAAGGAACATGAGATGAGGAAGGGGAGGGACTGACGAACTTTCAGGCGCTGGAGATTGAGAATGAGATCATGCAGTTCAAACCGATCCCCGACATAATCCACCGCATGCTCCAGACCCGCGTATCCTTTCTCTCCCCTGCTGCTTCTCCCTCTTCCCCTCTTGACCTTTACACTGCCTTCGTGTGCCTAGTTTTCCACATCCTTCTCCTCCTCAGCTGCCTCTTCTGCTCTCCTGACTCTCCTTGTTTCCCTCTTCTACTCTCGTCCTCCTCCTCTACTTCTCTCCCTCTCTAACATTCTCGCAGAACTTGGCAAACGGGAACTTGAGCTTGCGCTGGATCATGCGGCACATCTCTATGCTCACGACGCAGCTCTACCGCATCAAACCGTCGGATGCTCACTGAACGAGGAGGAGGAGGCGAGAGGATGTAAATATGTTCATTGACAACCACGATGGAGCAAAATGTCAAGAAATCACAAGATTATTTACATGAGCAGCAGCATTGCCGGCCGCAGATCCATCGGGCAAAAGAACGAGAAGCCAGGGAGGAGCAGGGGGGGTAGGAGGAGCAGGAGGAGCTTGTGGCAGATTCCTGCTCAAGTGAGCACCTGGGAGGCAAGGTGGTCGAGACTTGCTCCTCTCCTCAGCTTCACTTCTCTCACTGCAGACCTCAGCCCACTTGCCTTCACTCGCAGGGTGACAAACGTCTCCTCCTCACCGCTCAACATCTCCAGCACCTCCTCAGCTGCCTTGTTCCTCACCGAGACATCGTTGATGGCCAGGATCACATCCCCGCGGTTCAGCTGCTCCGACATGGCGGCGGCTCCTTCGGGGGCCATAAGGAGGATCTGGATGCCGTTGTGCTCCTGACTGATCCCGACGCCGATCCCTCCAGGCGGCTTCCCCCCCGACGATGCTGTTCTTCCTCCTACTTCCGACCTGCGGCTCGAAAAGTCCATGGAGGCCCTGCTCCGAATCTTCTGTACTGCGATCAGATTCTCGTAGCGCTGCTGCAGGGTCTGCTGCTTCTGCTGCGCCGCTTCCAGCGCTTTCGCCACAGACACAGAGGAGCGACGGCTGGAGTTGGCCTCGTCCTCCTCCTCGTCCTCCTCCTCTGCAGCCTTGAGTCTGTCCTCCAGTTTCCGGATGAATTCCTTCCCATCCGAGATCTTCTTTGCGAGATCCTCCAGTTCATCCGCTGGGTCCCTCCCGCTCACGCTGCTTCTACTGCTCTCCTCGACCTTCACCAGCACAGTCACATGACATTTAGCAAGACCATGATCTTCACGCACCTTGACCTTCTCCTTCTTCTCTTTCATCCTCTGCGCATCAGGAGAAGGATCTGACGACCCTTGGTTCTTAGCCCAGTACATGGCTGAAAGATTCTGCCGCACGGATGCTTTTCCTTCTGTCGCTGAATTCTCCTCCTTCCCCTTCTCACTGGTCGAGCTTGCGACCTTGGACCGAGTGGCTCCTGCTGAAGATTGAGGCTGTGCGGTAGGAGGAGCACTCTTTGTGGTGTCAGCGCTTCCAGCAGGAAGAGGTACAGAGCTCTTGGAAGGTGAAAGGATTGCTGCTCGCTCCCTTCCCGTGCTCGGGCCTGCCGATGCTCCTGCTGCTCCTGCTCCTGCACCTCCTGCGCTCCCGAGTTTGGTCGCAGCTTTGTTACCTGCTGTAAGGATCAACAAGGGACAACACTCGGTCCAACTAGAACCGTGGGCATCGCCGCTGCCGATGGAGACGTAGGGAGTCTGAAGGAGTTGAAAAGATGATCAGGAGGAGGAGGAGGAGGAGGAGGAGGAGGAGGAGGAGGAGGAGGAGGAGGAGGAGGAGGAGGCGAAGCAAGGAGAGGTCTCACGGTAGTAATGTGCATCAGCGCCCGGACGAGGGAGGGGAAGCAATCGTTGAACAGGGAAATGTGAGGGAGCAACCCTCCTGCAGCAGGAGCAGGAGCATGTCAGCGACCAGCGGGAGGAGAGGATCTCCTGTTCTCACCGTACACGCTGTTGGACGATCTCGACTCCAGCGACTGCACGATCCAGGCAGCAGCTTGCAAGGTCGAGACGTCATGCGGGATCCCCAGGTAGCGCGAGAGCCATGGTATCTTCTCCTTGCTCCCGGGGTTGTGCTTCCAGTAGTCCGAAGCCACTCCAGGCAGGATAATCTCCTGCACCAGCACGTTGCTCTTCTGCAAATCAGCTCGCAGAGCCGTCGTCAGGCCTCGCAGCGCCCATCGTGCCGAGATGTATGCTGTCGCCCCTGCCCAGGAGGTGGAGCAAGCGGGACTCTGCACATTCATGATGATTCCTCCACCCTTGCGCATCATGTCTGTGATCACTGCTCGGCTCAGAAGCGCCGCCGCCATGACGGGAGCGTCAATGGCGGATTTGATTTCACTGTCTGTGAGTTGATCCAAGAAGTCCCATCGCCCTTGTCCAGCGCAGTTGACCAAGATGTCAGGTCCGAGGCCCTCGGCAATATCTCTAATCTTCTTCATCATGCTATCCACCTCAACTTCGTTCGAGCAGTCGCACGCGTAGGGATATGCTCTCCCTCCCCATCCCCTGCCGTTGATCGTCTCAGCCACCTCCTCCAACGCCGAGGCCGTCCTCGCAACCTGTTGCATCCCTTTAGACCAGGGGTCACCTAAGACCTCCTCCCTCCTCGTTACCAGGATGACATCTGCTCCCCTCGAGGTCAGCAGCAGCGCAAGCTCCCGTCCTATCCCTGCTGATGCCCCAGTGACGAGCACGAGCGAGTTTTCCAGGTGAACGCGCTTGTGGTTGAAGTACTTATACGCCAACCATCCAGCCATGGCGAACGGAATCATCTGGTCAACCTTTCAGAGAAATTATGCTGGTACCGATGAACGTACCTCAGTCACACGATCACTCTGTATGTATGAGGGAAGCTGCCAGCTCTGTGAGCGGGAAAACAGAGAAGAAGTTGAAATCATACCCGACCACATAGCTCCTTCAGCTGTCCGAAGATGCCAAAGGAGAGCATTCCCTACTCTTGACGTCAGAAACAAGAAACAAAGGCAGGCAGGCAAGCAGATGTAGCTGCAGTTAGAGAAGGGAGGAAGGAGTGAAAAGGATTCATAACGGAGGATATTTAAGTTCAAAGTGGAGGAAGGCTTGAATGTGGAGAGCAACGCGAGGAAAAAGGATAGGGAGGAAAGGGGAAGAAAACACAGGGATAGGGAGAAGGAGACGGAAGATGAGGAGGAGGGAGAGGAGGGAGAGGAGGGAGCGGAGGGAGGGGAGGGAGGGCAGGGAGGGTGACAGAGCCAGGGATAGAGCGCCATAATACAGCGGACGCTGATGGAGATGAGGCGGGCTTGAATATGGAATCTGAGGCGGGCTGATAGAGGGGCCCACAAATTGCAGCTGGTCAAGAGACGGCAGTTGGGAGGTACAAGACAAGGTGCGATACCGTGACTATGATGGTTGGAGGAGGAGGAGGAGGAGGAGGAGGAGGAGGAGGAGGAAGATGGGTGATGATGAAGATCACAGTGTCAGGATCAGTTGTTTTGACGATCAACTTGAATTAGCTGACTGCTTTCTCTGAATCAGCTGACTTGTTTCTCTTTGACATCAGTTCGTTTCAATGGGATTTCACACATCAAGTCTTGTCATTCTAGTCGCATACATGTGCATTGCAAGGCTCCAAGGAACCCAGGGAGCCGAGCAAAAGTTAGCCATAGATAACACTTGGCTTCGAGCCGCAGTTCCGAACCTTCATGGCGGATACGCGCATGCAGTCGCAGCTGAGATCGGAGAGATCTTCCTACCAGATCACGAGGCTGATGAAGTTCTCAAGAAGGAGCTGCAGGAAGCTTTGTCGGCTGAAGACTATCAGCGTGCTGCCTCAATTAAGAAGGCAAGTCTGCATGTTTGAGCTACCTAGTGTTCAACATGGCCAGTGCTCTCTGAATGTCTGAACCTCAGGAGCTGGGAACTTCATCATCCATCAAAGTCTCGCGCAAAGTGTGGAATGTTACAGAAGAGATCAAGACTGCGGCATCACAGTCAGACTCAGTCAAGTTTGCAAGTTTCATCGCAGAAAAGGCCTCGATGACATGGCAAGCGTTGGTCGAGGGAAGCATAAAATCATGGCAGGTATGGCAGCAATCTTGCTCATTGTTCTGGTTTGATGCTTGATGGTGCAGTCAAGAATCTACCTGGCAACCGAGTTCGTGTATCATTGTCTCAAACATGCTTCAAGCCTTGGGGACAACAAAGTGATGTTTCGTTCGGCAAACACAGTGCCGAACTTCAGGTTGTCAGAAATGTACCCATCATTAGGTCTACCATATCATTGGTCACGTGAAAGGCAAGGCATGCCCCATACAAGCCAAAATTATCTACTATTCTATGGTTCAAGGTGCGTTTTTGATGGGCAAAGTGGTCAATCCTGTTTTTCATCTTCAGACCCAAGGAGAAAATATAATCTTGCGCCACGCTTCTTCTTCTCTTCGCTCTCATTCCCCCATATCTTGGCGTCAATGACGACCAACATCTCGGATTCTGATGTAGTAGTTCAGCTTTCAGGAGCGTCAAACTCAGTCTGGGCACTCGGCAAACACTCAGGAATGCTGCACACTCTCAATGCTATGACTGAGGACTGGAAGGCCTGGTCAGATTCACTTCCACTACTTCGCCGAATGTCTGAAGTGACAGACGATGCTAATGACATGTCAGTCAGCTGGCTGCCGTGGACTGATACCGAGTGGTTTGACAAGCTACTTGTCAAGGCTCACAACCTGCTGGCAGCAGGAAAGATCGACAAGACTCAGTACATCAGAGCGATCGAGAAAGTTGTTCTGTCAGGTCGCTTCTTCCGATCCCATGCGAAATTTGAGCGATCTATTGAGGAGAAGTGGATGGAAGCTTTCGTTGAAGTCTTGAACGACGAGGTTGCTCTCAAGTTCGTGACTATCTTGTGAGGCATTTTTCTCTGTTTGATCTCCTTGCAGGATCCTTGAGTGGAGTCTCATGAGCGAAGGTTTCAACGTCAACGTCAACTGGGAAGAGATGTCGCTTCTGATCAACATCACTGACCCGCTACAAGTCGATGTTCCTCCTCTACATGAGTTCATGAGGGCGGACGAGAAGTTGTCGTCTAGGCTCAAGATCTCAGAAGAAAACCTGAGACTCTACCCACACTGAGAAATCTAAAAATATCCAGATTATGATAATCGATCAAGTGTGTATTGACTGGAAAAGAAAGGCAAACCGGAGCAAACAAAGGAGGACGACCCCGCCTTCTCGATCAACTTCGGAAAGATATCATCTAATTATTACCGTTCACTGTTTCAACAAAAGATACAAAATTATATAACTGAGGGCAGCAAGGACTTTCTACCTTCGGCGAGATAGATTTTAACTTCTGCCTTTTACCGAGCCCCCTGGTCTCATGCCGTGCGGCGGCATGTGGTGGAGAGTAATGCTGGTCGCCATGGCAGGAGCAGCAGCTCCTTCCATGGCACTGATCGCTAGTCATCCTCAACTTCCTTCTGCCGCTCCAGCCGTTGCCTCTTCCCTTGCCTTTGCTCCCTGCTGTCTCGACAGGAAACCCAAGGCCTCTGCTCTCGAGGACAACAGAGCATGTCCTCGTCCTCGCCTCTTCTGGAGGCGTAGGAAAGACAGCCTAGTCAACATGGCAGGAGGAGGAGAGGCTCTTGCGCCGTCTGATGGCCCCCAGGGAGCCCCTCTAGTACGTCTCGCAGCCTACCTCACAAACTTGTAACTTCTCGACATGCTCTTGAGCTCGGCAACATGACAAGGGCTTGCAGGTTCCCCCTCTGGGTGCTAGCTGGAGGAGTGCTGGGAGTCACCAGACCTGCAGCCCTGGCATGGCTCAAGGGAGATCTCATCACAGCGAGTCTGGTAACTATGCGCCCCCTCCTCCTCCTCCTCCTCCTCACAAACCTTGACAGGCATTGACGATGCTCTTCATGGGGATGACTCTCGATGTGAAGGACTTCCAGCGGGTCATGCAGAGCCCGAGGCAAGTGTTCCTCGGCTTCATGTGCCAGTTCACCATCATGCCCTTCCTGGGCTGGTCCATGGCGAAGCTCTTCGGCCTGTCGCCTGCCTTCGCCGTGGGGCTCATCCTGGTCTCGGCATGTCCGGGAGGCACAGCGAGCAACCTGGTCACTCTCATCGCCAAGGCAGATGTCGCTCTTTCAGTGCTCATGACGACTGTCTCCACCATGGCGGCTCCCATCATGACGCCTCTCCTCACCTCCATCCTCGCTGGCTCCTTGGTGCCCGTCGATGCCTCAGGCTTGCTCATCTCTACCCTTCAGGTGAAGCTCACTGGCAGCTCATGTTCTCTGCTCAACTGTGCTCTCTTCTCTGTGCTCCGCTCTCCTTGTGCTGCTTTTGTTCTTCGATCCTCCTACCTTCCTCTCCTCCTTTCCCGCTCCTCCCCTGACCATGCACCAGGTCGTCTTAGCTCCTGTTGGGCTCGGGCTTGCCATCAACACCTTCGCTCCAGCAGTTTGCAAGATGGTGTCGGGAGTGACCCCCCTGTGAGCACCTGACCTGCTCGTGCTCGTGCTCGTCTCTGACGTGTGAACCCCACAGGCTCTGCGTCGTGCTGGTCTCTCTCATATGTGGCAGCGTGATAGCTCAGACAGCGTCCTCCTTCATCGCAGGTGCTCTTGTCCTCTGACTTGCGTTGGTTATGAGTCCTTATCTCAGCCGGTCTCCCTCTTCTCGGAGCTGTCATCGGCCTCCACCTCGGAGGGTTCCTTCTTGGATATTTTGTTCCGAGAATCCTCGGGTGAGAACTTGTGACGATGAACGATGCTTGCTTGCTTGCTTGCTTGCTTGCTTGCTTGCTTGCTTGCTCCTGCTGCTATTGATGTCAATGACGATAATGTTGATATCGATGCTGATTACGACAACGACAATCATATGGTGGTGGTGATGGTATTGTTAGTGCTTGTGAAGAGGAGGACGATGAAATGTCGTTGACAATATTTGGTAGCTATCCCGAACCCATTTCAAGAACAGTTTCCATTGAGACGGGAATGCAGAACAGCGCGTTGGGAGTGGTGAGATCCTTTGGTGACGTGGCAGCAAAGTCATCAATGTTGTTTTCCAGGTGCTGGCAACTCGCAACTTTGCGGATCCTCTGACGGCCCTCCCATGTGCCATCTCAGGTCAATTTGTCCTCGTCCTCCTTGTCTCTGATCTGACATCTCCTTCCCTTCACAGCTACTTGCCACTCTGTCCTCGGCTCCTCGTTCGCGGTACTGACTTGCCTTGTGCTCGTTGGCGCTGACTGGGGCTGCTGCAGGCGTACTGGAGGCTGGGAGGAAGAAAGAAGGAGGAGCCAAAAGATCCTTCAAGAGGTTAGAGACCTTGCAAGGACTAGCAGAAGTTGGCGTGATGAGCAAGTAAAGGTCTTGAACTGCAAGTTGACCTGATTGCTCCCTTGTGTTGTCTCACATTGCCATGACACCTTAGACTCGCCCCTCTTGCTTGCGTCTTGGACTAGGCAGATCGTGATGAGAGGAGAGATGTTGTGGAGAAGAAGCTCAACCCCGATGTTCGCTGCAGAGTCTCTGCCCTTGAAGCCTTTCGCTGACCCGTTTCGCTCTTGTCTTCCTTTACCAGGGAACGTCATCGGCGGCTTCGTCAACGGCCTCGTCAACGGGATCCAAGGGACGGCCAGAGAGCTGCAGGTCCAGCTCAGACTTTTCCGATCTGTTTCCTGACACCCTCCCTTGCAGGCGCCCTCCCCTGTCCTGATGCAAGAGTCGAACCAGCGCCCGAGGAACGTCTCCTCCTCCTCCTCCTCCTTCCCATCCTCCTCCTCCTTCCCATCCTCCGCTTCCCTTCCCTCCGCCTCCTCTCCCTCTCCCTCTCCCTCTCCCTCTCCCTCTCCCTCTCCCTCTCCCTCTCCCTCTCCCTCTCCCTCCTCCCCGACACCGGAGGAGGAGGAGCTTGAGACCATGAGGAGCGCCCTGCAGTCACTCGCCTCCAAGATCCAAGTATACGAGTCAAGGTTGGGGATAGTGGAAGCAGCGGGACAGGAAGGACCTGAAAAGTCTCCCGAAAGTCAGCGGGGGGAGCAGGCAAGGGAGGAGCCGAGGGCAGCGGAGCCTCCCAGAGCTAAAGTGATGAAACGAGGGGAAAAGAACGACAAGAGGAAGCGAATGTTCCTAGCAAACATCCTGCGGGCACCGCAAGAGTCCGACAAGTCTGTGTCTGCTGCGAAGAAGGTCGTGGTTGTTGTTGATGTCGTCCATGATGATAATGATAATGATAATGATACTGATGATGATGATGATGATGATGATGATGAAAGTGGTGGTGGTGGTGGTGGTGGTGGTGGTGGTGATGATGATGATTATCATTCCATTCTTGACAACTTCGAAACCATCCAGGCAAAGGAGAACTTGATAAAGTTCAAAGATGGTCTCTACTCTCAGCCTGAGCCCGAGGTGACAAACTCACAAGACTGCAATGAAGAGATGCTGACGATGACCAAAGGAAGCGACAAGAACGTCTCAACCGCTCTCATCATATGACGGATTCAGAGAAGGTGAGCCAGAGAGGGACGAGCTGCAAGTTTGTGAAGGGACTGGCAGCTGCTGAGGCTTCGTGGGATGTCAAGAGGAGCTTCAAGAGCTCGTGGAGGAGGTATATCCTCCTCTAGCTGTTTTCTTCCTGACCACCCCCTGCAGTCGGGGGCTCATGAGAGCAACGAAAGAGTTTGAGGACGCGCGTGCAGAGATGCAGGGCAGCCCCATGCAAGTGCTGCTGGGGTTGTTGCGGTCCGCCGTCTGCTTTGTAGTCCCTTCTTGTCGTTTTTGGGGAGGATTCTTATGAAGAGACGACACGAGCTACAGCAAACATGTCACATGACGGAATATTCTTTTATTACAACCTCAACGACTAATCATTAAACCTGATCCATGAACTTGAACAGGTGTTGAAAACTGCAGAAGACCAAAACCTCAACAGGTGTAAGGCGTTTACCAGGTGTTCAGCTCGAAGCTAAACACCTGTTGAGGTTTTGGTCTTCTGCAGTTTTCATCTTCTGCTCATCAGCCTTGACTCGCACGCGCACCTCCCGTGTCCTCACCTCCTACCTCATCCCCTATGCCCCTGCTTCCATCATGGCTCCGACAGCCCCAATCGTCCTCTGTGCGCTCAAGGGTACCACGTGTTGTGAAAGCCAGCAGCTTAGCGCAGTCCTATAAACGCCCCTCCTATGGTACATCATCAAGTCTACAGCTACACCCTGCTCCCTCACAGCCGCATCTCTGCTCCCGTCGCGCTGATGATCACCGGTCGCTCGGCCGCGCTCTGCAGCCGTGCAGTACTCAAGAGCCTCCAGCTGCTTCTGCTCTCGTCTGAGCTCAAGTCGATTAGTGACCATGCTGTCGAGCAAGCCCGCCCCACCGCAGGAAATGATCACCTTTCCTTTTTTTCTTTGTGGCGGGATGTAGCCCTAGTGCGAAGATGGGGTGTAGTTACTCGGGTCAGCGTCAGCAGGAAGCCGATGGCTGCGCTCGAGCAGGAGACACGAATGCACTATCAGTCGACAGCAGTGAGAGAGATGGTTGCTAGTGAACGGCAATCTTCGATATCTTGTTTGGCTTGACCTGAAGAGTTGCTCAAACTCGAAGGGCCTCAACTCTTTGGAAGTACCACCGATACGATGCACTCGTTATGGTTGCTGCTCTGTTTGCTGTCAACCGTTTCAGGACTTCAAAGACCCTCAGTGATCCGCTTGGGAGGTCTGTATGCAATGAGCAGCGCTTATGAATACCCGCATTACATCGCTTCGAAAATCTCTCTAGAATTGATCAATCAGGATCCCAAGCTGCTCTCTGGAACTCAACTTGAAGTCGATTATCTAGATGTGACAGCGCTTAGAACAATGCAGAACAACAGTGTAGTGTTTGACATGCATAAACTGATGGAGGATGTATACTCGCTGATACTTGAACATGCACTCAGCAACCGCAACTCGACAGGTTCTGCTGTTGCATTCGTTGGACCATATCGAAGCAGCGACTGCATGCTGATCCAACCAATCTTACGATCTTACGATATATTTGCTCTCAGCTATTCAGCATCTAGTCCTGCATTGTCTAACAAGAAAGAATATCCAAATATCGGGCGAATCTCCTTCCCCGACACAGTCCAAGGGCCGAATCTAGCCGAGCTCATCCTCTACTTTGGGTGGAAGCACATCCAAGCCATCGCCTGCAGCGATGCATTTTGCCAAGGTCTTCAAGATGTCTTTCTGGATACGATCAAGCAAGATAAGTACAGAGATATTCAAGTGGAGCATACAAGTAGCTGGGAGTTCGGGGATCTCCAAGGGACACAGAACTCATTGATGCAAGTCCGCAACAACTGCTCGGCTCCCCGCGTGATGCTTCTTCTCCTCCAGGCTGACCAGGCACAAGCTTTGTTTGAGATAGCAAAGAATGCTGGAGTGTATGATGAGTTTGTTTGGATAGGGTGTGATGCAGTGACGTCATCGCTTTCAAGCCTTCCTTCGGGCTACATAGGCCTCAACATCGCGATCGATACCACGACAGACTCGTTCATACAGCTGAACAACTACTGGAAGAGTTTGGACCCTGTCAAATATCCTGGTTTCCATCTGCTGGAGTATGACCCATTCCTTTCCATGTCGCACGATGCCTTGTACACGTATGCGTTGGCTTTGGAGGACATGTTAGGTAGAGGTGGCGATCTCGGCAACATTTCCGATCTCATTCACTCCCTTCGGTCCGTCGACTTCATTGGAGCGTCAGGAAGAGTTCAGCTAGATGCGAACTTGGAGAGTCCAAACGGCAGGTGGCATAGAAATGTCTTGTTTTTCTTTTCGATACTCTTTGAATTGCAACATTGGTTGAGCAGTCTTTTCATTTCTTGTAGATGTCCTGGAATCGCTTCTAATGACGAGCTAATCTTTTGCCAGGTATGACATTATCAACATACAAGGAACTGCATCGAAGAAAGTAGGGAAAATCATCAGCCACACCTTGACTATGTTTGACTCGTACACTATCAACGGCAGCTCTCCCTCCACGATCCATTGGCCACGGGGAGGAAAGAATCCTGCAAACGTCTGCAAGAAATATATCAATACAATCCTCCTCCTTCTTGTCATCATCATTCCAGTCATGCTCATCTGCGCAGGAGTAGGGTACTGCTACGTGCTGCGCAAAGCCGCAGAAGCAGACTCTGTGTGGCTTGTCTCTGCGAATGAGATCGAGCTCGAGGAGACAGACGAGATTCTCGGGCAGGGAACCTACGGTGAGGTGATAAGAGCTAACTTCAGAGGGACTCCTGTAGCAGTCAAGCGAGTGGTTGCGAGAAGAATGAAAGGAGCGGGAGGAACAGGATCGTCCTTACGATCAGGATCTATGGAGATTGTTAGTGCAAAGCAGGATGCTAACGCTTCTCTGACAAACTCGAGGGAGTCCGGCCGATCCTTGTCCAAGAGATATGAGATCAGGAAAAACTTGGTCAAGGAGATGCGGATCCTATCAAGACTGAGACATCCTTGCATTATCACGATCATGGGCGCCGTGATTGACTCTAAGATGGACCCCCTCATAGTGTTGGAGTTGATGGAACTTGGCTCCTTGCATTCTCTCATTCACAACCAGACATTGTTGCTCGAGGTTGACATGTTTGTCTGGATGCTCCTCGATGTCGTCCAGGGAGTTCGCTTCCTTCACTCTTCAAAGCCACAGGTTATCCACGGCGACCTGAAGAGCAAGAACGTACTGGTGGACTCTAATCTCAGAGCAAAGGTGAGCTGACGTTGGTTATCGCATCACCACTTGAGCGGGGAGAAGAGATGTCAATGATGGGAGAAAGAGGGATTCTTGGAATGGTGAATGCGATCTGCGTGTTACCCCAATGATCTTCGACCCCTCGCTTCTCCTTCCTCTGCCCCGTACTGATTTGTCCTGCAGGTTGCAGACTTTGGTCTCTCACTTGTCAAACGCGTAAGCTTTTGGGAGGAAGCATCGGAAGGAACAGGAACCATTGCCTGGATGGCACCAGAGCTTCTACACGGTGGAAACAATTCGCCACAGTCAGACATCTACTCGTTCGGCATCATTCTCAACGAAGTTTTCAGCAGGGAGGAACCATATCAGGGCGAAGATCTCAAGGCTGTCATGGTCGAAGTGATGAACCTGCAGCGAACAGAGATGAAGCGTCCTGTTATCGCCGAATGCTGCCCGGCCGATGTCAAGGGATTGATTAGAGACTGCTGGAACAAGGAGACAGATCTCCGTCCCTCTCTCGCTGAGATTGACCGGAGGCTCCGAGCCGTGGATACGGTTTCAGCATCTTTCTCATGCAAGACAAGGTTGGCATGCGAACGGTGGAAGCGAAGCAGGGGTGGAGAAGGCGAGGGAGGAAACCAAGGAGTGGAAATGGAGTGTGAAAGGAAAGCCTCGGATCTTATCTACGACGTATTCCCCACCCACATTGCCAACGCCCTGAGAGACGGGAAGAAAATCGAGCCGGAGAAGAAAGACATGGTATCCATCTACTTCTCTGACATCGTCGGCTTCACGGACATCTGCTCCAAGATCGAAGTAGAGAAAGTCTCCCACATGCTCGATCGCCTCTACACAGCGCTGGATCGCCTTGCCTGCGAACTCAACATCTTCAAGATCGAGACCATTGGCGACGCGTACATGTGCGTCTCTAACCTCGCCTCGGAGCAGCACGACCATGCTGCTCGTCTCGCCTTCTTTGCTATGAAGGCGTTGGAAGTGGCTGGTGCAACGCTGGTGGACGAGGAGCAGGAGTCGTTGGGGTGTGTGAAGCTCCGAGTCGGTATCAACTCGGGGCCTGTAGTAGCCAGTGTCATTGGAACCTCCAGGCCGAAGTACACGTTGTTCGGTAAGGAAGAAGGCGGGGAAGAGGAGGAGGAGGAGAGACTAGGAACAGGAGGATGGGTCCATATGGATCTGTAAACCTCGTTGGTCACTTGACTCTTGTTCAGGCGACACAGTGAACATCGCTTCCAGGATGGAATCGAACTCTCTCCCGCAAAGAATCCAGTGCACTGAGGTAGGAGCAGAGATGGTGGACATGATGATGTGACGAAACAGATGTTGATATTGCCGCTGCCACGACTGTGTCCATGTGCTCATGCTGAACTTGTGGTGGACAATTTCTATGAAGTTGAAGCAGATGATGACGAATGATGGATGCTGATGTTGATTTACATTGCTTGTTCGGTGGGGTGCATACAGCAACAATCATCTTGCACTTGCACAAAGACTCTTGATCCTTTACAAACCCATTCTCTTGTTGCCATCCTTCTCTTTATCCAATGCTTGCTCTGCCTACCACAGTATTGAGGATGATTCGCAGAGGACTGCAAACTTGATCCAAGAGCAACAGCAATCCTTCGAACAGCGAGTCTGCGTTCGTCGGAGAGGAAGTATTCAGGTCAAGGGGAAGGGCCCTATGGTGACGTACTGGATCTGCTCTGAAGAGGACATGATACCAGCAGCGAGCAAGGAGGAGATGAGCAGAGAACAGCACGACACTGATGTCTTGCTCGATGTTTGTTGATTACTGATTCCAACAAGTAGTTTGATTGATAGCTTGTCTCGATCAACGCTCTCTGTGTATTGTTTGCTCTTGGCAGGGTAAACAAATATTTGGGTTTGTTCACAGTCACATTGCGTGCTAACATTTACTGTTCTTTGCCCTCCGTTTGTTCATTTCATAGAAAGATCCAACCAGTAAATGTTCCCGAACGACCTGCGCCATCGAATCTCTGAGGCTTCGCACGGTTTCCAAATCGCCATACCCGCTAACACACAGCTTGGACCAGGATCATTCGGCGTGAATCATTCATCATATCCGATCATACAGCAGCGACAGACCGTCAACGAGCAAGAACAGTACCCTTCCTCCCTACCGCTAGCACCATGATCCTGCACCACAGCCATAGCCTTCAAGACATCGCCGCCATCAGGATGACTTCCATGCCCTCCTCGTCCTCAACACCGACAGCGACCTGTGCTCAGACGAGAGCCATAGCCTGGCCTCGCCGCTCTCCCCCTCGCCGGTCAGCACACGCAGCAAGGAGCTCGACCTCGCTCCGTCTGCCGACCATCAGCGCCGGCCCGCGCCCGGGAGCATGCCGGGCAAGCAGTGATCGTTCGATTATAGGGTGGACAGATCAACATCTATTACTATTCGACGCAAGGCTTCGTTAGTTCTTATTATAGCAAATTCTCACAGACTTTTGAGAGTCTTGGAAATGCTATACTTACCGATAAGGGCATATTGAGGATGAACTTGCCAGGGCAATCTTTTTATCATACCTACTTTTGCAGGGTGTTCAGCTATCCTTTTACGTGTGAGCTTGGATACGACGGCGCTTTGGGCGGGCCCTGTGATCTGTGCGACGTTCATTCCAACAAGGCCGAGATTGGCGATCTCCCCTGCACTGCCTGTGGCCTAGGAACCTACAAGCCTCCCTACGGCTCAGAGGCCTGCTCACCCTGATGGGAGCACGATACTGCTCGACAAAGGGACTAACCTGAGTGACTGCGACTGCCTGCCGGGTTATGGTCTGGTCAATGGTGAGTGCAAACCCTGTTCCCATGGCTACTGGAAGTCTACCTATGGGGCCAGCGAGTGTATCAGGTGCTATGGGAACACTACCACAAGGAACAAGGCCAGCACAAGCTCTGACAGCTGTGTCTGCAGCCCCGGCTGTGAGTGGAGAATGACGCAGGTTGTCGCTGGAGTGACACAGAAGACCTGTGAGACCAAAGTGTGGGGAAAGGTTCTTCAAGCAGCTCCCTGGGGATGGGCCCTGCTTCCTTTGCCTGCCAAATGCCTGGACCCAGCTCCTGCAGGATGCAACCCAGTGTGTCTGCAGGCCCAAGTATGATTTTGAGGGAATGATGTTGAGGACAAACCTACTGGACGGGAGTGAGTGCCATTTCTGCCCTCTGAACTCTTATGGACCTTACGGGAAGACCTATTTCAGTGGGATAGACACCTTGAGCTGCAAGCCCTCCATCTACGGGAGCTACAAATCCACCTATGGGATCCAGGATTGCCAGCAGCAGCAGCGGCGGCAGCAGCAGGAGCAGCCTCCTGAACAGCGGCGGCGGCGGCAACAGCAGGTGTGGCTTCCTCCTGAACACCAGCAGCAGCAGGCGTGGCTTGCTGCTGGGGTTGTTGCGGTCCGCCGTCTGCTTTGTAGTCCCTTCTTGTCGTTTTTGGGGAGGATTCTTATGAAGAGACGACACGAGCTACAGCAAACATGTCACATGACGGAATATTCTTTTATTACAACCTCAACGACTAATCATTAAACCTGATCCATGAACTTGAACTTGTCTATTGTCTCTTCTCGTCCTTCTTCTTGGTCGGACTTCTCCGCCCATATCGTGAGAACACACTTCGATGCAGCATGGCGAAGGCCCAAAGTGCAAACAACATCTGGAACCAGGTGACTGCAAATCTCCACGCGATCTGAGCAAAGTCATGCCGGAAGCTGATGAGGTTTGAGAAGAGAATTCCGAGGCAGCAGAGAAAGAAGCATAGCCTGAGCTCGAACTTGAGCTGAGAAACCTCATCCAGCTGACTCTGAAGCGTCTGCGAGTCGCCTCTGGGAAAGACTTTGTAAACTTCTGCCATGTGGGACTCGACGGCCTCTCGCAGCGAAGAGACTTCAAGAGCTGACCGCAGCGACACAAGCAGCGAGCGCAGGACGGACTCAACCCCAGCCTCAGCCTCCCCCGAGACGACCTGCTGACTCAACAACCCTCCTTCCGTCTTTTCTTCTTCTGACGTAGCAGGCGCAGCATCCTCCCTCTCCGCTGCAGCAGCAGAAGTAGGTGCGGCCTCCTCCTCCTCCGCCGCCGCCGCCGCCGCCGCCACTTCCTCCAGAGGGGCAGAAATGGCATCTTCATCGACGGCAGCAGGAGCAGCAGGCGCGGCCTCCTCATCAACATCAGCAGCCGGCGCGGCTTCTTCAACGACAGCAGCAGCAGCAGCAGCAGCAGCAGCAGGCGCTTCTTCCTCCCTGACAGCAGCAGCAGCCGGCGCGGCCTCCTCGACGGCAGCAGGAGCAGAAGTAGGTGCGGCCTCCTTCTCCACCGCCGCCGCCGCCGCCGCCGCCGCAGCAGCAGCAGCAGCAGCCTCTTCCTCCAGAGGGGCAGAAATGGCATTTTCATCGACGTTAGCAGGAGCAGCAGGCGCGGCCTCCTCCTCGACAGCGGCAGCAGGGACTTGTGCCTGAATAGCAGCAGCAAGCGGGGCCTCTTCTTCCACTACCGCAGCAGCCGGCGCGGCTTCCTCGACGGCATTAGCAGCGGCGGCGGGGGGGGCAGGCGCAGCCTCCTGAACGGCGGCGGCGGCGGCAGCAGCAGGCGTGGCTTCCTCCACGGCAGCAGCAGCAGCATCAGACGCGGCCTCCTCCTCGGCAGTAGACGCAGGGGCCTCTTCCTCTTCAATAGCAGCAGTAACAGCAGACTCCTCCTCCTGAACAGCAGCAGCAGACTCCTCCTCCTGAACAGCGGCAGTAAGAGCAGCAGCAGGCGCGGCCTCCTCCTCGATGGCAGGAGCAGCAGCAGGAGCTGCGGGCACGGCTTCGGAAGGATCTGTGACGTCACAGGACCCGGTTTGTGTTGCTGCTTCAAGCACGGTTTCATCAGTTTGAACCGCTTCCTCCACCGACTGAGGGCTCTCGACAGCGGGTTCATCAATGGCCGCCTCCTCCTCAACGGCAGCAGAAGCAGGCGGGGCCTCCTCGACGGCGGGGGCGGCAGGAGCAGCCTCCTCCGCCGCTGCCATCTCAGCAGGAGCAGCAGCCTCGTCGACAGCGGCAACAGTAGCAGGCGGGGTCTCCTCGACGGCGGCGGCAGCAGCAGCAGGAGGAGTGTCAGCGGTAGTCTCGACGGCAGCGTCAGAGGTGTCGATTTCTTCTCTAGTGGGAGCGACCTTGGCGGCCTCCTCGGGAGCTACTTGCATGTCAATCGCTTCCGTTTGTGTCCCTGCCTCCAGCAGCAACAGATCTGCTGCAACATCAGTGGTAGCCTCCTCGACAGCAGCAGCAGGGGTAGCCTCCTCCTCGACAGCAGCAGGGGTAGCCTCCTCCTCGACAGCAGCAGAAGACGCCGCCTCCTCTTGGATGGCAGCAGCGGATGTGGAAACCTGCTCGACAGCAGGAGCCTCCGCCTCGACGGCAGCAGCAGGTGCAGCCTCCGCCTGGACAGCAGGAGCAGGAGCCTCCTCCTCGATAGCAGCAGCAGGTGCAGCCTCCTCCACGGCAGCAGCAGGAGCAGCCTCCTCGACGGCATTGGCAGGAGCTAGAGCAGTCTCCGCCTCAACAGCTGGCGCTGGAGCTGGAGCAGCCTCCACCTCGACAGCGGCGGCGGCGGCTTCCTCGACGGCAGCAGCAGGTGTAGCCTCCGCCTTGACAACGGTAACAGGAGCAGCCTCCTCGATGGCAGCGGATGGGGTAGCCTCTTCGACGGTAGCGGCAGCAGGAGCAGCCTCCTCGACGGCAGCGGCAGGTGCAGGAGCAGCCTCCTCGATAGCAGCGGGAGCAGCAGGAGCAGCCTCCTCGACGACGGCAGCGGCAGCAACAGGCGCAGGAGCAGGCGCAGCCTCCTCGACGGCAGCGGCAGCAGCAGGAGCAGGCTCAGCCTCCTCGACGGCAGTGGCAACAGCAGGAGCAGCCTCCTTGACGGCAGCAGGAGCAGGAGCTGGAGCAGCCTCCCTGACGGCAGCAGGAGCAGCCTCCTCCTCGACGACGGCGGCAGCAGCAGGCGCAGGAGCAGCCTCCTCGACAGTAGTGGCAACAGCAGGAGCAGCCTCCTCGACGACGGCAGCAACAGGCGCTGGACTAGCCTCCTCAACCGCGGCGGCAGGCGGTGCAGCAGCCTCCTCGACGGCAGTGGCAACAGCAGGAGCAGCCTCCTCGACGGCGGCAGCGGCAGGCGCTAAAGCAGCCTCCTCAACCGCAGCAGCGGTAGCAGGCGCTAAAGCAGCCTCCTCAACCGCAGTGGCAGCGGCAGCAGGCAAAGCCTCCTCGACGACGGCGGCAACAGGCACAGCCTCCTCGACGGCAGCAGCGGCAGACGCAGGAGCAGCCTCCTCAACCGCAGTGGCAGCGGCAGGAGCAGGAGCAGCCTCCTCGACAGCAGCGGCAACAGCAGGAGCAGCCTCCTCGATAGCAGCGGGAGCAGCAGGAGCCTCCTCGACGGCAGCAGGAGCAGCCTCTTCGACGACGGCGGCAGCAGCAGGCGCAGGAGCAGCCTCCTCGACAGCAGCGGCAGGAGCAGGAGCAGGCGCAGCCTCCTCGACGGCCGCGGCAGCAGCAGGAGCAGCCTCCTCGACGGCAGCAGGAGCAGCCTCCGCCTCGACGGCAGCAGGAGCAGCCTCTTCGACGGCAGCGGCAACAGCAGGAGCAGCCTCCTCCTCGACGACGGCGGCAGCAGCAGGAGCAGCCTCCTCGACGACGGCAGCAACAGGCGCTGGACTAGCCTCCTCAACCGCGGCGGCAGGCGGTGCAGCAGCCTCCTCGACAGTAGTGGCAGCGGCAGGCGGTGCAGCAGCCTCCTCGACGGCAGTGGCAACAGCAGGAGCAGCCTCCTCGACGGCGGCAGCGGCAGGAGCAGGAGCAGCCTCCTCAACCGCAGCAGCGGTAGCAGGCGCTAAAGCAGCCTCCTCAACCGCAGCAGCGGCAGCAGGCAAAGCCTCCTCGACGACGGCGGCAACAGGCACAGCCTCCTCGACGGCAGCAGCGGCAGACGCAGGAGCAGCCTCCTCAACCGCAGTGGCAGCGGCAGGAGCAGGAGCAGCCTCCTCGACGGCACAGGTAGGCGCTGGAGCAGCCTCCTCGATAGCAGCGGAAGCAGCAGGAGCCTCCTCGACGGCAGCAGGAGCAGCCTCCTCGACGGCAGCAGCAGGAGCAGCCTCCTCGACGACGGCGGCAGCAGCAGGCGCAGGAGCAGCCTCCTCGACAGCAGCGGCAGGAGCAGGAGCAGGCGCAGCCTCCTCGACGGCCGCGGCAGCAGCAGGAGCAGCCTCCTCGACGGCAGCAGGAGCAGCCTCCGCCTCGACGGCAGCAGGAGCAGCCTCTTCGACGGCAGCGGCAACAGCAGGAGCAGCCTCCTCGACGGCGGCGGCAGCGGCAGGCGCTAAAGCAGCCTCCTCAACCGCAGCAGCGGTAGCAGGCGCTAAAGCAGCCTCCTCAACCGCAGTGGCAGCGGCAGCAGGCAAAGCCTCCTCGACGGCAGCAGCGGCAGGAGCAGGAGCAGCCTCCTCAACCGCAGTGGCAGCGGCAGGAGCAGGAGCAGCCTCCTCGACAGCAGCGGCAACAGCAGGAGCAGCCTCCTCGACGGCACAGGTAGGCGCTGGAGCAGCCTCCTCGATAGCAGCGGGAGCAGCAGGAGCCTCCTCGACGGCAGCGACAGGAGCCTCTTCGACGGGAGCAGCAGGCGCAGCCTCCTCGACGACGGCGGCAGCAGCAGCAGGCGCTGGAGCAGCCTCCTCGACAGCAGCGGCAGGAGCAGGAGCAGCCTCCTCGACAGCAGCGGCAGGAGCAGGAGCAGCCTCCTCGACAGCAGCGGCAGGAGCAGGAGCAGCCTCCTCGACGGCAGTGGCATCGGCAGGCGCAGGAGTAGGCGCAGCCTCCTCGATGGCACAGGCAGGAGCAGCTGGAGCAGCCTCCGCCTCGACGGCAGGAGCAGCAGCAGGAGCAGCCTCCTCGATAGCAGCGGGAGCAGCAGCCTCCTCGACGACGGCAGCGACAGGAGCCTCCTCGACGGCAGCAGCAGCAGCAGCCTCGTCGTCGACGGCAGCGGCAACGGCAGGCTCTGGAGCAGCCTCCTGGACGGCCGAGGCAGGCTCTGGAGCAGCCTCCTCGACGGCAGCAGCTGTCGCAGGCGCAGCCTCCTCGACGGCAGCAGCAGGCGAAGAAGCAGCCTCTTGGACGGCACAGGCAGGAGCAGCTGGAGCAGCCTCCGCCTCGACGGCAGCGGCAGCAGCAGGAGCAGCCTCCTCAACCGCAGCAGTGTCGACGGTACAAGCAGGAGCAGCTGGAGCAGTCTCCGCCTCAACGGTAGCGGCAGGCGCAGGAGCAGCCTCCTCGATAGCAGCGGCAGGAGCAGGAGCAGGCGCAGCCTCCTCGACGACAGCGGCAGGCGCAGGAGCAGCCTCCTCGATGGCAGCGGCAGGCGCAGGAGCAGCCTCCTCGACGGCAGCGGCAGCGGCAGCGGCAGGCGCAGGAGCAGCCTCCTCGACGGCAGCGGCAGCGGCAGCGGCAGGAGCAGGAGCAGCCTCCTCGACGGCAGCAGCAGAAGCAGGAGCAGCCTCCTCGACGGCAGCGACAGGAGCAGCTGGTGCAGTCTCCGCCTCGACGGCAGCAGCAGGCGCAGGAGCAGCCTCCTCCTCGACGGCAGCGGCTGGCGCAGGAGCAGCCTCCTCAACGGCAGCGGCAGGAGCAGGAGCAGCCTCCTCGACGGCAGCAGCAGCAGCAGAAGGAGCCTCCTCGACGGCAGCAGCAGCAGCAGCAGCAGCAGCAGCCTCCTCGATAGCAGCAGCAGCAGCAGCAGCAGGAGCAGCAGCAGTCTCCTCGACGGCGGCAGCAGCAGCAGGAGCAGCCTCCTCGACGGCGGCGGCAGGCGCAGGAGCAGGAGCAGCCTCTTCGACGGCAGCGGCAGCAGCAGGAGCAGGAGCAGGCGCAGCCTCCACGACGGCAGCGACAGGAGCAGCTGGTGCAGTCTCCGCCTCGACGGCAGGAGCAGGAGCAGGAGCAGCCTCCTCGATAGCAGCAGCAGCAGCAGCAGCAGGCGAAGTCTCCTCAACGGCAGCGGCAGGCGCAGGAGCAGCCTCTTCGACGGCGGCGGCAGCAGCAGGAGCAGGAGCAGGAGCAGCCTCCTCGACGGCAGCAGCAGGCGCAGGTGCAGCCTCTTCGACGGTACAAGCAGGAGCAGCTGGTGCAGTCTCCGCCTCGACGGCAGGAGCAGGAGCAGCCTCCTCGACGGCAGCGGCAGCAGCAGGAGCAGGCGAAGTCTCTTCGACGGCAACGGCAGAAGCAGGAGCAGCCTCCGCCTCGACGGCAGCGGCAGCAGCAGGCGCAGCCTCTTCGACGGCAGCGGCAGCAGGAGCTGGAGCAGTCTCCGCCTCGACGGCAGCGGCAGCGGCAGGCGCAGGAGCAGCCTCCTCCTCGACGGCAGCGACAGGAGCAGGAGCAGGAGCAGGCGCAGCCTCTTCGACGGCAGCAGCAGGAGCAGGAGCAGCCTCCTCGACGGCGGCAGCAGCAGCAGGAGCAGGAGCAGGAGCAGCCTCCTCGACGGCGGCAGCAGCAGCAGCAGCAGGAGCAGGAGCAGCCTCCTCAACCGCAGCGGCAGCGGCAGGCGCAGCAGCAGGAGCAGCCTCCTCGACGGCAGCAGCAGGCGCAGGCGAAGCCTCCTCGACGGCAGCAGCAGCAGCAGCAGCAGCAGGAGCAGGAGCAGGCGCAGCCTCTTCGACGGCAGCGGCAGCAGCAGGCGCAGCCTCCGCAGCAGTAGCAGCAGGAGCAGCCTCCTCGACGGCAGCGGCAGCAGCAGGAGCAGGAGCAGGCGCAGCCTCCCCGAAGGCAGCCACAGGAGCCTCCTCGATGGCAGCAGCAGGAGCAGCCTGCTCGTCGACGGCGGCGGCGGCGGCGGCAGCAGCAGGAGCAGCCTCCTCTACAGCAGGAGCAGCATCAAGCGCGGCTTCCTCTTGAATAGCTGCAGGGGCAGGAGGAGCCTCTTCGACGGGAGCGGTAGCTGCAGCGGCAGCCTCCTCTTGGATAGCAGCAGGAGGAGCAAGCGCAGCCTCCTCGACAGCAGCAGCAACAGGCGTGGCCTCCTCCTCAACAACAGCAGCAGCAGGAGCATCCTCGATAGCACCATGAGCAGGGGTAGCCTCCTCCTCGACAGCAGCAGCATGAGCAGCCTCCTCTACGGAAGGAGCTGCTGCTGCTGCCTCCTCGATGGCGGCGGCGGCGGGGGAGGCGGAAGCCTCCTCCTCGACAGCAACAGGAGCAGGAGCGGCTGGAGCAGCCTCCCCGACGGCAGAGGCAGGAGCAGCCTCCTCGACAGCAGCAGCACCATGAGCAGCATCCTGAACAGCGGCTGGAGAAGCTTCTTCTGCAGTAACAGGAGCCAACTGCTCTTCGATAGTAGCAGGAGCAAGAGCGGCCTCCTCGACGGCAGCAGCAGGGGACTCATCACTTGCAAGAGCAGGAGCAGGGGCCTGCTCAGCAGGTAGAGGGACGGCCTTCTCGACAGCGGCCGGGTCGGCCACTTCCTCGACGGCAGCAGCAGCTGGAGCTGCCTCCTCGGAAGCAGGAGCAGTATGCACCTGCTCCGCCGCCGCAGCAGAGGCCGCCTTTTCGACGGCAGGAGCAGGGACGGCTTCCTCCTCCGCAGGAGAATCAGCAGGAGCGGCCATTTCTTCGACGGCAGCAGCAGCAGGCGCGGCCTTCTCGACAGCAGGAGGCGCGGTCTGATCAGCAGGCGCGACCTCGACGACAGCCACAGATGCGGCGACCTCTTCTGCTGGGCTCTCTTCCTCCGAAGCTTGAGCAGCCTTATAAGCGGCGTCTTCAGGTCCGGGGTCCTCGGTAGCAGCGGTGGCTTCAACAGCCTCGGTAGCAGCGGTGGTTTCAACAGCCTCGGTAGCAGCCTCCTCTGTAGCAGGAGCGACCTCAGCAACGGCCTTAGAGGCGGCTTCCTCCACAGCCGGGTCGACCTCAGCAGTAGTTGAGGTGGGGTCAGCAGCAGATATCTTCAAGTTGTCAGCTTCGACGATTGAATCCTTCATCAGACTCAGACAATGCTTGTTGCTGGTGAGATCGACGGGCAATCTCCCCTTCTTGTCCTTTAACAGGAATGACTCGGGTGCAAGAATTTTCAAGACTGAGATCGTGTCTGGTTGCTCATAAAATGCCGCCATGTGCGCCGGAGTCCAACCGTCATAGTCAGGTTCGAGCAGGATTGTTTTGCTCAGATTGGCTAGAAGGTACAAGACTCGAGACTGACCGCCTGCAGCTGCGTGATGTGCAGGAGTTTCGCCGTCGATGGTCTTTGACTCGATGAGGAAGGGATGGTTGCTGATGATGTGATGCAGAGCTGCTTCATTCCCTTCGAACGACAACTCGTGTGCCAGAGTCGCACCGACAGCATGAGAGGCCAAGGGTGTCTGCATCGACTGCCAGTAATCATTGGTCAAGAAAGATGTTTCCGAATTACCGTCTGAGTCATGCTTGGTCACACCCAGACCTTGCAACACAGAGACAGATTCTGCGACGTCCTCGCTGGTGTTTATGATTGTGTCCTGACCTGATATGGCTGTTGTATTATGACTAGAATCTAGCGCTCCCGAAATCAAACTTTCGATTTGGTTGTCTCGTGTTTCCGATGCCCCTTCAACCTTCTCTTTTCTCTTGAAACTTGTATCCGCTGAAGAACTGATGACAGTGTCGTTCGCAACCTGAATGTCGCCCTTCATCTCAAGGTCTTGATTCTCAAAGATCAAAGTGCTTTCTTAGTTCCTGAGATTCGAATCGGACATTACCCTGCACAGCTATACGAACATATCAGGCAAAATGTAGACAAGAAGACTGATCACCTATCAGGAGACGACAGTGAGCAAAATTTGCAGGTTCCAGAGATTCCGATGGAGGACAGGCAGCTAACGGCAAGAGAGAGCCAAGAGGTCTTCAAGACGAATGAGATAGGGAGAGGGAGATGTTTCCAGGGCAGCAGTTCCCAGTAGACGATGGCAAGGAGGAGCAAGAGGAGGGTATAGGAGGTGAGGTTCAGGGAATGAAGCAACGTTCAATGTGAACCTTTAGGGCCGGTGGAGAAGGTGGGGTGGGTCACCCTGTGGGTGAAGAACAATAGGTCCTAATTGAGGGAGGGGTACTTGAACCTTGCGAAGGCAACCATGAGACTTAGGACCTCCCTCCCCTCTCCCGACTTAAAGGCTCTCATAGTAAATCAACGGCGAGAGAGCTTGTAATGAGGGGTGGAGCCTGGGCAAGCTGCGGTGTGCAATCAAAGCATTAAAAGAACATGGGTGGGGTAAAGTCAGGTTCTACTTCAGTAGGGTAGGGTAGGGGGAGGTAAAAAGTGAAACCGCCCAATACTGTAGGCCCGCACCAGAAGAATTGACCACCCTCACCCCCTTTGGCCCCCACCCCCACCCCATCAACTCTCTGGTGACAGCACCCATCCTCCCCCATAGTTTGTAGAGAGCACATCGTTTCCGGCAGTACCCCTACCCCTCTGTATGACATGTTATTCTTATGTCAACCACCGTGCCGGTGGTCGAAACGGCTGATCTGGATATGAGTCGTGTACACATCTAAAGGGGGGGTAGGGTAGTCCTTCAAGGTATTATCGGGGGTCCTGCACGGGGGTGGAACTACTATATTCGATCTCATCCGCGGGCCAACCACTGCCTCTAGCCCATACCTGGTACTAATTTTCAGTTAAATACCCCTCCCATCGACCGCGATGCACATCGAGGGCGGTGGTCATGCAGGGGGTATAAGGCAACGATGCAAGATCTATGACGCGCCATGGGGAGAAATTCAAATCCGAATTTTGGCGGGCAATCTGCACTGCATCCTTGCCATGAGCAAGACGACAGCAGACAGAGAGGAATGCCCTATTTGTAAGACGAGATACAGTACGAACAGTATTCGGACGATCCCTCAACACTGCATCAAAGCTTGTTCACGTTGTCGACGGGCTTTCAAAGACATCGACTTGAAAACTGTACAGGATTATGCAGTGTTCACTGACGCATTGGTGCTGAAATTGTTACATTTTCTGCAAAACATCGGGCACGCAACGTTGAAGATAAGCGACGCGGATGATAGCTTGCTACAAGTAGCGGCTAGTTATCTCAAGCTGAGCCAGCACACCATCAACACTTCTCATGTGCGAGCAAAGTTGACGCTTCTAGGTGACCTCTTTGGACAGAATGCAGAGGGCTTCAAAAATTGTTTCCTTCATTACTTCACCTCGTTTCAACAAGGAGCAGATGCCAAAATGCATCATGATCAATTCCAGCTGCACATAGACGCGCAAAAGCTTCGAATTCAAGTAAAGAATCATCGGCAAAAGCAAAAGGCATTGTGTAAGAAAATCAGACATTGGGCCACTTCGCACTATGACACTGTTGACGAGCTACAAAAGCAAATACACGATTATCACTCAAGGTAACCAGCGAGCTGGAATGCACCAGAGCACTGACATGCCACATGCAGGTATGTAAGGCCTGAACATATTGGCCAAGACCAGAACAGCAATATCAAAACAGCATTCGCTCTCCTCGCACATACAATGTGCGAGAACTTCAAGTCAATGCCATTGGAGGATAGACGTGATTTCATCCGAAGCATTCTTGAAGAGCATGAGTCTCTTGAAGAATCCAATGACGAAAGTCCTACTGCCAAGTGCTTTCTCACCATCTGCCATGTTGAAAGGGCGATGGATAACCTCCGTTCTGCTGAGCTTCCCGACATAGTTTCAGATGTCGTAATGTTCGCCAGTCAGGAAGGAGATGGCATGAAGAGCAAACACCCCATCATGCCATTCATAGTGAGCGACTGGATACGACAAGGCTTTCGAACAAAGGACACTAGAGGCATGCGATACTCTGAGCAAGTCATGAGTTTCGCTGCATCAATTTGGAATGTCGGCACCTCAGGTCTATATCGCTTGCTCACAGGGCCGGGGAACAAAAATACTGGAACTTTTGATGCGGACCAGATGTTACACAACTTACCTCTGCCATCCACATCCACTCTTCAGAAACGAGATAGGCATCTCATGAAACTGCATGGCAATGATAGGTCCAGAGTGTGCACATTTATGATGGATGAATTCCGTCGAATGAATCCTGAGCATTGTCAGACTGGAGTGAACTGTTGTGCGATCGACAAAACAATGATAAATGCAGGATTTTGTTCTGTGTTTGAGGAATGTGAAGCAGATCTGGGGGGTATAACAAGTCATGAACCTGACTTGGCTCAGCGACTTGACCTGCTTGAAGATCGCAAGGAAAAGTTTTGTTTGACAGGAAAGACAGAACACTATATCAGCGAACAGCTGGTTGGCATGTTGAGATCCGATCAACAGAGTGTGCATCAGAGGAAGAGTGATATGGAGCAAGCATACAAGAAGGTTCGAAATGCATTTGTTGCCAAGCATAGAACCGGAGGCGAATCTCCAGAGGATGTCAGGTTCACACCACATCAACGTTACCTCAAGACAGTAATTGAAGGCTGTGAACAGATGGATGTAGAAATTCCTCGATTGATAGGAAAACTGGAGGGAATGGCGAATGGCGATCTGCCTGTCAACGAATCAGAACTTCAAAACGAGTTGTACAAGTACAATGAGAAATTTTACAAGCATACAGTTGCTGAACTGGCTGAAGATGCCATCAGTGTGGTTGCACAAGATGGATGTGCGAGCACACCCCCTGTCCCCATGTACATTGGTTTTTCAACCAAAAGTTTAAGTGCCTCTGAAGGTCTTCGAATATTGGAAGCCGTTACAAAGGAGGCTCACGAGCGTGGAATTATTTTCAATGTCTGGTCTTTTGACGGCGAGTTTTCTTGCATATACAGGAATTACTACGTGAACAATCCAAGCACATTCATAACGGAGGTGAAGGCTATCAAACAAGAGGCCCAGAAGCTGAGCATATCACAGATATGCTCAGAGATCGCATCATACATTTCATGCGTATTCGACTTTGAACCAGCCATTACTGCACAGGAAGTAGAGAGAGAATGCAATTTGCTGAATATGAACCAATATGATGGACCTGACTTGTCCCAAGTGACAATTCGAACTCGATCTGGAATAATGCACATGAACACTGCAGAGTTTGCCCAAATAGAGAAATTCGTCTTGAGTTTGAGGAGGAACCAATTGATATGGCAGGTCCAGAGAGAAAAGAAATTGCAGTGTTCTCCTGCCACCAGAACTAAGGCCTGTTTGAACGAGATGTACAGCAGAATCCACATCTTCTGCCGACGGTATGGATATGATAGCATTATACAACAAGGGGTTGCAGAGAATGAAACAGCCAAATTCACGCCTTGGGAGCTCGAACGATTGATCACAGATGGATTGGAAGAATTTGATCCAAACAAGATTAGGTTTCAATTCAACGAGTACCTGTCAAACCCTGTTATCTCTCCAACCACGAAGAAGCTACTTTTCTTTGCGCCATGTATCAATCATTTACTGAAGAATGTCAGGCACACGGTTGGCTCGGGGAGAAACCCGACTGCACAGCAAGAGGCTAAAACATGGCATGCTGCGTACACTGATATTTCCAAGAAGAATTCGTCATGGCTAACGCAGCTGGAAGTCGATGGGTGCACGGACCCTCAATCAGTGGATATCATGTTAAAAATGTTCAGCAGCAAGGCCATATCGCTTCTGAATGCAGAGGGACACATTGAAACAGCAAGAATGGCAGAAGCAATGAACGGCCTTCACAGAGCTTTCGACGAGAGAGGCCTCACCAAGTCTGAAAGAAGAAATCTCATTCTTAGAGCTCGAACCTGGCTTCTAAGAGATGTGGATTGGATGAGGGTGGGCAAGAGGCACATGAGGGGGTTGTCATCTGTAACCTTCGAAGGACTGATTGTAGCCATGGACACACATCTACAGATACAGAGTTATTTGAGCAACAACAAAGGTGTGTTGGGTGAAAAGGAGTATGACTTCAATGCACGGACGCTCTGCACAGACAGCGTTGAAAACCTCTGGTCTTTGATAGGTCATTTGAACAAGAAAGATTTCTTGAGGAAATTCAACAAAGCATGCACTGAGCTCTCAAAAAAATTCGATCCCAATCTGCCTTTTGTGTATGACCACTCAAAAAAGCGAATCATTCTTAGCAGACCACGCGGGGAGAAGACGCTTTTCAACGCAGAGGAAGGAACACGGGACAAAGAGAATGAGTGCAGGTCCCAACCTCGATCTCGGAAACGTATACATACTCAATCTTTGGATACACGAGGAGGATTCACAGGACAAATGCCTAGATTTCAGGGTTTACGAACTTTGTCTGGTTGTAAGTCTACGGAAGAAGAGATAGAAAGGACAAAATGTCAAAAATTAAGACGTGTACAAAGCGAACAAGTATAGAGAATGACAATTTGTATGTATCTCTAAATACAAAATGTTTGTTTTGCATTGTACAGATTTTCATTCTTGAGATATTCATCCTCGAAACAGTTTGTCGCGGGATCGCCATTGCGATTCCCAACAAATTCTACTACCCCACCCCTGTAAAAAGGATTGGAAAAGTACCCGTCCTAATACCGGTAAAAGAGGAGTTCCACCCCCGTGGGGGTCCTGTGGAAATGACGGTGATGATGACCGGAGTACTTGGACCGTCGAGGTATCTCAGTGTGGGAACAGGGGGGGGTAGTACCCTACTGGAAAAGATACTCCCGTACTAGGTTCTGGGAAGGGGTGATTCGGCGTACAACGGTGGGGGTTGATAGGGGTACTTTCAGAGGATATATCTTTTGATGAATGAGATGCAAAGCTAGCTTTGGCAGGGCTTCAGGAATTCGAACAACGATCATCCGAGTCGGAAATTCATCACCGTGCCGCGGCGTGCCTGCCTGAGGCGGAGCGACGGTCGCCTCTGAGTCATCCCCCACCTAAGTTCCGATCGGACCGTCAAGAACGCAGTTCCGGTTCCGAAGTTCACAAAAGCCTGGCAGCGTCCGGGGACAGGTACGCACGCAGACGGCGGGCCAGTGGGCCGCCCGGCCGAGCCCGGCTCGATGACTCAGTGACCGTCGGTGTCAAACCGAGTAAAGTCCTGCAAGTTTCGTTGCCCGGCCAAATCGTCGTCCGATCGGGCCGCGTACCGGGTCGCGGGCGTCACGGTGGCAGGTAAAACTCAGCCAGCCCGCGGATCATGAGCCGGAATTTGCGGATATGCCAGAGCGAGTGGCAAGAGGGTGGGTAGGGGGGCGCGAAGAGAGTGTTTTGACTGAGATGGGTCGATTCATAGGTAGTTGATAGGGGTGGGTGTCCAGGGTGGCACTGGGTGGAAGGAGAACGGGTGAGGGGGAGGTGGGGTCTCGCAAAAGCCGCGGGGAGGAGGTCCGGGGTGCACCCCCGGAAGTGCGGTAGGAGTAGGGGTGAAGGAGGGAAGGGAGGGGGGTAGGGGGTCGGATGGCGGTAGTTAAGGAAACAGTTTGTTGAGGTTGTTGGAGCATTGCGGGGAATAGTTGATGAGGAGGGGATGGTGGGGGAGAGAAAGAGGGAGAGCGGGGGAGGCAGGGGTGAAGAACGAGACTGCGAGAGGTCGGAGATTTGAGCATGCAGAGAACGCGAAATGCTGACACGAGGTGTGATATTTAGACTGCAACTCAGGAATTCAGCATCGTGAGCCCCAAGCCAGGTGAGCGCGGGGCACACGGGGCGAATTTTGAGATTAATTAATGACGCAACATTCGTGGGAGAGGTGGAAAACAAGAACTAGATGAGGAAAGGAAGACCAATCACGATACAAGTGTAGATGGGATTCAAACCATTTGTCTTCTTTTCGGTTGCTTGTGATCCTGTCTGTCGGTAAAGGGGACATATTTCTCAAAGTGGAAGCACCGAGAGATTGCGTGATCGAAGGAGAGTCTGAGAGGGATGTTGGCTGACAAGGACACATTTGTTTCACTCCTCTAATGTTATGTGTTTCTTGTTGCAGTTCTACGGAGACTCTTGTTGCGCATTATTGGGAATGCATCTAAGAAGAGATGTATGATCTTGCAGTCGTGGGTACAATAGATGAAATTGGCAGAAGCGATTGTTGTGTATCTCGATTTTCAATGCCAGTGTACAAAGATTCATCAATGCAAACAGACAATTTCCTGAGAGTACTCTCATCTTCAAGTTACAACTCAATGAGTTGTACAAACAATGAAGGATATGAGAGCGATACGAGCGTCTTTCTGAGGAAAAGTGGCTTCAGTAAGAGGACGTTGGAAAAGAACATCGAGATTGAAAGACTACAAGAGAAGATTGTACATAGCGAAAGGCAGCACAAGGAATGCATTGCCCACTTACAAGACGAACTGACAAGATGCCACGCGAGGCTTCGAGAAAGACTTGCAACGGATGGTCAATTTGAAGAGTTGATGGGACTCGGGGGTCGTGGAGATTTTAGATCGTTTGGTATGCTGCGCGTCTACGAGAACATGGCATTGAATATACTATCTGTAAAGCCCAATTTTCAGGAGACTGTCTCCAAAGATGCTTACGCCATGCTTTTCTCCTGGTGCTACAAATCTTGGCTAACCCAGGACTTGGCTCGCAATATTGCCGGAGGAATACGGATTCTCTCGCGAGACAAGGAGCTTAAGAACGATTTACTCGATTGCGGTGCTCTCGAAGCTATGATTCAAATCATCAAATCTTTCCAAAAAACCAAAGCTTTTGCTGCTCTTGAGCATGCCTTGGCGTCAATATCAAATTTTTGTATCAAGAATTCAATCGCTCGACAAGTCTTGGTTCAAACAGAAGGCACGATATCACTTCTTTGGATGCTGCTAGAGGGTTCTAATGAACACTTTAACAGGTATAAGGATTCTCATCGAGTATGTCGACGACAATTATCCTCCCGCTGTCATCGAGAAGGCTTGCTCTGCTCTAGCCCACATGTCATGCGGGATCGGTTTGAAGGATGAAATTGCACAGCATGGAGGCATTGAAGCAGCCGTGGCTGTTTGTAACAAAGCTGTAACTCCAGGACAATTCGAGCTTTTGAAATTGTGACCGGTTGGTAGGAAAATAATATGAAGGCCATTGAGGAAGCAATTCGATTTCTTCGAAATATTGCTCATAAGTTGTCAATTTTACCGAATGGGTTGTGACTGAAAAAGGTGCAAATACAGGTCAGATTCCAACTGTTTGAGGATGTACAGATGTGGTGGAGTGAATGCTTTGATACAAATCATCGGCTCGTGCAGGTACTGTGCTAGCTAGCTGGAAAGCTGATATTTAAAGACTTTGCAGGAAAGAATCAGTTCTATATCAAGCGGAAGCTGCACTGTCAAATGTTGCAACCAACGAATTTTGTCGCGCAGAATTGAAACGTAAATACGGATGGGTGAGAAGTGATCTTTGTCTTTGGTCTCTTATGTTGCGTAACAGACAAAGGAGAAATATTATGACAGGAACGCTTCTTTGTCATCTCCTCACGCAAGCGTAACATCACCGCTGAACAAGGTTTGTGCTTTCTTTCCTGACTTTCCTGAAAGTACATATCAGCCGAATTCACCGTCGCCTATCCATTCGAACAAACAATCACGCCGCAGGTAGGCACCAAAGTGAGGATGGGTTAGGTCTAATGAATCTGCCATTCAGGGTTTTTTTCTCGAGCGACGGTTAAGATCATTTTTACGTGCTTGGATAGCAACATCCTTGTTGTACCTACAAATTGTTGCGAGATGATCGATTGGTATATCACACAACAACCGGCAAGATGAAGTGAAAACGCGCTTTATTCACATTATTGTGGCTCAATTAGACCGACACCACCATGATTGCGCTTGTAGACAACAGCAATCTTGCCATTCTCCTTGTTCTTGAAGACATAAAAATCATGCTCGATGTAATCGAGGCACAAGACAGCATCTTCAACGGAGATCGGTTCCATGGGAAAAGTCTTCTTCTTCATCAAGGACATGTCTGCAGGAGGCACTGGGAGACTGTTTTCCATCTTGGCGACTTCTTGAGTGAAATCTTTGAAGCCCTACAAAGCAAGAATTACATTCCTTGAATGGTCATGCCGCATCTTTACCTGGATCTCCTCCTCGTCGAATCCCATCGCCTCAGGTTTGCCTTGGCGGTGAGCATCAATAATCCTCTGCAAATAGAAATTCACTTCGAAACACATGTGGGATCCAATCAAACAACCTCCTTGTACTTGCGCAGCTTCCTCTTCACTGAGTCCGCAACAGCATCAATGCTCGCATACATGTCGTGCGTGGACTTCGACGCTCTCATGACTGTTCCCTTGACCGAGACAACGACCTCGAAGTTGGCATTGTTCTCAACGGATGGGTTCTTATCGACCGTGAGATGGGCATCACATCGCGTCACAAGTCTGCCAACTTTCGATAGAGTGTTTGTGAGCTTCTCGTTAATGTACTGTTTCAGTGCAGGGGTGAGCTAAGGAAAACATAAGTGTCACACATCCTGAACATCATGTATAGTCGGAAGAACTCGTACCTCCACATTGTTTCCGCTGATAGTGATGGGGATCTTGACGGCTGACGACATCACCGGAACGACAACTGATCTTCTACATGAGCTCGCAGTTCGCGCCTTCAGGGGAAGCGATCTAGAAGCAGCAAGACTAGACACAGATGAGGTGACTGGAGTTGTAAGAGGAAGGAAAGCCTGGGAGGAGGGGAGGAGGAGGGGCAGGAGGACGAGGGGAATGATGCGCGATGACGCGTGCATGTTGCAGTGGACGCAGCGGCAGGAGGAAGACGAAAGAAGAGGCCGAGGGAGGGGGGATTCGTAGGGTGGGGTTGTCTCATTTAGGTGGTAGGGGTCAATACCGTGTAGACGACAATACAATAATTAGGGAAGGGGTGGTTACAAACTTCATAGTTGTGATGATCAGCATACCTGGTGGGTTGTGATGAGATGAGGGGTGGGTACGATTGTCATGGGTACTCAGACAAAAGGGGTGCTTGAGTATTCGATGGGTGCTAAGTCGATTGAGGGGTAGGGTGGATCAGTAGTGAAGTATCTCAATGGACGGGTCACAAGATATGCATAAAGTGTGGAAAATAGGGGGTGGGGTAGTACAACTAGGGTGTTATCAGTCGTTCAGGATCCGGATCATCACTTGAGGGGCGGATTTCCAGTATGACTGAGGAATGACCCCCACCCGTATCTTTGGTGACCCCTACCCTCTAGAGCAGTCTATTACCCCCATTATGACCTCGAATGGAGACTTCATTGTGGACCCTACCCCATGTTATACCCCCATGATGGCTACCCCTACCTCGCAAAATACAGAATATCGCTCAGTACCCCCCTTTTCCTATTGTGAAGCACCCCTGTAGTAAATGCACCCCATCTTTACGATGGGCCTTATCTTGCAAGTTGGGGTGGGGTAGGTACCAGGGATTATTCGAAAAGATCTTACTTCGATTGGAGATTCGGGAGGTGTGTACCAGCAGGGCCGTCCTCTGATGTTAAAAATGGTATCAAAACTTAAAATAGAAAATAAATTATTTATAGCAGATAAGATTACCGAAAATATTTCTTCCATACTGAAAATAATATCTAAAAACGCTGTATTATTACCGTGTACGAACATAAAAGTTGTTTTTTTGATTTTTAAGAGGTTTCAAACTTCTAGACGCCCAAACTTTGATGTAAAACAATACCTTGTTTCAGTCATGAGTTCCAAAGTTTGGTTGGAGTTGCATGGCAGGATCCAGTCCACCAGTGGAGCAGTGGCGCCATTGAGAAGAGGGTTGGAATGGCGAGGAGGAGCGGGGGACCCTTTCATGCTGGATGCTGTTTCATGGAATCAGGAGGGTCTCGAAGACTAACGCTGTGCAACATTAGATCTTGAGATACCTGAGGAAAATGAGCTTTCGGATCCGCAAATGCTGTCAGAGAATCTGGCGACATCAAGTACGTAGGTTGCCTTTTTCCACCAGCTCTCAACAAAGTAATGATGTTTCGACAATGATCAATTCCATCCTATCTCTGCCAACCAGCCACGATGAAAGAATGCAACTCGTTGAGATGGAAGAACAGGGCGATCACGCCAGGCTTAAATTTGCATTGCCTTCACAGGTCTTTCGAAAATCAAGGGAAACTGTCTTAAGGTCGTGGGGCCATTACTTCGGAAATCGAGGCTTTGATAGGCAACCAAAATTGGATTACAAGAACAAAAGGCTAATGACCATGCTCACTGCTGCTTACACCGGCCCGCTCACTATTCTGAAAGGACTGGAAGTCCTTCAAATTGAACAAGCGAATGAAAGTGTAGAGAAGCGACGCTTGGAGGTAATGTTTTGCTTGATCTCACTCTACTTTGAATGATGTATTGGCGCACAGATCCATGTCGTTGGGGCTGCAAGCCAGGTTTTCCTGCATTGATTCAAATACATGACGAGACTTGTGTTGACTTTGCTGTGCTACAAAGGAAGAAACTCTCTTGTTTACCTATTGGATTGAAATTGGAGCGCTGTTGCCGCATTGCAATATTCGGCTCCATTTGATTGGGCCAGAACTTTCTGCCAGAGCGATTATTCATCCGGTGACAAGCGCTGAAACTTCAAGCACGAGTGTGACTCGCTTGTTTTCTAGAATATCACGCTTTGCTCAAATCTCGCTGCATCCTTACACCAATGCTCATATGACGAATTCCTTGCTAACAAGAAACTTCGAAGCTCCGAAGTGAATTTATGTTGTTTCAGGTATTAGTTGGATTTTGACGATGTGGCAGGCCGATTTGCTTGTCATGCTCAACCCTGGCATTGGGACGGATTTTCAGCCATGGGAACAGACGCTAAACAACGTTTTAGAGCTGAGAAATCGCAGTTCACGTCCTGCGCCATTTCTTTGCACAGCCTTTGACGAACAAGATCAAGAAAGAGACTTGGCTACCTTGCAGCGACTAGGGTTTCCCTCAGCCATGCGGATCCAGCCAATGGATAATCCTTTCGCATCTTGTTTGTTAGAACGGAGTCAGAATGACTCAAACAGGATAATACGTTGCAACGCAAGGTGGATGGCATTTTGAAGGGTAAGAATCGAGATCTGGGCGAACAAGCAGGACCGTGTCGATGTTTCGTAGAGAAGTAGATCCTCACTTAGACTAGAACTTTCGAGTCATGCCATCATCTCTGCATGACCTTATGCATACATCAGATGAAGTATCGCCTCTTACTCGTCTCTTCCTCCCCCCGTTGTGTCGCGTCCTGCCATGAAAAGAAGCAGACCAAGCGTCCTGTCGGTCCTGATGACCCCTACCCCCCTGTATAACACCAAAATTACCCCACCCATCGGGGTTGATCGGAGTGTCATGGGATGTCGCGGATGAGGGAGGAAGTGAAGGCAGCGCGAGGGATAGGCGGGGGAGGAGAGAAGGACTCGATCATCGAGATGCTGCCAGGCAAGATTGTCATGCTGAACAAGAATGAATACTCTGTTGAAGATGCCGAATCCTTCGAACTGTCTTCTTGGATGATTGATGAACGATACAGCAAGAAGAACAAGCTTGTGCTGGTAAATCCCGCTAGATTCGAACATGTCTCTTTCTTCTTCCAGTCCATGGATGTGGCAGAACAATGGCGCCATATCCTGAGGGGAGGAAAGGCAGGTGAAACTCTTTCAAATAGTGTACAGGTAATCTTGGCATTGCGCTCTAGTGGCGGAATCACTGAATTTGGTCTGCCCACTAGGAAACAGCACACAACATGGGGAGTCAACAACAGAGAAGTGAATTGGTTGTAGGAAGGACGACAGATAGTCCTCGATTCAACAGATACATGTCTCTTAGGGTTATGATCCTGTCAGCAAGTAACATTCCAATCCCTGAAGACCTCAAGCCTGCTGAACTGTACGTTTTAACGTTTTCAGCCCGAAAGTGACGATCAAGTCCAGGTTTTTCTCGCTGCATAGTCAAGATCATCACTTCAATACAGAAAGGGAACAATTCCTTGGGTGTCCCCTCTGGTTTGAAAGCTTTGAATTTACCATGCAAGAAGACGACAGCATCTCAATCATTCTGTGGAAATGGAATTCGACGTACAAGGACGATATGATCGGTCAATCCGTTACATCTTCTCGCCCTATTGTACTGATGTGATGCAATAGGTTCATTAAGACTCCCAGTTTCTACCATCGCTCAAGACTTTCAGGATGTCCATTCCGTTGTGAATGGACTTCACTTTGCGCATTCCAATGCAAGCATATGCGATTCGTTTGCAGGATCAAGAAGGTATGTCATGTGAACGCTTTTCAATCTTTACGTATCGCTGATTACATACCGGGGGTATCAGCTGACAATTCGAATCTCAGGTATGCACTCTCCAAGGGAAATGGCGAAAAACTAGAAGACAAATATGGCGAAACAGCACATGTTACATTATGTTGTAGAGTTATGAATGTGAGTGATGTACGACCTCAATCTTCCACTACAGCCAAAGGTAGAACTTCAACAAAATTCCATTGAACGATGAGAGAATGAGAAGGATCTTTCAGATCAAATCGATAGAATCACGAACAACAAGATGGTTTCGTCAACAAATTTCCATCACAGGTATGAAATGCTCTATTTGAAAAATTTCTGTCGAATCTTGACGACGATTAACGTGTACAGCAATCAAGAATATGCTTTGAATACACATATCTCGGTTATCTTTCTTGTCTTATTCTCGATGTGAACTGATAATTGCAACATAGATAACCACCATAACTAACATTCCAAGTTACATATGGAATGAGCATTCTTTGGTCCAAATCAAAGTATATGATCGTGCAGGATTGGTCAAGGGAAAGTATGAAATCTCACCAGAATTCTGCAAGATGGTTGAAAAGAAGATTTCTATTGGGTACTTGCAACAAATTGGTCGAATCATTATTTCATTTCCTGGTCAAGGAAGTACCGAAATCAAGAGCGAAGATTTACTTGAATATGTCGGAGAATGCAACAGTGGGTTAGAACAAGTACAGTATATGTTGGACTTCGGGTTTGCAAAGGACAAGGATGCCTCCAGGACGGAGGAGCCTACAATCCACTTCCTGCTTGAATACTCGAGCGACCGAACAACTGAAAACGCCTTGAAGTGTGAATTCCGAGAGATTTTGTCTCGTGTATGCAAGTATTCCATCGCTATCAAGATCAAGATCTGCGATTGGGACCACTTCTCAGACCAGTCGGTGCCGATTCTTGTGTTGAATGCGGGGAAGAAAACAATCCACAAGACCCTAGACGAGGCATATGCCTCGTCGTCTTCAAGAGAATACATCTTGGAAGCAGATGTGTATCAAGAGTTTCGAATCTTTCTCATCGAGACAGCAAAGGAGTTGCGTGCGATCGGGAGCGTTCGAATTTCCATGGCCGACATTTTGTACTCGATTCTAGTTAATGATGGTGCTGATGTCGTGCAAGATGAAATCTTTATGACTTTCAAGCTGTCTGAGAGAAGCAAAAGTCAAGATCAGCTGTCAGAACCAAGCCAATGTAGCCCATGCATCAAAATCGCTTTCAAGCTGTTCAACGCGGCAAAGTTGTTGTTCGGAATTCAAGAATTTATGCCGCTGGGGAAATCGAAAGGGAACAAAAAGCGGGAAGAAATCCAAACCAACACGCGAAAAAATCTAAAGATTAATGTTATCCAATGCTGCAATCAACCGATGTTGATGTCCAGAGATACACTTCTCCATTGTCGGGTACACATCGGAAACGAATGCGCTTTTGAGACTAAGAAACAACAATCAACACGTGACAGAACCGTGTGGAATGAATCATTCATCAAAGATGTGAACTCGAGCGAAAGAATATTGATACAGGTAGCAGGTGGGGTTTCGAGTGAGGAAGTGACTTGAGTGAAGGTCATCCAATCCAACTCCAATGGCAACATCTTGATACTAGGAGAAGCTGCTATCGACGTCAGTGACGTGGAGCTCTACCTGTCAAAGAACGGTGAGAAAGCTCCTGCTCGGGACCTCGTTGACCCTCCCCTAGGGAACCTCTCGCAGCAAGATCAGACCATCGGGCTGAAGCTCTTGGGCCTCAACGGGTGAGTGCTGGTGTGCATCTGTAAGGCTCAAGACTGATGCCTCTATCAAGGATGGAACTCAAGTCAAAGGAGAAGTTGAGCTCGTATCTCGACGTGTCCGTGCAGTTCGACCCGGTGCTTGCGATCTCAATAGTAGTGAAAGTTTGCTCATAACGATTGAAACCTTTGTGTTTCTAGGTACCATCCCGTGCCAAAAATGGGAGGGCAGAAGAGATAATTGCTCCAGACGACCCCTCCTCTCCGAGCTCTGGACTGATGCAGCATCAGGATGGGACCCACGATGTGGTCTTCGATATGAGTGTCATCGCTTGCAAGAACATTCCCTTGGTCCCTTTTGGGTCAAAGATTTACGTGCAAGTTGAATGCGGAGATGATCGGAAGTATACCAAGTCCAGGATCTACCGAGAAGAAATCCTGTTCAATGAAACTTTTCGCTTCTTGCTCAAGAACAATTCAGACTGTTTGGTGGCAACGATTGTCTGTAAGCCACAGAACAATGTCCACTACGAGATAGGGAAGGTAAAAGCTCTGCGGTGATGGGAAGTGCAGAAGTAACGAGTCGTCAGGTGCAAATAGACAAAGCTGCTGTTTACGAAAGTATTCAAGTGAAACAGGGTCTGCTTTCATCTCAACAGCACACCTTCAATCAATCTGTGATTCGTGAAAGTAACGAAAACGTGAAAGAACGATCCATCATGCTCCTGGGCCATCAATATCCGGCCTGGAAGGCATTCGAGGTGAGAAACGAGAAGAATGAATCAATCATGGGCGAGACCGGCGAGCCAACTCAAGTTCTCATCAACTTGGCTGCACACAACAGCACATCCCATCAGCAATCAGGTTGCGGTCTCCATCCATGGCAAGACTTGATGGCTGACTGAACTCATCCAGGGGCTCGACCATCTTCTCCTAAGGACACACCTGTGGCTGTCAACGTCACGTTCGCAGAAGACATCGTCCCGTTCGTGCTGGATAACGACCTGCTGAATGGATGGAAGCTGGAAGTCCTGCACACCATTGCGCAGGTCTTGAACGAGCCTCAGGATAGGTTCGACATCGCATCTGTGTACATCAGCGACTGCATCAACGTCAGGCTGCTGATACGCCCGTGAGCAAGCTTGCTCCCCGATACCCCCCCTTTCTTACCTGGACGCAGCACTTGGATGATTCAGAACTACAACGCCAACGACAAGGCGCTGGCGTTAGCCGAGTCATTAATCTCCCAGGTCGAGCATGCGTTCACGACGAACTTCAGTAAACATTGCACGGCAGGCGCGGCATCCGTCCTCCTACCTCCGACAGATTCATCCCACCATATCCGACTGTGAGATGCTAGGAGACTTCAATCACTTCCAGATCGATGACTTTGTCAGTTCGCATGACCTGGTGGATAGCGGTGCTCCTTGCAACTTGGGCGATGTTCGACTTTGACTTGCTGTCTAGATACATCACGCACGATCGAGCACGACTCCAGCTCGATTTCTTCGGCGTTGGGTCTGCTAGAGTTTGAGGAGTCTCGAGTCGAAGCAGACGACAGGAGGGGCTCTGCTGGGCAAGGGTGAGTAAGTATCATGGTCGTGCGGATTAATGAGAAGGTTGACAGCTCAAAACCCATCAAGTCGTTGAAGCACAAAGACTCGTCCAAGAACGAATGGTCTTGTCAGACACCATGCCATTCAGACCTCTTGTTCACCTTCACAGCAGGTTGAAACGTTTAGCAGAAATCTGCAAGCAAAATCGAGAGTCGAGGTCGGAGACCAAGAGGCTGGCAGGCAGCGAGTGATGTGTTGCCTCAGGACGAGAGAGACTTTCTTCCTCTTTTGGTGTGACGTCACAACCTTCGTCAACTCGTCCACAAGGCGATCAGGGTAAGTGTGTTGTCAGTCGTGACCCTCAGAGTTTGAAATTGCTTTCAGTCCTGCCGTCAATGCTTCCAATAGTCGATCTGAAGCAGACGGCGACAACCAAGCGTATCATGACGGCAATCGAGGTTTTGAAACTTCTAGATGGATGATGGCGAAGTGCTCAGAATGCAAGATTTTCAAGAGGCGAGAAAGATTGAACTCAAGTGGGAAATGTCCGAGGTGTGCGAGAAATTCCTAGATCATGAAAAATTCAGGACTGGTTTACTGATTAACGCTAATAAGTTGTTAAAATCCGATTTCCGTGTAAGCTTCTCACGTTACTCAACTATTACTGATGGTTGAAAGAATTGAAAAGAGCTTGGCTAGTGAAAGGGTCTGGGCTCCATCTTCAAAAAACCAATTAAATGCCGTGCAGTACTGTTTGATCAAATGCGCCCCAGATGTTTCCTTGTGACGAAGAGCTCCATGTGCTGGCAAGCGAGCTGTCTTCTTCGCTCCCTTGCAGAGCCATCTTGACGACATCGAAGATGAGGTCGTTATCCGACGCCAGCTGATGGTGGTGGTGAGTCGGTTGCATCGACCATAGGTTCGAAACGTTGGGCTGCCCAGTCGCAGTCGGGGATAAATGAAGCTGGTTGTCGTTGCTGAGGTGCTGCAAGGGACTCCTTTGATTCATGTTCCAAGATCCGATGGGGTTTGGCTTAGTCGATTGCTGATCCATCGGAATCTTGGGTTCCATAGTCTGTTCCATTACATTGTCTTGTGGAAGAGGAACAGGAGACTGGCTTTCCATCATTCCGCTCAAAGTCTGTTCCTTCTTTCCTGGTTTGGTTGCAGGTTTTGTCCATTTGGACTTTAATTGAGGATCTCCGAGACCCATCTCTTGGAACATTGAATTCAACTTTGAGTCGACCTCCTGTCCATCTGAGTTCTGGATCGCTCCCAGGGTTTTGGGGCGACCGTTTGGTGTTTCAATACGATTTCCACTCGGTGAGATTCGAACAACTGGAGATTTGGGCAAATCAAACTTGGTTGAACCTTTTTGTTTGAGCGCCATATTTTCAGCCTTCTTCACCTCCACGAATCTGTCAGCAAAAGGAAGCATCCTGACTGAAGCTGCGCTTTCAACCATGTCACGAGCATCAAAGGTAACAAATCCAAAGCCACGTGATTTCGTGTGAGTCAATCTGTCGACTACGAGAACAGCATTGACAACCCTCCCAGGAAAGGTTTGCTCTGCCCACTCGCGAAATATGGGGGGTGTAACATCTGTTGGGAGGCCTCCGACAAACACTTGTCTTGCTAGCCTGGAAGACTCCCTACAAGTCTCAGAAGAAGTTGTAGCCTTCTTCATCCGATTGCTTGGCACAGCAAGGCGTGTTTCAACTTTATACCTGGGGTTTCTGTGAGATCAAAACCAATCGTTGTCTCAGAGCTACCCGCAAAGTTCATGAGTCTGCATTTCACACACTTTTTGTGCTACGTATGGGCTTTGGAATACAGCAAACCCGAATCTACTCCAGAGCATCAGCGTACATCAATCAAGGTAACAATCGTAGAATAACCTGCGCGAGTTTCCTGTATCACGACTAAACATGACTTTGCTGGATACAACTTCACCTAAAAGAAAAAATGAAGTGAGAACTTTCAAGTTACATGTGGAGCAAATTCAACCGAATCGACTGAAGTATGAGTAAAGTTGTTCATCGGTTGTACTAGGATTCAGTCCACCCACAAAAATTTTTGCGTTGTTGTATTGATCGTCGTTATCCTCAGAAAGACATGCATCTGTTGATTGAGCTCAGATCAGGGATAGGGGACAAATGACATACCGTTACCCAAGTCTATTCCTCCAGCAAACTGATCGTCAGACAGATTATCATCCATTTGTGGAGGAGACCTGAAAATAAAAGTCAGCTTTGAACTCTATCCGCTTGCCTGGTGATGACTCGCATGCATGCAACAAGGAATCTAGGTTCACGAACAGCGCGAGATACAACACCAGATCTCGGCCATGAAGCAATATTTGCAACGACAACTGGATAGCAAACAGAAATAAAAATTCTCCAGAGCTCCTGTTTCACAGCTTCTCATGGTGCAAAGACAGTGTTTGAAGAATACACAGAAACCTCTACCATGATCATTACACATCATAGATAGAAATTGGCTGTATCGCAATAATCAATCGTGAACAAAAGGCAGATAGGAGGCCAGGAAGGATCGAGTAGCAGGGAGGACGAACAAGTCTTCAAGCAGACAGCGCATCAAGTCCTGCGCACTCAACACTGGAGGCCATCGTATGAACCTGGCGGGGCGCGCCGAGGCGAGCACCATGGCTACCGGTAGGACGACGGGGCGAGGATTGGGAATGGGGTAGGTGGATACCTGAGCGGGTGGTGGGGGTGGGGGTGATCAGTATGGTAACGAAAGGAAACAAGGGTGATTTCGTCTAAAAAGGAGGGGTGGTATAAAGAAGGTAGCTAGCAAAAGATATTGAAGCAGACAGCAGCCTGTAACGAGAGGGTGGTAACATAGAGCAAAGTAGGGTAGGGGTATGCGTTGTGCAAGATTTGGAGGCTAGGCAGTGTTAACAGGCATGGCCTGGGGTAGGGGGTGGTGGAGGTACGGGTGGGAGGGGGGTTGAGGCAAAAAAGTACCACGAGGGTGGGAAATAAAGGGGGTACGGTAGGGCATCAGGCAGGGGTGAACAAATGTAGGGCCGTGAGATGTGGATCAATGAGGGGTAGGGTGAAGTTGCAGTGTAACGATAGGGTGGGGGATGTGTATATAGTACGGTCCTTTGAAGGGTGAAAAGACATGTAAAAAGAGGGGTGGGTGTTTGATCTTAAATTGAAGAAGAAGGCACGAACGTTCTAAATTGGGAACCAAGAATTGACAGGTGAAGCTTTTAATTTTATGGGTGAGTTACCATAAATTGACTTTTGATCCCAAAATCGTTCAAGATTAACTCAAATCTTAGGTGAAGAATCTCAATTTAAGACCACCACCTCAATAGTGCAGGGCCCCACGGAACGGGTTCAAAATTTGCAATGTGAGGCTAACAGGTGGGGGTGGGTGAGGTAGTTTAGAAGTACGGGTACAATCCTGGCATTGGGAGTCACAATTGTGGGGGTAGGGTGCTCCTGATGTGGGCTGTGAAAGGGTCAACGCGACAAAGAAAAAACGGACTACGTGGGTCAACGCGGTTCGTCTACTACTTCGAGACTTGACGCTTGAGCTGATTGGGAGTTCAGGGGTCCAGTGAGGCCCGGCCCGGCCCGGCCCGGCCGGGCCGGGCCCGCGACCGCCGCTAGTGACTACTACTTCAACCTTCTCGGCCTTCAATCGTCTCATGCCATGATAGCGGCCCGGCGGGTACCCGGCTAGGCTTTCAGTGGTCAGCCTGTGAGCGGCAGCGTTTATGATCCCATGAACTGGTGAACTTTCAGTTCATCGGATCACCAGTTTATGATGCGGGGTTTATGATCCGATGAACTCGATGTTCACTGACTCTAGCTAGTGCTCAGCTTGAGTCCGGAGGCTCAAACTTTGCTCAGAGCCGGGATGTCTGCTGGCCTACCCCAGATCCGCAGCCTCGACACGCCCTGTGACAGGGAAAGTGAGGGAAGCCGGAGGTAGCAAGCAGTCACTCACTCCGTCGGGGTAGATGGTCAGCCGGATGTGAGTGACGGGAGTCGGCAAGTTCTGAGCATACGAGGGTCAAGAGACGGCCAGGAGGACAGAAAGTCTCATGGGCGAACCAGCATGCCGGACTTGTCGTCGAAACGATGGTCATTGTGTGGGGACAAGCGGGTCCTGGGGAGGAGGACCTGGGGGGATGGAGGTCAGGGGCAGGAGCAACGGCAGCCTCTACGTCGTCCACCTTCCACTGCGCCTCTTCCGGCTTGAAGTCAAGACGGGACGAACCAGGAGAGCAGGCGGCTTCAATGAGGCAGGACTCGGGATAGTTGCCCTGGACAACCTCTCAGACTTGGCCCCACTCCTCCGACCTTCACAGACTTTGAAGTGAAGAGTGTCGATGCTGATCGCGCGGACAAGGCCAGCAGCTCCTAGCTGTATCACACACCTGCCCACACCGCCGTCATCCTCCTCGCCCCCCAACAGGTCGAACGGGCCACCAGTCGTTGCCCGGCAGCTTCATCATCCCTTGCTCGTCAGTCTGCGGCCAAGGGTCAGGTGGGAGGGGAAACAGCACAGAGCACGCACGGCAAAGACTGGCGGCCTGTTGGGGTTCCGAGCAGTCTCCCATCCATCTCCCATATTTACAGCTCTTCCCATCCCTAGCATGTTCTGCGGACGGCCGTAGTGAGAGTTGGAAGCCATGAGGCCGATGCCGCCGTTCTCGGTAGCCGCGAGATCCACCAGCTCCTCCGGTCCCAGCACGACTTGCCCCCAGTCCTTCTGCACCTCCCCAAAGCATCGGATCCTCGCCACCCCCCCATCCGGGAAGTAGTTGATGCGAAGGTGGGTCCAGCGCCTCGCGTCCTCCACCGGGAAGAAGTGCTTGCAGCAGTCGATGTATCCCGGCTGCAGGGGGGTCATGGGCACCAGCGTGTGCCACTTGTCTGTCCCCAAGTTCTCAGCTGCCTTGACCTGGAGGAAGGTCAACGCAGGGAGCAACCACCAGTCGCCTCGCCTCTTCGTCTGTTGCCTTGGACCCCTTGCGGGGCTTCGCGGTCCAGGCAGTCGCGCCCTGTCCAACCGGCGGCAGGTCGCCGCTGAGAAGCATGTAAGGGGGAGGTCCGAGGAGAGGAGAGGAGAGGAGGAGCTACCTGATGCAGGCAGCTTGAATCGAGATCCGAGGAACCTGGTTGCCGGTGAAGAAGGACGTGTCGACCTCGAAGCCCCGGATAACTCCAGAGAGTCCGAGTTTCCTGAGGAGAAGGTGAGATGATAGTCATCTATTCCATGGCCTCGTCGCACATGAGACACCAATCATGCCCCGCCGTTCTCTTCCTTCGACTCTCCCATCCATCCATCACTTTCCCTGCGGATCGCATGGTCAGACCGTAGATCCAACCACGTTCTGGTTGTAACCGTGGGTATCGAAGGCGTTGGGATCAAACTGAGGAGGTCCCTCCCTGTTTAGGTTCCCAGCCTCGGCAAACCACTCGTCTGTAGCAAACAGGATCGCGGTGCCAGCCTTAAACAAAGTCGTGAGCTATGCATCTGACTGCAGTGTAGCATCGACAGCAGGGAATATCAAAGGGGTTCCTCCTCCTCCCCCTCCTCGTATCGTTCCTCACCCTCTCTCCATTCAGCTGTGGCAGCATCGTCCACTCCGGCGCAGCAGCCGCCATGGCCACCTCACGAGCTGCCATGTCAAGGGATCCGAACTTGCGCCCTTTTCCTTACGACACATAAAGGGGGGTTTGCAGGAATGTGTGGGGTCATGTAACGAAGATGAGGGGGTGGGGGTGGACTGGATTTTCGCACAAATGGTGTAGGGCGGAGCAGGGAGGAAATGACAGGCGATAGCAGCACAGGGAGTTTACTGCACTGCATGCTCTCCCCCGCTTTCATGCTCCGAAGCGGCCGTTGATGACCTGGTCGTAGAACACGGGAAGTTGGTCCCACGAGGACTTGTTGAAGAATTCTTTGGGGAAGAGCAAGCGGAAATCATCCTCTGAGTCTGAATGCTCCTTGTAGATCTCTCGTAGACGAGGATACTCCGTCTGCCACTCTTCGTCGGTCAATGCCTGCCGACGAAACAAGTAAGGCCATGGTCAAGTTTCAGCTCCCCATGTGCACCTTGAGTCCGTCCTTGCGTCTCAGCAAGTTGAGGTGGACGATATCTGCCTTGGACAGATATTCATGACCTGCAAGGTAAGGTGTGGATTCAGAGCCTCTAACTCCCGCGGACGATCTCGACCGACCGTTCTCTAGAACGAGTCCGGTCTGAACGGGGAGACCCAGCCAGGGCACCTGGAGGCTTTTCCACTTCTTGGAGGTTGTGTTGTACCTGATTAGACGAGTCAAGAGACCAGATGCGGCGTCTTGTCACCATTCGATGTTGCCGTTGAGTTTGTTCTCCCGAACCTTGGGCAGCCTGCCGTCCTGGCTGATGTTGCTGAGTGCAGGCAGTGAGCTTGTAAGGTGTCGCTCTCTGGTCGTCAAACCCGTTGAGCTTGACAATCTCAGGATGCAAGTGAATCTGAAGACGCAAAGGAGTGATTTCTTCCACTTCGGCTCATCTCTACAAGGCTCACGTCCTTGACAAGTCGTTCCACCTGCCTCCCATTCGCCATGTACTTTCGCCTGCCGCGTTGTCAGCAGCATATCCAGGCAGGAGCCACGCAATGCTCCGTCCTCTCACCTCCTCCATGCACGCTGTTTCTGTCGCTTCCGCAACTCCGCTGTGATCCCACAGGCTTCCGCCAAGCTTGTGCAGAAAAGCCTCACAAGTGAAAAAGGGAGGAGGAGGAATAGGAACCAAGGGTCGACGACGGGAACAGCTCTGTGCTCGATGGGGCGCTGATAACACCATGAACATATGCATACAGGAGAAGAGGGTAGGAAGGAACGAGGAGATGGAAGGATCACCTGGCCTTCAGGGCACCACATCATCAGGTGATCTTTCCTTCCGCCTTCAACCCTCCATCAGCCGATCGCACGTACCGCACACCGACATCACAGTTGTAACAAAACTCGTCCGGATTAGGATGGCGAAACTTCCGAGGGTCATCTGTCAGTGCGATCGGCTTCTTGGAGAGAAACTGTAGAAAGTAAAAATCAGCATATCCCTCCCGCCCTTTACGCCTTGCTTGTCCTTGCCCTCGGTACTCACATAGAAGCGCTGCGGAAGGGCTAGAAGGCCATCCTTGCTAATTGGGTAAAGCTCTGTGTTGATAGGAGCAGCTTCTCTCACGTCATACACGTACTTATGTTCGCTGCTCAACTCCTTGTTACTTCAATCGGGAGAGAGGGCGAGAACAGGGCGACAGAGGAAGGTACTACAAGTGCAAGTGGAGGAGTAAGATCGACCGGGGGAGGAGGACAGCGAGGCAGGGAGAGGAGATGCAAAGGAAGAAAGCAAGGGGAGGGAAGGAAACATTCGGTTACTCTGAGCAGGGGAAGAGAGAAGGATCGGCTTGCACGAGCTTGTCCCTATCGAAGGTGTTTCGAAACTAGATCAGAACAAGTTTCACTCAGTTGGAACCTCAGCATCATTCATACAACCTTTCCCTTGCTCCTCTCAACTTCCTACCAGTTGTGGGTAAGTTCATCTCTTTGCTCTCCTCCTCCCTCACCTGCTCCATCCTGTAGTACTCCATCCTCTCTTCGTCATTGGCAGGGACGAAAGGAGAAACGACAATCTTGAATCCTTCGAACAAGTAATCGTTCAGATGTTTCGGTCTTTCAGGCCCGGCCCATGTCTGTCCATACCCCCTGATATGATAACGAATCAATAAGGAGGGCGGAAGGGCGGGAGGAAAGGGGAAAGAAGGGAGGATCAGGGAGAAGTAGGAGAAGACGGAAGGAGGAGGGAATAGGAGCCCAAACTAGGGACATCAGACCTGCAGTTCATGATGCAGAGGGTGGAGTTCGAATGTTCATCAGCATAGAAGGCTCCGAATGAGACATCCTTTGGCAACTATCACCATCGTAGCGGACGCGTGAGTCGATCGAGAATACCTTGAGGAATGTCGACTGAGCAATAACAGCCGAGCTGTTTGCCATCAGGACGATGCCGACGTGACAGTCCGAGAAAGAGCCTGGGGACGAGAGGTGAACAGCAGGAGAAGAGCAGAGAGGACAGGCAAGGATTCGAGAGACAAGATAGAGTTTTGAGAACAGAACTGGGGCAGGAAGATTGGGAAAGGTCGGGCGATCGTGTAAATGGGGATGATGATGATGATGATGATGTTGATGTTGATGATGATGATGATGATGATGATGATGAGGAGGAGGAGGAGGAGGAGGAGGGAAGGTTGAGGAGGAGAAACTCACTATTTACACAATGCACATGGCCGTCACCATCAATGAAGAGGCCGAAACCAAGTTTCAACCGATCGGTGGCACCAATCCTTTGATCATCGTTTGACTGTAAATTCTCCTCTTCGGCATCCCCAAGACTTTCTTCTTCGTCCTCGCTCTCGTCCTCTTCCTCGTCCTCGTCGTCCTCCTCATCTTTATCCTTCTCCTCTGTGGATTGTTCAGACTTGGGCGTTTTCTCAGCATTGTTGTTTTCGTCTCCTAGGCCGATGTCCAACAGCCCGAAAGAGGAGAAGGAGCACAGTTCAAACCTCACATTCCCCCAGTCCGTCACGAACGCACCTGTGTCGCACCATCCTTCAGCTCCTCCACCAGGTACGAGGAGGAACGAGTACCCATTGACGCGCGCAGATTCTCTTCAGCTCCCATCCCTGCCAAGGTGCATTCCTTGAAGTCCGCCTCTCCGAAACAGCAAACGTTCACCACTTCCCCCTTCACCTGGACGACACGTCCCAGTCAAGCTTGCCATGATCACAGCACGACCTCTCTTACACTTCGGCATTCGCACCACTGGAACCTCCATGGCCCAGCGCGGATGTCCAGCAAGCTCTCAGACTCGTGGGAGAGATTCGCTTCAAAGAGTCCAATCAGGACGCAACAACCGCATCTCCTCCTCATTCAAAGAGCCCTTCTCACCTGCAAGTCCGACACTCCTCAAACTTCCTGCTGAACCCTGAGCAAACTGCCACTGTCCCATCAGCACTGGACTCTCTTGCCCAACAACGTGCACGCCGCCATCCAAGCTCTCGAGCTTCAATCCTGATCGAATCTTTATGGACCCATCCCACCTGAGGGGCAGCACAGTCAGCATGCGGCATGCGACTCTTACGTGCTCACCTGTACAAGCCCTCGCTGACTTGAACCACCCCCCCTGCTGGACATTGCTTTACCGCCCGATGGAAGGAATGGATCTGCTGTGGCACCAGCAGCCTCTCGCATTCTGGTCCCGCCTGCGTCATCGGTTCCCATGCGGGATTCGACCAGAACCACTCGCAGACAGCTGAGTCTCTCACCATCCACGGGCCCCCGAGCAACTGCCAGGGATCCGCAGGGATCAGCCGGACGCTTTCGACAAGGTCCGAGAAGGCAATCTTGCATGGTCGGTTCAGGATGTCGAATGCCCCGAGAACAAATCTGTCAAAATCATGCTCATCTAGATTCGCAATCTTCTTTCCAAGCTCGTCGTAAAATCTCTTGTTGCGATTGGAAGGCAACTTTGACATGCTCGGGGTATCGACGATGGGGCTCTGCTTTCCATACCCAACAGACGCTGTCAGAGCATGGCTGACCAATGACAGAAAGACGTGGAAGAGGAGCAACCCAGCACCTCGCGTCATGTAAGCTTGTCCTCACTATGTTGACGGAAAGACGATCCGGGTAATGCCTGTGGCCCATGTCGACCAGGGTGGCATGAATCCACACCCTGCGCGGTGCGCAGGGCAGGTTAGGCTCTTACCACAAGAGCAGGTAGCGACATGATACAGGACAAAGTTATCATGAACAAGCATATCAGCTCATGGTCGCCGTCTCACATGGTCTCTTGCCATGTTTTGGTCGCTCCATTATCTGGCATTGCGGCTTGTCAGGATGAAATCCAGCCCGCCTAGGTTGTTTGAGTTACTTTTTGGTAAAGGCAGAAAAAACTACTAGTACGAATGTGGTGTGCGGGAGTTCAGTGCCCCGGGCGCAGGCGGAGGCCCGGAAAGCCGGCGGAATTCGTTCGACCGGAGGGTCATTGGCCCGGCGACTGCCGGGCCACCACACGGGCCCGGTGCATTTTTTTTGCTCATTTCTGCCTGTCACTGGTCAGGTCACTCTCGGGAATCAAGTCATCTGGTAACGTGATCAGTCAGCGACTGAGTGAAAAATACCTTTTAAACAACCCTTCGCACGAAAGATCAAGCCTAAAAATTGTATTTGTACCGCTCATTGACATTATAAAAACTAAAAAGAGTCATTGATGTAGTAAAGCCGTTGGACTGGGGTCAGACAAAAGCACGAGGGGTAGTAGGGATTTAGAAGTAGGGGTGATAAGTAGGTTATGATGGGGTGATCTACACCGATGGTAGTAAAGTGGTCAAGTAAATAAGACAGTTATTCTAGTCGGAAGGGACTTGAAAGGGGGGTGGTGCTGTCAGGGCCTTTCAGAAGATGATCGGTGGATGCAGACAAATTTGAAAATTTCGTTGAGCACACGAAAATCTGGAGATTTGTTTTGAAATCAGAGGATGAAAATCAGTTTGTCTCTTTGGGCTCACAATTATAAAAATCATATTTTATATTTCATCACGGCCTCATAATTTCCAGCAGAGTGGGTACAAAGGGGTGGGGTACTCTTGAAAGGGCTTTATCCATTCTCAACCGGGTCGGGGGTGGTTTTGCAGAATGTACAGAAAATATTCAAATATGTACAAGAAGTTGCTGCCAATATTTGAAATTGTAACTAACCCTTACAATTGGATGCGCCCATCCCTGAGGCGGATTACTATCATATAAAATGGTTTTTTTAAAGAGGTGTGTGGTAACTCCAATTTTATGGGGTGAGGCCGAATAGTGGGATGGTAGGGGTCGGGTAGGGACACCAGGGGTAGGGTGACGCATGATCTCTACGGGGTCAGGGGTGAGGGGACCAGGGAACAAACATATTTACAGTGGGTGGGTGGGTTGTAAAGTAAGGAAGCAGCGGGTGGTGGGAGCATACTTGATAGGTACATCTTGTAGGTTCTTGGTCCCATCGAGATTTTTCAATTCAAAAGGGGGTAGGGTAGTACAACAAAGGGTGAATAGGTGGATACAGGGATATTTTCGTGACGAGGATCAAGCCAACAGAGGGGGGTAGTAACAGTCTTCGAAAAGGGCAACAGGGGTGAGAGGAATGTCGGAGGGGGTAGGGGTGGTTTTTGATACAGTTTGGATATTAGCGCACATGGCGCGGTGAAGAGGATAGAACGAGATATCGTGACGCAGGGGAGGAGCACAATACTGAACAGAAGGATGCCCAGGAAAATGTTTTAACCAAAGAGAAGAGGCTGAGAAAAATTGATTCAAGCACAGAAATTTAGGAAGTGGGGATGATTTGCAAGTGAAAATGCCGTGTGGTAGCAGTAGATATTGCTCCTTTATGCAGTCCGTGGAATGTCTACTCTTTTTATTGTGTATCACAGAAAATCCATGCATATTTTACATACAGGGCAATCTTCAAGTGTTTAGGACATGTGTCCGATTGATCTATTATTATATGCATATGTTGTAAACATGTGTACTGACTGTTCATGATTGCTAGATCTCTCTATGCAACTTGGTTGCGGCCTGGTTTAAGCAGCGACTTTCTTGGAGGATCATTGTTCATTTGAGGTGAAGGGCAAGCGAGTGACATGATGAGCACGGCTGTTCTCGGGCAGCCTGCATCTCTCCCTCTCTTTGCGACAATGGATGCAGATGGTAAGGAGAAGAAAGTAGTGAAGACGAGGCGCCTTGCTCAGTTGCCAGTCAGCAGAGCATGCGTAGCATGCAGGAAACTGAAGATGAAGTGTGGAGATACGAGACCATGTACTCGTTGTATTGCAAAGGGCCAAGAAAGCACTTGCGTTGATTGGACAGGTGAAACGCACGAGCCGCGAGCTCAAGTGCCCAGAGCATGCGAGGCTTGCAAACGAGCCAAAGCTCGGTGTGATCTGAGCAGACCATGCTCACGGTGTATAAAGAATGGCAGAGGAGACTCTTGTTGTGATTGGAACTCGTCAAGTGATCTTGCTCTTGTTAAAGTGGAGGTTTCAGATGTAAAACAAGAGCATGATGTTGTAGCAGTTGAACGACCTTTGAGCTACAACGTGAATAGAGTGGGTTTGGCAGACGATATTACATATTTTCAGACGTATGACACACAACATTGGGCTTATCCTTTGATGGCAAGGTTCTCGGAGTACAGTCAGGATCAAATCTTGAATTTAGCTTATGTGCTTCCGCCTTCGATCCAGAATGTGGTCAGCAGTGCACTCAGTACATTCAAGGTCATTCAGAATCATACAATGCAAAAGCGCTTTTCGCATGACTGTAATTTGTTGATGGGGGATCAAAAGGATACTGGTGTGTTTGAAATGATGGAAAATGAAATTTGGGAACGTAGTCAGGATACAGGATTTATGAGGATGAAATGGGATATGATCGAAAACATGATGCCTGTCCGTCAAGAATTATATGTTTCAGACCTGATATCTACAATCTGTGGAATTCATAAGGAGGAGTTCATAACACGATTGACGTCAAAAAATGTTCCAATCTTCATGACGGAGTTGGATTGGATTTGTTACATGATTGAAGAGATATTGAACGATGACCAGCTGAAGGTCTGCAAATTTTACAGATGTCGGGATTCATGGGGCTCGAGTTTCTTTGGATGTGGGTTCTATTGTTTCGCATCGGAAAAAGTTTTCGACGGAAATGGAACGCTGGTCTGCTCGAAACATTACATTCGACCGGTGAGATCAATAGAGAGGAGTAAAGAAGTGTGTGTGTGTGTGTGTGTGTGTACATGAGAACATGAACGATTCCTGTCGCTGATTTCCATATCCTCTCTATTTCCAGTATTCTGACGTCATTATTTAGGTATCCAAGGAAGAGTTCGAACAGGTCAGGATGACGACCCCGGAGAGCTGCCGGCCTTTTGCTAGTGAAATGGGAGATAACCGAAGTGCTGATGAATTGCAGAGAGATTTTATTTCAGACTATCACAGGGTATGTAGTACTTACACGTTTTTGCACTCTAGTGACGGCTCGATGCAGGAAGAAACAATTTCTCGAATGAAGGAAACAGAAGCTGGGCAGAAGAAGCTCCAACTTCTTGCAATGGCAGTGCAGAATCGTCTACAACATTTCGTGAAGATTGCAGACCGGATCCGTATGAAGGAGAATTCGAAATTCGAAGAGATCAAGACCGAAAGGGATTTGTAACATACGTCTTCACGTCGGTGTTCATATGATTACTGGTTCGTTGGGGAAAGCTGTACATCCATTTAAGAAAAGAAATCAAGCTACAATTTAATCGATCAAGCTTTGCGTTGCCCTCTCAAGAGATCCACGAAGTCTCCCGGCGAAACATCGCGATACCATTCGTGCAAGGACAGGGCCCCGTTGCCATCCTTGTCCAGCTCCTCCATCATTGCGTTGTAAGACCCTTCCGCTACTTCAGGAGCATCTCGGTTCCGCAGAAGGACGAGGAGCTCGTGGCGGTCGAGCTCTCCTGAGCCATCCAAGTCGAAGGAGTTGAAGACCTCCTTGTCGTACTCTCCGATTTGCGGACTGCCCTCTTCCCCTCGATGCTCCTTCCCGTGCTGCTGGGCCAAGTGACCCTTGTCGTCGTGGTCGGAAGCCATCAGATCTTCAATGAGAACCTTCCATTCCTGCCATCCCAGCAGAGCCTTTCCGTGCTTGCCCTTGGCTTCGAAGAATTCCTTCAGCTCCTGCTGCTCCTCGTTGCCGTCCAGGGAGAAGTTCAGCTGCTTCAGGGCCTTGGCAAACTCCTTCTCATCCAATCCTCCGTTCCCGTCCGCGTCTGCCTTACGGAAGAAGCTCTCAGAAAGAACGCCTGTCTCCTAGTGGGCCGTCAGAACACCCGATATGATATTCCAATGAAAAAACCTCTTTTTCCTCCTTGACCTTGTCCGCTGAAGGCTTGCGTTGTCCGTCGGATCCCTGCTTCTTCATGCTTGCCTCCCTCGCCTTCTTGGCGTCCTCTTTCAGCTGCTCGGAGACTCCCTCACTGTAATCGAAGAGATCGTCGGACGTCTCAGTGGTCGGCTGTAGCACCTGGTGGTCGATCCTGTAACGCCAGGTAAGGAGCAATGACCCCCCACAGGCTCTCCCCTTACTCTTCGATCCCTGCGCCGGTGACCATGTCGTCGAGGTCATCCAACTCTTCTTCTTTCATGCTCCATGGCCTCTCCCATTGGGTCTCTCCGCTCAACGTGTTCCAGTAGTAGTGCTTACCAGAGCTTTGGTCGAGGACTTTCTTCCATGCGTCAGGAAGATCGAGACTTGAGACTGGACGGCAGCAGGCCAACAGGATGAAGAAGATGGAGGCTGTGAACAAGAGCTTCATCGGTGAAGAAGGAGAAGGTCTGATAGCAATGGAGTCAGAGAGAATGAGTAAAAACAATGCTCCGAGTGTTTTCAAACCTCTCCTCCCCTCATCAGGTTTCCATTCAACCGTCTGATGTGTCTAGACGCTCCTTGCGTTGACTTCCTCCTGCTCCCTCATCGACTTATCTATCTGCTCTCTCGCCATGCTCCGGCTCCTCCTCCTCCTCCTCCTCCTCCTCCTCCTCCCCCTCATCCAGCATTACACTTGACGTCACTCTTAAATTGTCGGGCTTTCAGTACCGGTCCTATAGATGCTTCAACCTGGGGTACTGTTAAGCTCCCCAACAATCATGGCATGAAAAGGCCAACCAGAAGGGAGGCGGGGAGAGGTCGGAGGCCAGTGGCGGGAGAGCAGGAGGACTGAGCATGAAGGAGGAGACAGATGAGGAGCTAGGACGAGAAGCCAGAAGGAGAAGAGTAGGAGGACAGGGAGGAGAGGAGGAAGGGAGGGGAAATTTGTGGTATTCTCATCGTGGAGCAGCCAAAGGCTAGCGGAGTGTGACTCTGCGTCTCTTCCAGTCTCTGCATGCAGGCAGCTGCGACCGACTCGTCGGACAGCGACGAAGACTTCGACGTCTTCCAACGAGCACCTGCTGGTGATCCCGCCGAAACAGGGGGCAACCTCTGACCTCCATTGCAGGCTACGAATGTATCCCCGTCAACGACGCCTGGCCGCCCTCTGCGAGATACGAGTCCCCTTCCATCGGTCGTCTTGCAAGCTTGCTTTCGATGCTCCTCCTCCTCACTGGCTCCCTCTAGCTGCTCTGCCGCCGATCCCTTGCAGGAACTCCGTCACGGTGTTGGAGGATGTAGTTCCAGAGGAGCTTGCAGACCAAGTGCGAGGGATGGCGGGCGAGTATCAGTGAAGGTGATGAGCTCCTTAGGTCTACAAGTTCGCCATGGAAGAGAAGGAGGGGAAGCCTTGGGGTCTCTACCTGCACACTAGCGACATCCTGCACTGCCAGGTCTGCTCCCGGCTCGCCGTCGCCGGCTCATGTCGCTCATGCAGGAGGCGACGCAAGAGTTGAGGTTGGCTGCCGCCTGCGTGAAGCATCTGTGGTTTGAGAGCGTAGCTCACCGCGCTCCTCATCTCTTCACTGCTGTACATGTGACATGACAGCACAAGAAGGTAGGGTGACTCGAGCAGCAGGCAGAATCGTTGGGGGATAATGATAGCGCATGGAGTGAGCTTATGCTCAACAAAGTTCATGGATTCGAGGTCCTTCTGCTCCTGCTGATGCTCCTGCTCCTGCTCCTGCCCCTGCTCCTGCTCCTGCTCCTGCCCCTGCTCCTGCTCCTGCCCCTGCTCCTGCTCCTGCTCCTGCTCCTGCTCCTGCTCGTTCCTTGCCCCTTCAAACCCCCTCACTTTCCCTCCTCTTCCCTTTTCCTTTCCTTACACTACTCATTCTTCTCATTGCCTGAAATTCTCATCTTGTGTCCAGGTCTGGTGCCTGACAGGAGGGGAAGGAAACCGGCAAGGCTGAAATGGCGCGAAAAGTCACCGGTGACTTGCTGGCAGGTGTGACTACCATATCGACTTCGCGGAGTTTCAACGCTATCAGGTGAGCATGAAGAGCAGGAGAAGGAGAAGGAGAAGGAGAAGGAGAAGGAGGAGAAGAAGCAAAACGAGCAGGAGCAGAAGGAGAAGGAGGGCGACGAGACGGGAGGAGGCCATCGCCTCTCACGACTCTTGACAGCACAACGTCATCTTTTTCCCCATGTATTCAGCGACCATTCACCTGGGGCGCGCAGACTGTGAGGTGGGGAAGCACCATGTTCCTGCGGGGGGATAACAAGTGCTCTAGGGAGGAGAGTTCCTGGCGAACCGAGATGGACTGTCGCACTATGTGCGGACCGGATACAAGGTGAGGAGGGGGAGGGAAGGGAGGGAGGGAAGGGAGAGAGGGCGGGAATGAGAGGATGGGGGTCAACAGGGAGAGGGGAAGGTGCAGGAAGTCGGGGGGCAGGGGGGGAAGGATGGAGAGAAGGTTGAGCTTGTCTTGTCATGAGTGCTGCAGGGGGCACATGTGGGAGGAGCGAACGCAGTAGAGGATGAGTACACGGAGGAAGAGGAGGCGAAGAACTGGCAGAGGGTGGAGTACAAGTTCAACAGGAGCATCATCATCGACGGGTCTCTTCCCCACTGCAGGTACAACTCCATTGACCCGGATCCAAAGTGAATGGCAAATGTCAGCTCAAGGGTGAAGAAAATCCAACCGCCGAGCAAGTCTGTCCTCCTGCTTCTCCTGCTGCTGCTGCCCCTCATCGTCATCGTCATCGTCATCCTCATCCTCCTTATCCTCATCGTCATCCTCATCCTCCTCCTCTCCTCCTCCTCCCTTCATTCTGATAGTGCTCCTCGTCCTCCTCCTCTGCCACCACCACCACCACCTCCTCCTCCTCGTGCTCTTCCTTCTCTGGCTATCCGCCTCCTTCCTCTTGCCCTTCAATGTATGCTCCCTCCTAAATCACCTCTCTCCTACAGGCGGCGGATCATCCTCGCCACCAACGTGTACGATCATTTCGTGGGGCCCAAGGTCTCTCGTTTTCCCATCCACAGCCCAGCATGGCAGGTGAGCAATGGCAGTGCGGAGCAGAGGGAGGGAGAGCAAGAGGGTTGAGGCACGGCAGAGTAGCTACATGGGAAGGGGCAGGAGGGAGCAGGGGGAGGGCCAGGAGCAGGAGCAGGAGCAGCAAGATTGGCAGAAGCAGGAGGGGCAAGACGAAGAGGAGATTCAGCAAGTGGGAGAGCAAGAGGAGAAGGACGGGGAGGAGGAGGGGGAGAGGGAGGGGGAGAGGGAGGGGGAGGGGGAGGGGGAGAGGGAGGGGTCTAAGATAGGAAGCAGAAGGTCATCAAGTTCAACAATATCATCTCCAAACTCTCCAAGTCTCTGCATCGACCGCAAGAGGTTCTGCGTTGGTTTGTGCTGCTTCCTCCTCATGCTTGTGACGGCAGGGGGAGGGGGGGGAGAAGGAGCAGGAGGCGACTTATGGCCCGTATGGCGAGATAATATCAAAGCACATGATGGTAGAGAAGCAATGAATGAAACTTTACAGCTTTAATGAACACAGGGGTCTCTTTGTTCCCTTTCTTGTCCACACCATCGACGTCAGGCTCTTGCTCATCTTCAACTCTGCCCTCCTCCCTCACTTCCTCTTCCTCCTCTTCCCTTCCTCTTCCTCCTTTCTGATCTCCCAATTTCCCTCTGCCCCCCCCCCCCCCCCCCGCTCCCTCTCCCCCCCTGCCCTCCATTCTTGCTAGTCCTGCTGGTCGTCCAGGGTATTTCCCATCCCCGTCCGTTCCTACCAGGTTTGCGGGAGGCGGAGCATTGCAACAGCAAGGGAAGGAGGCGAAGGTGGGGGGCGGGGGGGATTGTAAGGGGAAGAGGAGGAGGAAGAGGAGGAGGAAGAGGAGGAGGAGGAGGAAGTAGAGGAAACAAGGGAGAGAGGAGGAGGAGCAGGTAAGGTGGAGGGGAGGAGCAAGTGAAGGAAGGAGAAGGATCAGCATGTCCTCCAAGGATCAGAGCGGTGTGAACTCTCTGCTTGCTCTCGCTGTCATGGAGAGGAGGTGCGACGTTTTCGACCTGCTCCTCAGCGCCAAGGCGGACCTTGAGAGCAAAGATGACGACGGAAACTCCTTGCTGCTCATCGCCGCCATGCGAGGAAACAAGGAAGTTGTGCTCGCACTCCTCAACCACGGAGCTGATGTCAACAGCAAGGTGATCACTGCTGGCTTGTACTTGCACTTGTTTGGTTTCCTTGATGATGGTTGAGGCAGGACAAGGAGGGAAAGAACATCTTTGACAAGCTCTTTCTCAACGGACATTATTCTCTTGCACAACACCTCTGGGAGTCTGCAGAGTCTCTTGGTTTCAAGCACGAACAAGACGCCATGGTCCTCCCCACTCCCCTCTCTCCCCTCCCCTCCCTGTTCTCACCCTACTGCAGCAAACCCTACGAAGCGTGTCCTCCGACGTCACCGAGGAGACGGAGGTCCCGAGCATGCAGCTGCGGTCGTTGTTGACTGTTCCCTCAGGGGCTGCTGGCTGCCATGGAAGCAGGCCTTAACATCGAGCAGCTGGGAATGTGAGGCAGAAGCGATTGTTCGAGGATCTTACAATGACAATGAAGTAGAGGAGGGGCATCTAAGACCCTCACCGACACACCCTCACACCAGCATGACATGTAAGAGCTGAGAACGTTACTTCCCGCTGACTGTTGAGCTTCCTGTTGTGACATGCTCGCTTCAGTTGGTTGGTTGATGACCTTTCGGACGATGACAAATTTTCACCGGCTCAGGTTCTGAAGACTTTTGTCATGTCAGTCCGTGACGAGGATCACGTAGCAGATCAGCCAGCTGGACGAGCTGATACAAGACATGCTGGAGAAGAGAATGAGAAGAGAGGAGCACGCCGAGCAGCAGACGGCGAGTGAAGGCCAACGACACGACAGCGCAGTCGCACATGCCGTACCTCCCGAGCAGCCGCCGTCGGGTATGTCTGAGGTGGACGCACGAGAACTTCTCACTACAGGAAGGAACGGAGAACTTCTCACTACAGGAAGGAACACTTCCAGGAGCATTGGCGATGGTTTTATGACGACGGCAGATGCTCTTGAGGAGATGATGTCGGAAACAGACGATGGAACTCAATACCCTCTCCCCGACAAAGATCCTGTAGAGGATCTTCTGCAGCGCCTGCACGATGACAGGACAGGCTCCTCCCCTTGGCCCAGCCTCGCCGAGATCAGAGTCACTCACACGAGGGACGAGGATCTGACCAGCGCCAGTGAGCTGCTGGAGCAGAAGGAGCAGCGGCAGGAGAGAGCATGCAGGAGAGTGACCAACGGGTTTGCGCTCCTCCTCCTCTACGAACAAGTCATCCAGGCTTCCAACCCGGACAACGCCAAGAATGCTCGGGCTGACTGCGACGTCCTCGTCAGATCCCTTCCCCAGCTCGGCTTCCCCAAGGTTGACCTCAAGTCAAACTTGACTCGAGCAAGCAGCATGTCGCTGCTGCAGGAGCTCTCGACGGCGCTGCGACCCGACGGCAACCTCGACGACTCGGACTGCTTCCTCCTCTACGTTCAGTCCCTCGGGTCTCCCGGAGGCTTCTGGTGCTCGCCCGACCCTCGTCGCTCCGTTGTCGAAGATTTCCAGCAGTTTGTGTACATCAAGGAGATAATAGAGCTGCTCTGTCGGGCGATACCGGACAGACCCAAGATCATCATGCTCAACCTGAGCAGTCCGGAGCACACGGCAGGGCAGGATAGGGTGTTTCTCTCCTCTTCCGCTTGCAAGCAGGAGTATCATGAAGATTCACTGTCGGTAGCTCCCGAGGTCACATTGGTCACGAGCATAACGAGGGGAAGGAACCACTGGATAACCAACTCGGGGTCAATCTTCCAACAACGCCTCGTAGCCAACCTCAAGAGGGGCAGGGGAGGGGTATACCTCGATGAGACTTTCAAACTCTCTTGCAAGGAGCTTCGGAGTCTCTTCATCGAGCGGCTAGGGACAGGGACGGCGGACTGCGAGATCGGGATAGCAGCGTACGAGTCCTTCTACGTGCAGAAGCCCCTGATGGTCCAGCTGGAGAGCTCCTTCCGGGTCTTGTTCGGCCCCCCCATATGCTTCTCCCAGGAGAGAACGAGCACAGAGCTGTACATCAAGGAGGTAGGGGCCATGGTGTGCAAGAGACACTACACGGAGTCCTTCACCTTCAGCGCCAGTGAAGATTTCGTCTACATCTCCAGCGTCCACATCGATGGTATCAGCGCGTACGGCTGGGAGTTTCACCTGCTGCAGGTCGAGGACAACCTTCAGGTGCACGTGGGAGCCGTACAAGCAGGTCAAGTACAGGAGTGGATGAGTAGCTATGGAGCGAGCGCAGGAGACGCGGTGACGCGCAGCGACGAAGTGGAGGAGGAAGCAGCGGTGGAGGAGCAGCAAGGGACAAGAGGCTCAGTCACTGCGGGTATACAAGTCAGCTGGATGCTGGACTTGAGCAGAAATTCACTGAGGGTGGAACTTGGCGTGCGAGTTCAGGTGTTGATTGCGAGGGAAAACAAAGTTTGAAGCTAACCAGCCCGAACAAGGTGTGGTATGACAGAGTGAATGGGAGATTGATGTTCACAATACATGATCGACTTGTACAGAAGGTAACCTCATCCTCCTCCAGCTCCTCTCCCCCCTCCCTCCCTCCTTCCCTCCTCTTCTTCGCTTTCTCTTGCTTTCTTCTCTCATGTCACCCCTCCCTTTCCCTCTACATCTGCCTTGTGCTCGTTCTCTCAAATCTTCGTCTAATTGATTCTACAGCTGAATTGTCCAAAGAATGATCGTCTTATTCCAGCATTGGCGATCGGAAAGTTCTGTTTGTGCGAAGTGAAGTTAACAGACTGTTGGATCTGGAAGTAAGAGAGGAGTTACTCAAAGAGCAAGTTTACTTCTCACACAACTTGGGAATGCTTTAAATCTGGCTGAGTTTGCCATCATGAAACGAGCAATTCAACATTGAAAAAATGCAAAACACTATGCTACATGCAACTCAAACTCTCGACAAAGGAAAACTATACGAGACACACCAACGACTTAATCTGATCGCATCCTGTTCCTGTCGGGACGAGCTTCGCGCACGTTGGCTTGCTTGACCAAGACAGTTCTTCCTCCAATGTTAGCCTTATCCATGGCGGTGATGGCGGCTTCGCAGTCAGCTGATTCAGCGAAGGTCACAAAGCCAAATCCCCTGCTGCGTCCAGTCTCGCGATCATAAACAACATTCGCATCCTGGATGGCCCCGAACTCGGCGAAGAGCTGAAAGGACAAATTAGCTGAAGGATAAGCAAACAAGAAATATCGTACGTCACGAAGATCCTCCGACGTCAATGCCCAGGGAAGTCCGCTCACGAAGCACTTGTTGGGATCCAATTCTTGCATCGACAATCCTGCAAAGCGAGCAACCTACAAGGCTTGGAAGTCAGCAATCAAGCAAAGCAAGTTTACTAAGAGCATGCAAGACAAGCAAGCATTCACAACATCACACAAACATAGCCTCAGGAACAAATTATCCTGGCGAGCAGTACACGTGCGAAATCAAGCATAAGCACGATAGGCCGTGCAAGAGTGGAATACCGGTCTAGACGAAGCGATGCATGGGAGGTTGCAAGGAGAGATGCCGAAGAGGGCGGGGAAGGGGTTCTTGAGGGGGGGGACGAAGGCGGAGGCCGCGGTGACCGCGAGAAACAGAACGGGGAGGGAGCGCATGCCGAACGAGGAGGCCGTGAGCAGGGGGTGCAGGGGTGAGGCTAAAGAGAGATTGGTGAAGATTGGAGGGTGGGGTGTGAAGATAGCCAACAGTGGGTGGGGGTATTTGCATAGGGGGTGGGGGTAGAAGAATCAAGACTTCATGATAGTGAGAAATGGGGAAAATGAGGGGTATCATCATCTATTGTTGTAGATAGACAGGGTCAGGGTAGTGAGTGGGTGCTGCCTGGTACTCTTTGGCCGTAGGGTTACCAGTAGATGTCGTTGAGGTGTGTTTTCAATGAGAGGTAGGAAGCTATCGTCTTTTTACCTAGTATCTCAATTAAGAAATTAACCATCTTAACTGTTATCCCTTCACCTTGTGTCTTCGCCCCCTCTTCTTGCCCCTACCCCTACGATATTTCCCAAACTCATGTACCCCTACCTCCTCATTTTCCATGGACTACCCTACTATTTTAGCCCACCCCTACCTGCAATTGCGACCATTCCCTGCACGCTTGCACACTTCACTCACCCCCTACCCCAGTGCAACAAGGGCGAGGACCCCCTAAAATCCTATTAGTACCCCTCCGAAGAAAGGATATCACCCCACCCTCAAGTAATTTATAACTGATTTATAATACCACCCTACCCCGAGCTCCCCCTCTGGCCATCTCCTAAGACCCGGGACCCATGCGGAGCCCCATACGAGCAATTGCGGAGCCCGCCTCGGGGTATTCACAATGCAAGGGTGTCGCCTAGAGCCGCTGCGCCGCGTGATGGTCAGCGTGATAGACAGGCGAATGCGACTACGTTAGGAATGGCCGAGAGCGACCAGAGACAAGACGGGTGGCATCCTGATGGAAGTGATTTAACGAAATGAATGACTGTGAGGGATGGAAAGGTATTAAAACACAGGTAGAGGATACCAGGGATTTAGTCTCGGCAAGTGAATCCATAGAATCGGAAAGCCTCTGCTAGTAGAGTATTTTATGCAGTATTTTAAGGATAGTCAGGACCAGAGGTCCAGGAATTCTTCGTGTTCCCTATAGCAATTGCTTCAAGTCCGAGAGAGGTCCTTTAAAGCAGTTTCGTAAAATTTCGTTTGAGAGTTTCACAACGTGTTCGGTGACTTCGAGAGGCAATGCAGTAAGGATCATGCCATAGTCCAACAAGTCAAGTAAACTCATCTAAATGTAGGTGCTGAGATAGGAAAAAAATCTGGCCTTACAGTCCCACATGCAATAGTACCTAGATCTGTCCAGCGATATTAAGCTTCATATATCTGTCCTGAGAACAGAGGAACTTTTCCAAAGTTTTTGCGGAGACGCCGAGGGTCAGATGAAATATGGAGAGGACATTAGAAATGGTTGTTTGTACAAGATGCAATCACAACGAGTATTAGCGGACCAAGTGTGGTTGAGTTCTCGATCAGTGATCGAGAGGTAGCGGAATCTATCTCGAGTGTTTTGCGAACTGTTTTTACAATGGATTAAAGCATCAGAATCATGCTTCTACTGTTCGATATTTCACATTGCAACACACAAGTCACAACCTTGCAAAAGAGGGCTGTTGACCTCTTTCGGAGCTTCCTGGAGAGAACTGCAAGAAGTCTTTTGACTCGAAGCACATCTCCCCGGCATCGACATCATAATCGAGTTGCCTCCGTTACTCGCTCACCCTACTAGTCCATGACCCACAAGACCAATGTAAGAAGAAGCCAAAGTGGAAAGGGACGCCTTTGGTACACGTGTCGGATCGGTCTCAAACAACAATCCGACGTTTCATCTCTTGCCATGAGCTCCTGCCGTCAAGCTGCTCTGTCTTGCATCAAGTCAATCTGCCCCCTCGCTGGGTTTCGTTTCTTCTGCAGCCTCCTCTGTCTGTTCAGAATGCTCCTCATCCCATGGTACGCACTGATACAACAAGTTCTTCAGCTTGATGCTCTTGAGAACTATCAACTCGGGTCGCAGGACTTTCTGGTACTTGTCCAGACAATCGCAGACAGGGCCGATGTCTCTGCTTCCGTTGATGTCTATGAAGACTTTGTTAAACTTCCTCCCCACCTTCTCCTGCATGCGAAGGACTGCTGGCATGTCGAACGCATCCATAACCTCGAACTCCACGTGTCCCGGCTGACCGAACCTCTTGCGTGCGATGTCGATCTCTGCCTGCGTCTGGTCGATGCCCATGGTGAAGTCGCACTGCTTTCCTATGATGGATGTAGTCGTTCCGCCGCAGCATCCAACTTCCAGCACCTGCAGGCAAGCTCATCCCAACATAACGCTGAACGCATGCTCCCGTCCACTCACCACGTCTGTCTGCTCCACGTGCTTCTGTGCTGCCTTCCGATACTCCACTACATTCCACGTTACGATGACGGGGCACTGCTCTTTGTTCATGCGCTGCTTGAGGGAGGCTACGGAAGTTCTTCCCATGGTGAATGCGGCTTCGAGGCCGACAGGAGCTAACTGCAGGAGAGGAGATGAGAGGACAGGGGGGAAGACAAGAAGCAGTTGTGGAGATGAAGGAGAGGACCAGGGAGTTGGGAGAGAACGAGACGAGATGGGCGTTACCGGGGGAGGAGGGCGGGGGGGGGTTGATCAGGGGAAGGGGGGGGGCGGGGAGGGCAAGTCGAGTGGGAGGTATCGAGAAAAAAGATTTTTGGTTTTTGCAGGCCAAGGCAGGGGGCGGGGAGGTGAAGGGGGACAGGGGGAAGGGACAGGGGTAGGGAACAAGAACTATCACAAGGTGTGTGATGGAGGAGGTAGAGAAGTGAGATTGCTAGAGTAGGGATGAGAAACCTTGCTGAGTGAAACTTTGCAAAGAATATTCAGGAGCGAGGAATTCAAACGAGCGGGGCAGGAGCATGGGAGTGTGCTCGATCGACTTTAATGGTGAATGGAAAATAAAATAACAGCTCTCAGCCGACGCCGAGCTTCTACAAGGATCAAGAGCACTGCACAACTTGAGCTGCCGGTCCAGGGGACTGCCAGCTCAGTTCATCCTCGCGATGGTGTCGTTGATGTCCTCCATCTTTCTCTCGCGGAAGTTGGTCTTCACATCAGTCCGAGGAGCCTTCAACTTGAACCTGCACGCCATGCATGTCAGCGCCCGCTCCTTCCTCCTCGCGCCATCTTTCTCACGGTTGCAGCATCTTGACGGCAGCCAGGAAGTTCGGCCCAACGTTGTGGATCTCGTTGATGAGATCCTCCAAACAGACGATCCCCTTGTTTCCGAGCATGTCCTCAATCACCTGGCAGCAGCACAAGAAAAATCACGTCTCTTGCCATCACAAGCGTTGAGGGCCAAGTCAAGAGGAAAGAAATCAACACGCTGGCAGTAAACGGGTAGGAGGGAGCGGAAGGAGCGGGCAAAGAGTTGGGCACCTGGTTGTCTGTTAATGGTATCTTCTTGTCCTCGATCTTGGTGTATCCTCTCTTCTGGATGAGATCGCGCAGGGTCTGCAACGTCGGCACCCCGTACTTGATGTAGGGAGCAACGAGGTTTATCATCTTGAGGTTCTTGGAGTTCGCCTGGATCAGACTCGCGCAGTTGACCTGGCGAGCGTGTCAGGACGGAAGGCGAAGGAGAGAGGCTCTGAGAGCTCTACCTCTCGGAGGTGAAGAAAGTTCAAGATTTTCTTAGTCTCATCGTCCAACCCCTTTGAGCCCTTGTGCCTCATCACGAGTAGCTACCACTTGGACGTGAGCCATGGCAAGACAGCGGTAAACAGCTCATGCAACTCACCAGCTTCGAGTCTTCTCCTTCTGGGGCTTCTATTCTTTTCTGTTTGTTCATTCTCCGCATGTTTTTCTGCTTCTGACGATATTCTTTTATGAAATATGATGCTTTTTTGAACCTTACCCACCATGTCAGTTGGCAGTTACATAAGGGTGCTGTTCTCTTACATGACACCGGTGGGACCAGTTGTCCTCTTCGCTCGTTGAGCAGCAAGCTGCTCTTCATGTTTCTCCTTGAGCTCTGACAAGGTCTTCCTCTTGCGCAAGACATTCTCAGGAACCACCGGGTGACCCCTGACATGAGTTGGGAATGGTTTCTCCTTCACCATCTTCGGAGCGTGCAGAGAGCAAGGAGATGATCGAGCTCCTGCAAGGAGACTTGTACGCTTGCCTCCTCCTGCTTCAACTCTTGTTCTTGTCGCAGCCCTTCCTTGCCTAGCTTTGCTTTCCCCACGTTCCCCTTGCTGCTCGACGCCTCCTCTACTAAACCGCACGTGCCACCAGTGCAAGGAGGGGATGAGGGTAAAGGTGATATGTGAGAGTAGAGGGGATGAGGGCATACTTGAATGAGGGGGATGAGTATGATCGTAACATGAGTGGGTAGGGGTAGGCAATCAAAGTACCCATGAACCCCAAGTAGTCCTGCAATAAAGTATCAATTTGCTGGTTGGGTGGTGTAACAGGGAGAGGTGGGGTGGGATGATGGATCGGGGGTCGGGATGCAGGATTCGCTGCAAGAGCGCTTGCGGGAACTACAGGAGAAGGCGAAGGAGATGGGGGGCAAGGACATGAAGAGAGCAAGAGCAAGAGTGTACAAGTCCATCGGCAAGATCATGAGCATGATAGAAGCTCGGGTGAGATCATGAGAGGTTCCGTGGAGTCAACAGCCCTAATCTGCGAAATGTGCTAATGCGTGTGGAGGGAAGTGGATGTTTGCGATGATCTCGTTGTCTTGCTTGCATGCTGCAGCTTCGACATCTGTACCTATGTCGTGCAATGTGTGAACTACGATGCTTGATGTTCTAATCTGAAAGTGAAGCTGCTTCTACCTCCTGAGGTCTTTCCAGGAGCAGAAAAAGGAAGATCCCAGCGGGGAAGATAAGCAGGGAGGTGAAGAGAAGAAGCAGAAGAAGCCTACCAAATCTGTAAATGTGGAGAAAACAAGCAGGGTTCCGCCAGAAAAATCACAGCGAGCGAACAAGAAAGAAGAGAAGAAGAGGCTACAATTTCTGAACAAGAAGATTTCGCTGCATGGCCAGCGCAAGCAGCTCAGCAAAGCACTCAGATTCTTTCAAACGATTCAAGACGAAGGCCTCAAACCGACAGACTATTCCTACACTAGCATCATTAATGCGTACGTCCGGAACGGGGATGTAGGTTGCCTCCGGTGTCGACGGGGGATGACCAGTGTCCGTGCAGATAGCGGGAGCAGCGAGAATGTTTGAGGAGATGAAGTCGAAAGGGATCAGACCAAATGTGATGGAGCTTGTCCTTTCGCCCTCTCCGCGTCTTGCTGAGAAATTTGTGCAGGTCGTGACGTTTACCACCCTCATGAAGGGATACTGCACGGTGGGGGAGATGGGGGAGGCAAACAAGGTCCTGGAGGACATGTCAAAGGAAGGCTCCCGCATCTCGCCGAACATCCGAACGATCAACACGTTCCTGAGGTCAGAGGTGGAGGGATGTGAGGGTCGAGTGTGACTCTTGGCCGCTGCCCGACGACAGGGGGTGCGTGCGGACCGGGGCAGTGAGGGAGGCAGTCTCAGTGTTCGGTCGGATGCGGGGGGAGTGGGACGTTGGAGCAGACGACTCGACGGTCGACTATGTGACGAGGTTGATGAGCCAAGGACTGATGCTCGCTGAAGCCCGAGAGACCCTCGCGCAGCACGGGTGAGAGGACTGACGGTCGTGATCGGTGGAGGGTGGGGGGGGGTGGATAAGCAAGTGGAGGAGGAAGGGAAGGGAAGGGCAGGGAGCATTGAGGTGGATGGAGAAGAAGGGGCATGCGGAGACGACGAGAGGCAGAAAAGGGGGAGAAGATGGTAGTTGGGCACCGGGAGGTCGGCGGAGGAGACTATCGGCATAGTCTTCTAGAGTCAAGGGGATGAATTTGATGGATGCGCAGGGATCTGGGAACAGGAGCCGGACAAGTTGGGCTGGCGCAGATGGCAGCACTTGTGGGGGATGTTAAGATGTCTCGAAAAGCTCTAGAAGACTTCAAGCTTGTCAAAAATCGGGTGCTTGCTAGGAGAGCAGAGAAAGGAGCTGGAGCTGGAGCTGGAGCTGGAGCTGGAGCTGGAGCTGGAGCTGGAGCTGGAGTGAAAACCAAGAACGTGGGTGTTTGAGTATCCTTCCATGATGAAGCATGTGATACAATATAAACAGAGTGAGGAGCAAGCCGATGATGCAGAAGACGATGATGGGCAAGTGAGGGACAGGGAGGACGAGGACGAGGAGGACGAGGAGGAGGGCGCAGGGTCGAAGGCCAAGAGAGCGTCAGTAGCTCTCTTCCTCAAGCATCACATCTCTGAGCTCGAGCGAGAGGCTACTGCGGTTCCGATCCTCTTTCCTTCCCGTGTCGCAACGAGACATGAAATATTCCCAGGTCGAGGATTACCTTGATCAGCTTGGAGAAAGAGCAGCAGGAGCAGCAGGAGCAGGAGGCATTGCCGAGCAATGCTCGAAGTTTCTTCTCCAGTGCTACTCAAGGACGTTGTTCATGCATGAGATCGGAGGGCAGGAGGGGATGAGAAGCGGTGAGAAGGGCATGCGTGCAGCTCGCCTCCTCTGACGTCGCAGGAAGATGAAATGGGGGCGAAGCTCGTGCAGCACTTGGACGACATCTGCGGGCTCTCACAATTGTTGAGGAGGAGGGAGGGGAGAGGAAAGAAAAAGGAGGCGAGAGAGGAGGAGGAGGAGGAGGAGGAGGAGGCCAGAAGGCGCTTAAAGGAGACGGTCTCAGGGTACTTCAATCAGGACGCACGCCTATCATGGGAGAGAGTAAGCTCTTTCCTTCTCCCTCCTCCCCCAGCGCTCACCTCCTCCCCTCAAGATCTTTTCCTCCTCCGACAGTTCCCGTGGAGCCTCTGGCGATCGGTCAGCAGCTCTCGAGCCTTCCGCACTCACTCACCTCTTCCCTCAGCTCCCGCCGGCCTGTCAGGATGGAGATCTGCTCCGGCAGCGGCGAGTGGATTGTCGAGCAGGTGCCCAGCTTGCCCGGCCCCCAGGTCAACTTGACAAGTCCAGCAGGCCAAGACAGAGCAAGCGAGCGACTGGGTCTCCCTCGAGATCAGGCACGATCGATCCCAGCAGGTCAAGTTTGCGGGCCCGGCGGCGGCACGTGATGATGCTGACGTGGCAGCAGACGGTTGTCAAGATGGCTCTGTCCAAGTTGAACAACCTCGCGGTGCTGGCGGGGGACGCGAAGCTTGTCCTCTCCCGCCGTGTGCCCACCGAGTCCCTTTCTCAGGTCGTCTACCTCCACCTGCCCCCCAGCTGGCAAGTCACTTGGAGCAGGTGCTGATCAACTTCCCCGAGCCTCCCCTCTGGAGCGGCGGCGACGGCGAGTCGACACTTCATCTCCTCACCGCGGACTTCTTCCGTTCAGCTCATCGCGTGCTGGAGGCGGGGGGCAGCCTTACAATCCTCTCCGACAACAGCCGCTACATCGCCTCCGTCCTCGCAACCCTCGCTGACCTCAAGGACGAGGAGGGGAATGAGCCGCTGTTCGTGGACAGGCGCGAACTGACCGCGGATTGGAAGAGATCGCAAGTTGTACGTGACCTCCCGTTGTTCGTCGGCCTGCCTGGTAGCGTCTCGTCTTGTCTTCTTCTCCTTCCCTATCCATACCCTTCCTTCCTTCCCTTCGACTCCCGCTCCCTCCCGCTTCCTCTTCCTCTCTCTCCTTACAGCTTTCTTCTCCATGCCTACCTGCCTTTTTTTCTCTCTCCGTTCCTCTGCTCTCCTACTCCTCCCTGTCCTCTTCGTCTGATTTCAGCGACAGGGGAAGTCTGCGGGCACTTTGCAAACTCGGGCTCTTACTTTGACAGGTGAAAGAGGAAGAGGGAGCTTGAGTTGAGGAAGGGGGCAAGCTGAAGCTGAAGTGGAGCGCGCACGTGGGGGGGGGGGGGGGGAGGAGGAGGGAGGAGGGAGGAGGGAGGAGGGAGGAGGGAGGAGGGAGGAGGGAGATAAGGGATTTCTCCACAGGCTGTGGAGCAACGGGATGCACAACAAGAGGTTCTACATCTTTGTGCACAAGAATGCAACCAAGGGGGAAGTACCGGACAAGAAGAAGAGGAAGAACAAGGTACAACAAGACCAGGAGAGGCGGGTAAAAAGATCCAAGAGCTAGCAGAGCAGGAGCGCAAGGGTGTGTTTGATACAAGGTGTTACTTCAACTGTAAGATTGTTAAAACTGTTAGAACTTGACGACCTTCGCATTCTTCGCCGCCTTCTTCTTCCCGGCCTCCTCTGTCCCCCCTTGATCTCTCCCCTTGAGCTTCTGCGGCAGCTCAAACTGAGCGTTGCCTGTGATGTCGTCGGCACTTTGCTGGTCGGGCTGCTTGTTCGCCTTCTTGTCTTTGGCTGTTCCTTTCTCAGGGCAGTCCTTGGCGAGATGTCTCTTGTCCCCGCAGATCTGATACACCACCAACATCACTTGTGATACATGGAGGCAGAGCCGGCAGATGATACGGGGCAAGACATGAACGAAGCACAAGTGAGAGAACAGGAGGATGTTGCTTGTGTTGAAGATGAATGATGATCAAGATCGACATGAAGAAGACGAGGACGAGGACAGGGACAAGAAGGAGGTCCAGAGAGGAATCAGGTTCTACCTTGCAGCATCCTCCCTTGGGATAGATCCCTCGGTCGTTCTTCGGGCATTGCGCACTGATGTGCCCCTGCTCTTTACAGATGAAGCACACGGCAAACTTCAGCCCGTTCTCCCCCTTCTCCTTGGGGCAGTTGTGGATGCTATGACCTGGTTCGCCGCAATTGAAGCAGAGCTTCTTCTTCCTCCTGCTAGCCTTGTTCGGGTTCGACGGGCAGTTGGCAAGGGTGTGACCTGTCTTCCTGCAGCACAAGCAGACGACATGAGCGTCCTTGCCGGTGGGCTTCCCTCCCTTGCTGTGCTTCTGCTTGTCCTTCATGCTCTTCTTCGGTTTCCCGCCCTGCTGCTTGTCGCTCTCTCCCTGCCCTTCCTCACCATTATCCGCCTTCTGCTTCTTCTTAGATCTGCCCTCCTCGTCATTCTCCTTCTTCCGCTTCTGCTGTTTTGGTTCGCCGCCGCCGTTTTCTTTTCCATTGCTTGCACTCTGGTTCTTTGTCTTCTTCGCTTCTTCTTGTGTTTCTTTCACATCTTCTTTACCCTTTTTCAAAACCTTCTTCTTTGTCTTCTTCGCATCTTCTTGTGTTTCTTTCACTTCTTTCGTCTCTTTGACTGCCATCACTTCCCTTCGCGGGACGATCGATGAATATCAGCTCAGCGTAATCACAACTGCAGCTCTATGTGGTATCTTCCTCTCCTCCTTCTCTCCTCTCTCTCTTCTCCTTCTCTTCTCCTTCTCTTCTCCTCTTCTTCTCTTCACTCCCTGGGGACCGCACGTGCGCTCATGGAACTTCTGGCTCACTCCAGTCCGGGCCTCGGACTCTAGTCGGCTGCCGGGCGGCCCGGCCCGGCCCCGGGCGATCCGACCCGGACCGGCGGGGCGACTCAGCCTTGTGACGGTCCGGTCGCTCAGTGCACGGTGAGCCTTCCGACTGGCCGGGCGCCGCCGCCCGCGTGCACTGAGTGCGGCGACGATGGCAGCCTGCGGTCTGGCGTCGGTCATGATCACTGGGGGGCCGGGGCCCCGGCCCGGGGCCGCCGGTTCACCGGGCCAGATCATCGGATCGCTCTCCCGACCGCACCCGTCACGGTGACAGTCATGTCACTGTGACAGTGCCGGCAGCGAAGTTTTCAAAAAGTTTGGTCCCACGTGACGCCGCGGCTGACCGGGCGACGCAGGTTAACAAAAACTCTCCCACGGTGTAAACTTCAGTAGTGACTGAGTCGTCACGGCTTCCGGGAAGTTCAGCCTGGCAGTGCCACGGTGGCCAAGACGACTGACGTGTTTCAGGACGGCAATGTAGTACGTGAGGCGAAGAGGGGGCTTTCCTAGAGTGAGCCTGGCCCGGGCTCCGGGCCCGGCCCGGCCGGGCGGCGCGGTCCGGTACTGAGAATCCGCCGAACAGGGGCCGGGAAGATGAGATTTTGGAGGACACACAAGAGATGCAGAAACGAGGATGAGAAACGCGGGGAAGAAGATTGGAGGAGGGAGAAGGCGAGGCGAAGATGAGGGCACGAAACATGTAGGAAAAGTTATGACAGACAAGTAGACAACTACCTACAAGAATCAGCAGAGGAAGCGTAATCTTTCTCGCAGCCATATCTCACGGATGTCGAAGCTGTTGTTACTAATCGTCGTCTGCATTTCTCTCAGCCTGTCGCACTCTTTTCAAATCATCGGTCATCACTGCAACTCCAACCCGAAAAATGACCTGTCCTTGTGCTACAAGAGATGGCGACATGGTCAAGGCGCGTTGGGCCACCGAATGAGCAACCCGTCGGGTCAGGGGCAAGCATGCAAGTCAACAGAGACATCTATAGGAAGGATCCTCCTCCGTGCATGTGCGAACGTTTGTATGATCGCTCGGATCACAACTTTCAAGCTCGCATGCTTGTGCTCCCGAGTTGTGCTCGAAGTGTTGGATGTGCTGTTGTACATGATGCAAGGGGTCAAGAGGTTGTGTGCACGGTGGGGAACGAGCAAGAGAGCACGGAAGAGTGTCTGTATCATCGGAGGATCGTTCGGCGGGTTGTCATGCGCCAGGAACTTGATGGATGACTTCAACGTCACCGTCATCGACCAACGAGATTTCTTCGAGTACACCCCTGGGGTACTTCAGCTCCTTGTGAAGCCGAGCATGTTCAAGGACCTCTGCTTCCCGCTGAGCCTGCTCGAGGTGAAGGGGAAGGAGGAGGAGGGATGATGCTGTCAGTGATGTACTTGCAGGGGGTGAACTTCTGTCATGGGACTGCCGTCGACGTTCACGATGGCTCGGTGGATTTCCTTCCTCACGGGAGCGGAGAAGCGCAGCGGGTCAAGTTCGACTTCCTCATCCTCGCCTGCGGGAGTAACTACAGTGAGGGCATCAAGCCGGATCCCAGGGAGTTCGGGATGCAGCAGAGGGAGGAAGGATGGAGAGCCCGAGCAGAGGAGGTGGCCAAGGCTTCCAGTGTCCTCGTCGTGGGTGGGGGGCCGGTGGGCGTGGAACTTGCGGCTGAGATAGTAGAGAAGTTTCCTTCCAAGTCAGTCACCCTGGTAGATGCACATCAGAGTCTGTGCGAGACTTTCGCCTCCTCCTCCTCCAAGAGGTACATGTTGGAGTGGCTGACCCGCCGCAACGTGCGAGTCCTCCTCGGCCACCGCTGCATCCCGCAAGGCAGCGACGGGGCAGTTAGAACCTTCCTCGTCGGGGAAGAGACTGTAGTGAAGTGACGCCCCATCTCTGCTCCTCACGCTCTTTGCACAGGTCAGGGCTGATCGGGTGTACTGGTGCCTTGGAGGCAGACCCATGACGGGTTTCCTAAAGGACTCAAAGATGCGGTTCACGCTGAAAGACGACGGCTCGATCCTTGTATCTGACCACCTTCTTGTATGTCGACGTTGCTGTGCTGCCTCTGGTTGTTGACGAGGATGGTGAAGGTATACAATAAGAGCAACATCTTTGCTGTCGGGGATGCGATCAGCATCGACGGGTTGCCGGATGAGAAGCTTGGTCACACAGCAGAAATCCAGGCCAAGCTCGTCTGTAACAACATCAGATCTTCGCTTACGGGATCGAGAATGCATCATTACATCCCGAGTCTTGAGAGCAGGTGCAGCAGCATTCTACCCTTTACCCCCATCTACCTCCATCCCTTCCAATCGTTCTCACTCCAGAGTTGCATCTCTTTGAAATGCCTAACTGCAGGATGTACTGCCTGTCTCTCGGGAAGTACTCCGGATCAGTGAGGTTGGGACACTTCACCCTCAACGGCTTCGTCGCTGCGCTCCTCAAGTGGGGGATCGAGTGGTGAGAGAGAAGTTTTCCTGCCTCTCCATCTCTTTCCTCATCTTTACTGATCACAAACATGCAGGACGAAAGTAGCGCAAGCCAGAGGTCGACCCGTCGGGAGGGTGCTATGGCGCTTATCGGACGCGCTGACCTCCAGGACGGTGGACCACCACAAGACAAGACCCCCTCCTCCCTCACACACCAGCATGCGCATCCGATGACACTCCACATAAACGACCTCCTCCCTCCTCTCCTGCCTGCCTCCAGGGCAGCATCACATGTAGCAGATGGACTTGGCAACCTCGTCTGACTTCTCTTTGGAGATGAGCTCCCTGACCACCGCTAGTCCGAACTCCGTCGCCGTCCCTGCCCCACGTGACGTGATTATGTTGCCGTCCACAACGACCGCCTGCTCCATGATGTCGGGGATGGTCTCCTTCACCGAGAAGTGGGCTGTGTACTTGGATCCCAGCACCCCGGCCTGATGCAACACCGTAGGAGCAGCACAGATCGCCGCAAGCTTCACAGACTTCTGATGGTGCCTGAACCCATTATCATCCTCCCACAGTCTTTCCTCAGTACCTCCTCTTCTCCATCACCTCCTCCTTCCTTCACCTCTTCTTTCCTTCCTCACTCTCTCACCCTCCTTCACCTCCTCCTTCCTTCCTCACTATCCCCCTCCCCCCCCCCCTCCCTCCCTCACGAACTCCTCCTCCTCCCTCTCAAGTCCCCTCACCTCTGCACAATGCTGATCACACGGGCGTCCTCTCGGAGATGCTTCGTCCCCGGGCCTCCGGGGCAGAGGACGCAGTCGAAGTCTTGATCCTTGACGGCATCCAGGTCCACGTCAGCGGACATGATGATGTTGCTTCTTCCCTTCACATGCAGATCCTTCGTCAACGACGCCACAGTCACCTGAGCTCCTGCCCTGCGCAGGATGTCGATGGGGGAGACGGTCTCGATCTCCTCGAATCCTTCGCAGAGAAACACAAGAACAGTCTTCGTCATAGCCTGACAACCGTCTCAGTTCACGGAGAGCTGATGGTGCAGTCTTGAAAACATTCCCTCCTCACCGCATCGCATCCTCCAAAGTTTGTCCTCTATTGTCACACACGCCTCTCATCTTTCCGTCTCCCTGCTCCCCATGCGACTCATCTTGCACTTTCTGCTCCTAGTCCTGCTTCTGCTTCTGCTCCTTGATCTTCATCCCTGCACTTCTCATTCCTCTCCTCCTGCCTCTCCTCCTCCCCATCTCGTTCGCCGCCTGCCTCCTGCATTCCTCGAAAGGTTCTGCGGCTTCTGCGGCTCATCCCCTCTCATCCCCATTCTTTAAGGGCATCATTTTATTGTAATTGACATTTGCTATCTGTTATTTACTGCCTTTTGTATCTCTGCCTCGGCGGGTCGGGCAGAGTTTTCAAAGTTTGGTAGATGCAACTTCAGGATCAAAACTTTGGAAACTTTTGCCTTGGAAAGTTTGGAAAAGAAAAACTTCCACGGGAGGCCAGAGCCTTGCAGGCCATGGCTACGGCGATCCGTGGGTGGTGATAGTAGGGGGGCGAAGGAGAGGAGAGGAGAGGAGAGGACAGGAGAGGAGGACAGGACAGGACAAGAGAGAAGAAGAGAGGGATCAGAGGCAAGTCAACCCTACAATCAGCTTCAATCGTTGCTATGTCTTTGTCGTCGACAGCATGGATCGTGTTCTCCATGTTGTGCATGTCTCCGGTATACCACGCTAGCCATGAGCACCTCCTTTCTTTGAGGCATGCTTTCATGGCACCTGATCGCGGACACCTCGTCCGACCTAGGGCCGGTGGGAACACCCTTACCCTGAAAGGAGGATCCGATCAGAGTAGCCAGAAGGTGAACTGTAACATGGTGATGGTCGGGCATGTTGATGCAGGCAAGAGCACGATCAGCGGTCACCTGCTCTACTCCTTCGGCCAGCTCGACGACAGAACCCTGGACAAGTTCACCAAAGAATCGACGGCCATGGGAAGAGCCTCCTGGAAGTTCGCATGGGCGATGGACTTGACTGCTGAGGAGCGGGAGAAGGGCAAGACGCATGAGGTCGGGCAGGCCTACTTCGAGAGCGAAAACAGGAAGTACACACTCCTAGATGCCCCAGGGCACAGGGGCTACGTGCCGAGCATGATCGCAGGAGCGGCTCTAGCTGAGGTAGCAGTGCTGATCATCTCTGCAAGGACGGGGGAGTTCGAAGCAGGGTTCGAGAAGGGGGGCCAGACGCGGGAGCATGCGATCCTCATCAGGAGCACGGGAGTCCGGCACCTGATCGTGGCCGTGAACAAGATGGACGAGTGCTCGTGGAGCAAGGAGCGGTACGACGACATCGTAGGGAAGCTGCAGCCGTTCTTCAAGTCCATAGGCTATGGCTTGAGCGAGGTCGTCTTCCTCCCGCTGGACGGCCTACACGGAGTGAACCTCAAGTCTCGGATGGGCCCTGACGTCTGCAGTTGGTACGATGGCCCCTCCCTCATCGAAGCCCTCGATACGGTCAAGCTCGTCAAATCGCAGCCCTCGCTCCCCGTCCGCTTCCAAGTGTCTTGCGCGTATCGGGAGACAGACGTCTACCTGCTGGGGAAGTTGGAGTGCGGGGTGATCAGAGCAGGAGAGGAGCTCCTCCTCCTCCCCGACAACTCGGTGATCACCATCACTCAGATCTTCTTCGAGAGCACGAGTGTGGAGGAGTCGTCGGCAGGCGACATCCTTCGCCTAAAGGTCCTTCCTTGTGAGCAGAGGGGTCGCGGGAAATGACATTGAAATCAGGTGAAGGGTTGCACGGAAGACGTTCCTGCTGGAAGTATTCTCAGCCCGTCGAAAGGTGTTGGAAGGGCGAAGGCAACCAGATGGTGAGAGGAGGGCGAGGAGGAGGAGGAAGTGGAGGAGGAAGTGGAGGCAGAGGAGTTGAAGACGAGATGATGGGGCAGGAGGAGGAGGAGGAGGAGGAGGAGGTGGTGGTGGTGGTGGTGGTGGTGGTGGTGGAGGAGGAGGCCGATGATGATGATGATGACGATGCGCAGCATTGAGGTCAAGGTGAACATCCTGGACTGCAAGAGCATTATCGCTGCCGGATACTCGTGAGCGCTCCCCTAGCTCGTCACTGTGCTGACATTGGCTCAGTTGCATGTTCCACTGTCACTCCATCGCCACCGATTGCACTTGGGAATCAGTCATCTCAGTCATAGACAAGCAGGTCAAAATCACCAGCTGCTCCTCCCTTGCCCCCCCCCCCCCCCCAGCTCACTCCCATCCCTGTCCCTCCCTCTTCTACTTTTCCTCCCTTTCCTCTATCGCACTCCCCTCCCCTCCTCGTGATCTATCCGTCTCTCCGTTTCTCTCGTGCTTCTCATCCTCATCGTTCAGCTCGGAGAGGTCAAACGTCCGTTTGTTCGACGGGGTCAATCTGCCGTCCTAAGGCTGGAGTTCTCCTCAGAAATCTGTGTCGGTGAGTGACCATGAATATTGTTCATTGCCTGCTCATCTGACTCATCGCAGAGACATACAAGGACTTCTCTCAACTCGGACGCTTCGTCCTCCGAGAGGTTCTTTTCCCCTCTTTCTCCTTCTCCTCTCAACTCGGGCATGCAGGACGGGTTGACTATCGGCATTGGCATCGTCCTGAATCTTCTCTGAGCTCCCAATGGGCCCCATCGAGCCGAGTTAGTCATTTCATTAATCCACAGTATTCTTAGAGTTGTCATGCTCAACAGTGTTACTCGCCCCCCCTCTCTCATGAAGTTGCGATCTGGTTCTGCAGGCTCAGGCACCTGCTCTCAAGCTCCTGAAGCCTCTCCTGCCGTAACAACACTCGTCAGCAAACGCAAGATGGGAAGGGTCAGGGTAAACCTGTACGTTCAGCTTGTGCTGGGCGGCAAGCGAGCACAGCGCCATGAGCGAGTCGCTGCGAGCTGCTCGTCTCCTCTGATACCCGCTCTGGACCTCCTTGAACTCTCGCTGGAGCTCCTCCACCTTCTTCTTAGCGGCGACGAGCCGAGCTTTTCCCATGCTCATCCCGCTGGCAACCATCTCCTCCAAAGCCTGGACCTCAGTCGCTGTGTTCTTCAGCTCCATCTCGAGCAGCTCCTTGTCCCTCACCAGCAGCTGCTCCTTGGTGCGGCAGTCCTCCTCCAGGTTCGCGATCTCCTCCTTCTTCTCCTCCACCTGCATCTGCATGTCCCGCACCTTCTCCTCGCTCTCCATCCGCTGCGAATGAACCTCCTGCGCCTTCTCCAGGAAGGAGTCGCGCAGGTTGACGAGGTCCTGCTTGAGGCTCGACTTTCCTCCCAACGCGATGAGCTGGTCGACGCCGTTTCCTCTAGACGCCACCGGGATGTCAAAGGAGATGCCGTTGGCATGCTTTGCTGTGGACGGAACAATCTTCATCTCAGTCGCCATGCGGTTGTACTCTTGGATCTGTTTCTCGATCTCTGCCTGCTTGTTAGCCAAGGAGATCTCAGCGTTGTAGATGTTGTTCTGAAGACTCTCCTTCTCCGCTGCCGTCTTCCTGAGGTCGTCCTGCAATCGACCTCTCTCCGCTGCGATCCTCTGGGCATCGATAGCTTTCGTCTCCTGTTGTCCGACAACCTCCTGCAAGTGCGCCTTCTCGGCCTCTGTCGCCTTCAGCTCTGCTTCCTTGGCCGCTGCGTCCTCTTTGATCTCTGTAGTCTTCTTCTCCACATCCACGAGATGCTTCTCGAGGTTCGTGATGAGCAGCTTGAACTTCTCCAGATCCTTCTGGAGCAGGGAGCGCTTCGTCTGAAGCTCCTCAAGCTTGGACTCTGAGAGCTCTTCTATCTCCTCCTCCATTTTCCTGTTTGCTGTGTTGAGACGATCGACTTCCTCCTGTGTTGCTTCATTCTTAGCGTTGAAGGCCTGTGCCAGCTCCTGCTCGATGTACTCATCGTTGTCGCTGCCTTGCAAGAACGAGTCATAGGCCTTTGCCAGGTAGTCGAAGAACATCTTGTCAGGGTTCTCGGATTCAGGGTCCTCCATCATTGCGATTTCTACTTGCTTCTCATACTGGAGCAGCTCAACGATCCACACGAGAGAGGCGAGGAGCGAGGGCCAGGCATGCGGAGAGCCGACAGCTTGAAGGTGGCTCTTGCTCACGTTGAAAGGATATCGCAGACGTCTGAACATGGCTGGAACATCCTCCGCAATGTTCTGGCTCAGCTGAAACTTGGGATCGATCTTATTGTACAGGAACATGAGGATGTGAAGGTAATCCTTGGTCGTGGGAGCATCCAACTGCTTGAGACTGATCTGGCGGTCGTAGTTGTTCTCGACAAGGAACTCGATGAGGCGATGCTTCGCCGCATTGATGAAAGCCTTGTCTTTCACGTTCCTCGGGTCGTCCATCTGCTTCGAGGGCCCACCTGCTGCAAGGGTTGAGCGCCGCCCCCCCGGGGCCATGGACTGCCGTCCTCCTATCGAGCTCTTGCGCGTGCCGAAGCCTCCAAGGGTTGACTGTCTCCCGAGACTTGCCTTGCCAGGCGCTAGCGACGCGCGAGGTGCGAGCGAGGTGCGCGAGTTCAACGAACTCGCTGAAACAGGGGCTAACGACTTCCGCATCTGAACAGCGACAAGTTAGTTTGTGATGATTGAAAAGTTTGGGCGTATTCACGACTCAGTTAGTTGAGACGTCAAGGCACAATTCCTCACTGCTTGTCTGACTTGTCTATTTCATTTCATGTCTCGCACTCTACACGGTTTGAAATTCCAACGGCACATTCTCTTTCACCACGAGTGAGAAGTTCTGTTCACATCGTCCTCTTGACATCTACATGCATCATTGCATCAGCACAGTCGTGCTGTCTGCTGTGTACTCGGCATCTCCAAACTCTCAACGTGCAAATCTTCTGAATGTGGTTCTCTACCCATCCTCTTTCCTCTCCTTCCTCCTCACCTCTTACTTTCTATCCTTCTTCTCTTCATATCCTGGATATTGTTGCCGTTTCCCTTCCCCTCTCCTCCCCTCTCCTGCCCTCCCCCTCCCTCCCTTCCCCTGCATCGCTCTACGGGCGGGCATTTCGACTTCCGAAGGTCTCTTTCGGCCAGAGGGGGTGGGTTGGTAGGGGTCCATACACCAGGATTACCCATACCTTAGTAGGGGTACCAACATTTATCCAACGGTATACCATGGGAAATGAAGGGGTACTTGTAGAGTTTAGCTACAAATAGGGGGTGGGGGTACCAGGGGTGGGGGTCTTGTCACACAGAATTTCAAAAAAAATTCCGTTGGGTGGGGGTGGAGGTCCTAGGGTGAGTAGGAACCCTAAGACTCGAGACCCTCTACTAGGACTCAAGCGGTAACCACGAATGTTGTTGGACCGTACCGTACCCGGGCCGGACCCAGGGCAGTGGCAGGACTGACTGGCCCAGGCTTCGGGGAGTCTCTACCGGCCCCACAGTCAGTTCACAGGGCGATTTACTATTGAACTTTCATAGACATCACTGCCCGATCATCATCGGAGCCTTCGGCGACACTGTCAGTTGAGCAAGCTTGCTGCTCGCTCGAGGGATTGTTGCAACTCCTGCGGCAGGAGAGTGAGCAGCATGAGAAGGAGAGGGTCGTCATGGTGACATAATGATTGAACTCGGCATGGCAGACAAACGCGCGATCCTTCTGTGTCCTCCTCCTCCTCACCTCCATCTCCTGGTCGAGAAACTTCAATCCGGCTGACCGTGACAAGATCATTCCCTCCGAAAGCTTCCTGTCAACAAGGCAATCAAGAGGCCGGGCTGAGCACATCACGACGGCAACGAGGAACAAACTGCTTCAGGCGCAACAACTACAACGAAAGCAGAAGAATCTCTTCTTGAAAACCTACTTTGTTCGCGGCAGCTCTTTGGCAGCTGGGCATGTCGTGGGAACAGCTTTAGACTTCGGGTCAGGTGCCCTGGATAAGGTCCTGCTCCTCAAGATCTCCGGCTTCTGTTTCAGAACGTCGTGCACCTGGCGGAAGTCATAGTCAGAGATCGGCAGCAGGGATGCGGCAGTCCTGACGTGTCCACGGAGACCTTCCGAGGAGGAGGAGGAGCTTGTATCACTAGAACTCTCGACTGACTTGGTCTGTGTCAGCTTGTCCTGTTGCCTCCTCCTCTGCGTGGTTGAAGATATCAGCACAAGGGGCGGTATCCCAAGTTTCCAACTCACAGCAGCAGACAACATAGCCCGTCCCTGCGGTCTGTTCGGGGCTCCTCCTCCCCCGTTACAGACATCTGTATCCTCACTGAAGTCCTGGGTCTGCGTCCCTATCGTGTGCAATGACTGGGATTGGGCTCCATGGCGAGCAGCGTCAGGTGGCTGATGCAAGGAAAGAGGACGTTCATCTGAGGGATTTCTTGACCTCACTGTCATCTGCTTGTTCTTGCCTGTCTTGGGACTCTTATCTTCACTCTCTTCCTCCGAGACATGCAGATGTCTGCAAAGTTGCAGCAAGGAGTTCTCCATGGTTGAACATGGTTCTGATAGCCTGTCTTGCATCTCCTGGGAGTTGGGGGGCGTGCTACCCCCCTGAACTAGCGCGTCTGCAAGGATACTTTGAAAGCCTTGAAGGGACCTTGCCATGGAGTTCAGAGCCTCCAACACTTTGAAGTCTTTCTGACTCGTCTTGTCTTGCTCGTGTGTGCCTTTTGTTTCTTCCTTGACCGGGTTCTTGTTGACTATGAGATCTTGCATTTGCTTCTCAAGCTGCTGCCTGCAAAACACCTCCTTCCTCTTCTGAACCAGCGCTTCGTCTCGTTCTTCCAATGCCCTCCGCAACGTAGAGGACGTTGCTTCCAACCTTGACGTCAAGACTTGATTTTTCTCCTGCAACTCAGCAAGTTGCCGTATTAAACAAGCCTCTCTTCGCTGAACCTCCTGCAACTTCCCTGACAACGCGTGATGTCTTGGACAAGGCCTTTACAAACCCAAAGATTAGCTTCATCGTCTCCATGTCTGCAATCCTCACCTTCCAGCATCATCTTTGAAGTTCTCTGAACAGTTTGACACATTTTCAAATCTGACCATGACTGCACCTTTGAAGTCTCCTGTCTCTTATTTCGCCATAGTTGAACAAATCAATGATGCAGCATCAAGATCAGATGTCGTTCAGAGTTAGATCAGATGTCGTTCAGAGTTAGATCAGATGTCGTTCAGAGCTGTCGCTTCCTCCTTCGACATCAAATCTTCCCCTCTACAGCGATACCAAAGATGGGGGTAGGGGTCCTTCAAAATCGGATAATCAAAATCAAACAGGCGTGTAAAATTGTATAAAGGGTATAAAATGTAATGTTGATACCTGTGACATTTTTCTAGGGCCGTTGGCTCCAGAATCGGGAATCTGTGAGGGACTGGAGAGGGGAGGGGGGAGAGGAGAGGAGAGGAGGACGGAAGAGGAGGACGGAAGAGGAGAGGAGCGAGGAGAGGAGAGGAGCAGGATAAAAGCCCGAGCACGTCACTGCATGATCGATGGGAGGATGTGTTTCGTCTACCCCAACATCCCCACTAGCAGAGGACCTCAGCCTAAGGAGGGAAGCGTCCGAGCCCATGAAGACCTCGCCCCACCTTACTGCTCCTTCGGGACCAGCCTCCGCTCCTCCCACGCTCCGGGCTGGCCGTTCAGCAGGTGCTGGTCGAGGCTGCGAAGGAGTTACCACTGCTGAGTGACTGTTTGGTGGTTCACTGCAGAGATCGACGTGCCAAGCAGAGCAGAGACGAAAACTGCCGGGGCATCGGCAGACGCAACTGCGAGCAAAGATCAAGGCACGCCTCCTTGAGTAGACCTAGCAAGCTAACCTCCCTTCCTCCTTCAGGGTCTCTGCCGTTCCCCAAGGAAGGAGTGACGCTGGAAGTCTTCAGGGAGTTCGTGGAGAAGTGTGGGGGGCAAGCAGCTCTGTCAGGCCTCACCACGACTGACGTGTGCGAGAAGTACCTCATGAAGTTCACCGCAGCACACGGAGGGGTCTCCTACTGCCAGCTGCTGCAGATGGAGGGGCATGCGGGGGTGAGCAGGGCGCAGGTGTTTATCTCGCATGCCTGGAAGTACAACTTCCTTGATGTCGTGAGCGCGATAGAGTCTCACTTCAAGGGCAGCAGCACCGTCATCTGGTTCGACCTCTTCAGCAACAACCAGCACGGGGCCCCGAACTTGCCGTTCGAGTGGTGGAGCACGACGTTTGCGGAGGCGATTAGGGATTTCGGGCATACTGTAATGATCCTTTCCCCTTGGAACAACCCTATCCCTCTGACTCGAGCTTGGTGCCTGTTTGAGCTGTTCCAGACGGCAAGGACGCGCAGCCGGTTCAGCGTCGCCATGAGCGAGACGGAGGCGAAGAAGTTCTGGTCCGAGCTGTCGATCGATACCTACCTGGGGATGCTCGGGCAGGTGGATGTGGAGAACAGCGAGGCGTTCAAGAGGGAAGACAAGGAGAGGATCTTCGCGGTGATCAGAGAAGCTGGAGGGTTTGATCATCTCAACGCTCTCGTCCTCTCCTCCATGCGCGATTGGTTCACTGCCGCTGCTGAGCGCCAGGCACTTGTCAGCCATCAAGACGAGGACGACGACTTGTGGGGCAGGATGAAGCTTGCTAGCCTCTACTGCAGTCAGGGCAAGTACGAGCTGGCGGAGCCTCTCTACGTCGAGTGTCTGGAGAGGCAGCGGAGAAATCTTGGAGCTGATCACCTCGGCACGGTGTCCGGTATGAGCAACCTGGCGGGGCTCTACAAGAGCCAGGGGAGGTATCAGCAGGCAGAGCTCCTGTACACCCAGTGTCTTGCCAAGTTGCAAAGTTGCCTCGGGGCGGATCACCCGGAGGCCCTGACGAGCATGAGCAACCTTGCGGGGGTGTACAAGAGCCAGGGCAAGTACGAGGAGGCCGAGGGCCTGTACCTGGACTGCATCGGCAAGGTCAAGGACAGGCAAGGAGCTGACCATCCTGACACCCTCACCAGCATGAGCAACCTTGCAGGCCTCTACTTCCATCAGGGGCGATACGAGGATGCGGAGCCTCTCTACCGCCAGTGTCTGCAGCTGCGGCGAGTCAAGCTGGGAGAGGATCACCCCGACACCCTGACGAGCATGAGCAACTTGGGGTCCCTCTGCTTCAACGAGGGGAAGTACGAGGAGGCGGAGGAGCTGTTCAGAGAGTGCGCGGAGAAGAGGCGGGTGAAGCTGGGGGAGAGCCACCCGGACACGCTGACCAGCGTCAACAACTTGGCGGCCCTGTGCAGGAGCCAAGGGAGGAGCGAGGAGGCAGAGGCTCTTTGGCTGGAGTGTCTGGAGAAGCGGCGGGCGAGCTTGGGAGAGGACCATCCTGACACCCTCACCAGCATGAGCAACTTGGCAGGGCTCTACAAGATGCAGCGCAAGTACGAGCAGGCAGAGCCACTCTTCCTCCTCTGCGTGGAGAGACTTCGAAGTCAGCTGGGAGAGGATCACCCCGACACCCTGACGAGCCTCAACAACCTTGCGGGCCTCTACTACAGTCAGGGCAAGTACGAGTTGGCGGAGCCCTTGTACGTCCTCTGCCTTGAGAGAAGGCGGGAGAAGCTGGGGATCGATCACCCAGGTACTCCCACGAGCATGAGCAACCTTGCGGGGGTGTACAAGAGCCAGGGCAAGTACGAGGAGGCCGAGGGCCTGTACGTCGAGTGCTTCCAACTCTTCCTCAGCAAGCTCGGAGCTGACCATCCTGACACCCTCACCAGCATGAGCAACCTTGCAGGCCTGTACAAGATGCAGCGCAAGTACGAGGATGCGGAGCCTCTCTACCGCCAGTGTCTGCAGCTGCGGCGAGTCAAGCTGGGAGAGGATCACCCCGACACCCTGACGAGCATGAGCAACTTGGGGTCCCTCTGCTTCAACGAGGGGAAGTACGAGGAGGCGGAGGAGCTGTTCAGAGAGTGCGCGGAGAAGAGGCGGGTGAAGCTGGGGGAGAGCCACCCGGACACGCTGACCAGCGTAAAGAATCTTTCTGTCTGCCTTGAGGCACAAGGTAAAGTCGAGCTGCTAGCACGACCGAGCCTCTCACTATGAAGTGCAGGCAAAATCCTGGAAGGATGAGGGCGTTGGAGCTGTTGGAGCTGCGGGAGTCCCGTCGATGTTTGTTCTCAGACTCCAGGGGCTGAACCCTTCAGTTCTTACATGTGAATTTCGTTGAAAATCAAGATAAAAATAACTTCCCCCCTGCTCAAACCCCCAGAATTCTCCCTCACTTCTTGTCAAAACCCGCTGAGCAAGTGCAATGTAAGACAAACATCATCGCCATTCAAGTCAATCACCTGAGAGCGGCAACTTAAATCCTGCTTCCTTGTACGCCCTGGTCATCCCATCGTCCATGGCCCTCCACGCCAGGCGCTGTTTCCTGGCGTCTTTCGCCATGGTAATCACTTTCTTCTGCTCGTCAAGATCCTGCAAAGCCTTGTGCTTCTCATCTCGAATCTCCTTGAGCTTGCTCTCCTGCTCGTTGAGCGCCTTCTTTGTGCTCTTCACGATGTCCTGGAGCTTCGACAGCTCCTCCTGGTCCACCTTGTTCGCGTTGGGGAGCCCCATGTTCCGTCTCGCCTGCTCCTTCAGCTCCTTGATCTTGGCCCGCATGTCTCCGGAGGTCATCGCCGAGTTCATCCCGGGAAGCTTCGACCATGGTCGCCCTTCCAGGCAGAACTTGGACGACTTGGGCAGTCCCGGCAGGTCAGTGCAGTCAGCAACGCCGACGTCTGGCGTCTCTCGGCCCAGGATGGTGTCCGACGTTACCCCGCTTGTCAGCATCTGCCCCTTTTGGGGCATGATCTGCCGCTCAGCCATGGTACCCGACGACTCGCCCCCCTCGTCCGAGCCCGAATCCGAATCCGTAAGCTCCCTAGCGATTTGAGCTGCGGACAGCCCGTGGTTGTCGAACGCCTCGACGATCTTGGAAGCGATCGTGCGGAGAAGCTCCTGCCAATCCCCGAATGATCTTGGGAACTCAACAGCGCCCTCCCCACTTACCTTGGCAGCCTCGTCCTCCTCCGCCTTGTACTGATCAACCATGTCGGTCACTTCACGGACGACCTGAGGAGGCAGACATCAGCTCACGTCCATCAGCCAGCATGCGGATCTTGCACGGGGCGCGATCTCCAACAACATCTACCTGTCCAGGTCGCGCATCCCTCCTCGCCGTACCCTGGAAGCCCTCCTCAGCATTCTGCTCTCCAGGTCCAGTCAGCAGCTCGAGCTTCTTGGCACCGATCCTAGCACGCGCAAGTGAGGATGAACGAGATGAGAGGAAGAGATGAGAGGAATATGCATCTTTCTGTGTGTATACTCCAGCAGCATACGCTGCGAGCCCACATGGTTCATAAGGTGAGACTTACGGAGTTGGCGGTTTCTCGGGTGCATCCAGGGCATGCAGCCTAGTGGCCTCTCTATGCACCTGCAGCGACATGTTGAGATCACTCATGTCAAGAGCACAGTTGTTCTTGAACCTGCTCCTTTGTCCTCTTCAAGAGGTTCTCAACTGAGTCGAACTCCCCTGGCACAATCGCCTTTGCTGGCAGCTTCCCCTTTTCTGCATCAGAAAGAAACGATTCTGCGCCCTTGAGGGTGTTCATCCATCTCCTGCCGAGCAAGGTTTGTGAGATGCATCGAAACGGAGGCAAAAGCATAAGAAGCAACCTGACTGACGCGTCCTGTTTGAGTACAACTCTTCCCGCATCACCCTTTGAAGAAGTCATTTCGAGCAAGGTAAGATTACACGTAAAGCAAGTTGAGGTAAAATATGAGGTAGACAATGCTCTCTTGTGTTAGCACACGTTGGAGGAAGAACAAGAATCATCCGAGAAATCACTACACAACTGAATCCATAAGGAAAGCATATGCAACATGGGTTCATCCACAAAGATTGGTTGCGGAACAGGAAAAGGACGATGATTGAAACTCAAACTCTTGTTGCACCTGTCTTCCTCCCTCCTCGAACTTGCTGAGCATGAGCGCCGCGCCCAACAAGACCGCTATCGCCATCGCCCCGACTACCGCTCTGCCAGCCATGACTGCGAAGAGGCGCTGTAACGGAATAACGTTCTGTCGCGGATACTAGCGGATACTAGCGGATACTCGCGGATACTCGCGGATACTCGCGGATACTTCTTGTTTGGATCGATTTAGACAGTTGGGGTGGGGTGGGTTCGAAGCAGTGGTAGGGGTAGATAAAACTTGTTTCAGAAGGGGTGTATTGATGGTAATAAGAAGGGGTACCGAAGAAAGAACACCGGTAGCAAACCGATCACTTTGTCGCACTACAGCCTAATGCACAAGGGTAGTGCTAGAAGGGGGAAGTGGGTGGGGTGGTCAAGCCGGTAGCTAGGGAAGACGCTACAGCGTTCATGGAGAGCTCGGAGCGAAAAGAGGAGGGAGGAGGGAGGAGGAGTAGGAAGGAAGAGAGGAATATGATCAGAGAAGAAATGTGGGAGTTGCAGGAGAAGACAGATAGACAGGAAAAAGAGACATGCAAGCCATGAGCAAAACCTTTGTTGAAGGTCATGGAAGCTGTTTTGGTGTTGATTTGGGAACTACGGCATGCGTTAAGAGTGCTACGAAGAAGCAGATCCGATTGGATGGAGTAAACTGCGAGACACAAATGCTAGACCGAACAATGACGACAACAAGAGCGAAAGAGAGGAAGGCTGAAAGAATGAAAGGAACGAGACAAACTAGGCGACAGCGAAGAACGCGAGGAGTGTTGCATGTGGGATTCGCTCTCGGGTTGGGTTGTACGTATGATACAGATAGTAAGACTGGAAGTCATAGCAAGTGTGTCACGCCAAAAAAAGAATCTGTTGCATCTTGGTCAATGCGCTTTGTTTGACACTGGTGAACAGTAGGATTCGATTCAAGGAGACTCGCAATGTTCGGTGGTTCAAAGAAAGGGCTGGAAGATGAATTGTTCAATCTCAAGTTTGTATCCAAGCAGCTGCAACGAGAGTCGAAGAAGGCGGAGAAGGAGATGATCAAGGAGAAGGAGAAAGTGAAGAAGGTTCGCAACAACGCTGCTCGTTGCCTGTGAAGTTAGACCCTTCCCCAGGCTCTGGAACAAGGAAAACATGATATAGCTGAGATCCATGCACAAAATGCAATTATGCAGAAAAACCAGAATTTGAACTACTTGAGAATGTCTTCGCGCATTGTAAGCATTCTCCTTCTTCATTGTTGTCTTCCATTGATTTTTATTCTTAGGATGCTGTAGCTGGCAAACTTGGAGCAGCGATGAAAATGCAGAAAGTTACAAGCTCCATGGCTCAGGTACACCCTAGATATCTCCTGCTCTCCCAGACGTTCTTGAGATCCACTCTCATCTCTTGGGAATCGTCGGTTCTTGACTTGTCTGCTTTCCAAGATCACGAAGTCGATGGGTAAAGTGCTTCAGACGATGAAATTGGACAAGATTGAAGCAATCATGGACAAATTCGAGAAGGTGTGCATCTTGTAAGTAGAATGTATCTGTCGTGTGCTGAGCTTGTCGCCCAAAGGTCTTTGAGGACGCAGACGTCATGTCCGCCCAGGTCACTGGAGCGATGCAGAGCAGGTTGAGCTTTTGCCCTCAGATGATACATGAGGGATGCAGGCCAAGGAAAAACTGACTTGTGTTGTGTAGCACGTCCATGTCAACGCCACAAAGTGAAATCGAGGAGCTCCTGCAACAGGTCCGATCGCTTCTCCTCGTGGTTCAGTTTCCCGGCTAGTTCTCTGATGTGTTTGCTCAGGTTGCTGATGAGAATCAAATCGAGCTCAGAGAAAACATGCCGCAAGCGGTGATCGATGCACCCTGGCACGCTATGGTGTTGTTTGACACGTTTGCAGGGCAAGAATGTCGCCAAGGAAAGCGAACCGGTGCAAGAGGAGGACGAGCTCATGAGGAGGTAGACATCAACTGTCTCCTCTGCTTCAGAGTGATTGATCCCCACAGACTGGCGCAACTCAAGGCTCCGCAATAACGAAAGAGCTCGAAGCTAGATGCGGAAGGAGACAGGACAATTCCTATGAAGCCATTGATGGAATGGACTTTGGTGGCATGGCGACTTTTCCGACGGGGATTTGATTCATGGGTGTACTTCACTCAATCATATTCATCGCAAAAGAATGGGAGTATTATTAGACAATTTTGTAATCATATCCGATGTTTCAATGGTCGTTTAATGAAAAGTTTGGAACTGCACGGCAAAAACAGGAGGAGTCAAGGCCTTCAAACATGAAGTCTGTAACTTTGCTGATCATTTACAAATTCTCCAGGGCTACTAATCAATACATGCGCTACTCGTAGTCCTCCTCGGATTCAAGTTCTTCAATGTCATCCTCCAACTCCTCTTCTGACTCCTGTTCTGAATCGCTCGTCTCGTCTTCTTGCTCCTCCTCCTCCTCCTCCTCCTCCTCCTCCTCCTCCTCCTCCTCCTCCTCCTCTCCAGCATCTTCACCGCTTGCATCCTCGTCCCCATCAGAATCCTCCAGCTTCATATCCTGATTCGCTGAGCCCGCTTGTGCTTCTTCTTCTACTTGGCTCTTCCCTCCCGATTTCAGCATATCAAGGAATTCTTTCTTTGAGACCTTGTCTGACTTTGCATTCTTCTTCTCAGCATTGCTCTCTTCTACTCGCTTCCTTTGTTGTTCCTGGATAGCATTGAACAGCTTTACAACTCCTTTTGTTGCGAGCTTATGTAGGAGCTTTTCGTGATTCAGATCTGCATCGTTCGGCATGACATGCTCCTTTGAGAACCACTTCTTCTTGGCTACGCTAAGAGTCTGATTTTCTTTCAGCTCTTTCTCCTCTTTCAATCGTTCCTTCAGCTCTTTGTTCTGCTTCGCTCCAGCAAGGATAGGAGTGATAGAATTGTTCGGGACCTTTTGATTCAAGACGTTCCGCAAAGCCTCCCCGAAGTTTGCTGGGCTTTTTTTGGTCTTCGGTTTCTTCTTGTCTCTGACCTTGTGATCCTCCAGTTCTTGGGGTTCATCTTCCTGCATTGCTCGCTTTCCCTTGCTCTTCTTGGCTACACTCATCTGACAACACCGAAAAAATCAGGACGAGCGTAATGGCTAAAAGAGGAATAGGAAAAACAAAGGAGCCACTATCAGCAATCGAAAATCAAGTCTAGCTCCTGCTTGAATATCCTCGTATCTCTTTTCTCACACAAACTCTATCTTTCCATGATCCTCCCACTGTCCAGCTGGCTGCTGCAGAGTCAACAACTGTATCTATCCCTGGCCATTGCTCCCCTCGACCCCACCATCAGCGTCCTCGATTCCTCTTCCTCTACAATCTATCGTGCTCTTCATCCTCCTCTTCATCTTTGTCTTCTCCTCCCTACTGTTCCTTCTCCTCCCTCCTCTCCCTCGCCTTCTTCTCCCTACTCTCCCATCCTCACCATCTACGGGGTCCTGTGAAATTCCTTTCTGCATAGCTTCACGTGCCCTTCGAGTCTCACCCTCCCTATCTCCAGTTTCAAATATAGTTTCAGATTAATACTTTCATAAATAAAATTTCAAAATTCAGGACCAATCTTTAATCACCCCCCACCCCACCGCCACTGTTTTGATTTACCACCCCATTGTCCATCTATTACTATACATTTCCATGTATCACTCACAGATCGTATCTCCTTGGACCCTCTCTTTGGTAAACGCCAAAGTCGGATCGAGGGGTGGGGTGGTATTGAAACTTGGGGGTGGGGGTATCCATACTAGGGGTGTAAATAATACCCATCATATGTAAATATAGGGGTGGGGTGAATTGAGGAATATTGACGGGTGGTGGACGAATTTTGGGCAGGAAAATCTATTAGTGGAGGTTGGGTGAAAGTAAGGTGGGGTAGTGCAATTACCGGTGTAATGTAAAGGTAAAGTGAATCGAAGAAGGGGGGGTAGGGGTACAAAATGTAGGTGGGGTGGTAAGCTTGTTCTGCTATCCTGCCATGCTGGACGGAATCCTACAAGCAATTACGCCGAAGAGGTGAGGAGGAGGAGGAGGAGGAGGAGGAGGAGTAGGAGGGGAAAGAGGATGATGAGGGGGAGGCGAACTGAGGAAGGAGGAGTGCAGATGATAGAGAGGTGTGAACACGATTATGTAGCACATTGTGAGAAATGAAATGAACCGAGTACAAGGACGTGGCATTGAACAGTACAGGTTACGGAAGGAAAGGTTGGCAGTGTTAAGGAAATGGTGTGGGCGATACACAAAAAAATTAGAATGTACTTGTTCTAATCGATGAGCGATACACCATGACGTGCCATGAGGGTCGTTGTTGGTGAAAACAGAAGTCGTTTTTTTTGCATGAGTCAGCTTTGGAGCGACAGGGATGGGAAGTGAGAGAGGGATTGCGCATTGCATGCGAGCCCAACAAAGCAAGAATCTGAGCATAGGAACGATATGGCATACTCAAAGATTGATTCCGCTGCCTTGCCCCAACCCTGTCGGGGGTCTCATGTAACGGAAGTTTGCTTTGCAGCTGGGCTCGTGTCGACGAGGAGGCAATCAAGCAGAAGAGGGAGGAGTGGCTCTCCCAGATCCCTACGACAGACACTGTAGATGGCGAAGAGGTTGAAGAGAAGATCATTGTTTTCTTCGAAGAAGCCGAGGAGGTCAGGGCTGAGCCGGAGCTTGGAGGATTGGGGCCTGGATTGACTGGCGAATACACTCTGTATAATTTCGGTAGCGCATGTTTGTGGAGGCATGTTTCATGAGCTTGACTCTCATCGGCAGTGGTGGGAAGGAACGAGAAACGATGGAAGATGAAGAAGCGATTCAGGTGGGCAACGGAGGGCCCGCTACCTGCCCTTGGCTGCAGCTGACAGGCTTACCCTCTTCCCAGCCAATTCCATGCGTTCGATTCCCTCTTCACCGATTACCTCAAGTCCTTGGGGGTGGAAGAATCGAGACTGCCTGAGGTGAGGCGGCTCTCCCGGAGATCGGACCGGGCTCGTTCCCTGACGGCTCCCTCCAGTTCCCTGAGAAAAGCTTTTTGGGAAGATGAGCCCTTCGCTCGTCAAGGCTCGGACAGCCGCGCTGCAGGACTACATGAAGATGCTCGTGGAGGAGAAGGACTTCGTCAGGGAGCCAATGCTGAGGGCTTTCCTGAAATTACCGGTTACTGTGTTACCAGGTTCACGAGCAGCTAGACTGAAGTTAAGCGTGCAGATGACACGAGAGGAGGCGACCGCTGTAGAGCAGGCTGCAGTTTCTGGAGATGGTCTGCTGACGGGCTATGGTTCATACAAGAGTCTGTTTCAGAGGACAAGGGAAGAGAAAGCCAGAGGGATCCATCATACGCAGAAGAAGGAACTCTTCGCGGGACCTCCCACGCTTGCAGGAGTGAACGAGGTGTGGATATGAGTGACTGTGAAGCGGGCAAGCAGAAGTCGCTGACGATTCCTCTGAAGGTCGGAGCAGCTTATGCCGAAACTTCGGTGCATGATCAGAAAGGTGAAAAGAAGTTTGTTATTGAGATTCCTCTCCTGCGACAACTTGGGCTCGGAGCAAGGATCAAAGGTAATCGGCATGATTGCAATTGAAAGCTCTGATCTTCAAAATCTAGACATCTACGGTGAGGACGATATCCGTGGACAACACAGCACATATGGCAACAAGATCAAGCGACAAGTGGAGAAGCAGCAGAAGGAAGCTGGAAAGAAAGATGACTTTATCCTAGCTGAGCCTGGAGTCTGAGAACGAGGAAAGTGATCTACAACGAAACCAACCAGGGAAATAGGGTCATCAACGACTAGTCCTTGACGTCGTGTGTTCAGCCGAGATTGTTTATTTCCTTCGACGTTTTGGTGGAAACATCATCCCGATGATACTCCTGTAGAATCCGAACAGCTTGAAAGACATGTCAATAAACAGGATTGAGAATCAACACATTCATCACACCAATGCAAACGTAAAGAGTGCGAGTGCCTGCATTGCCACTTAGTGGAGGTGGTCGAGTCTTGCCACGTAAGCATCCCTTACCTTCTGTCGAGTCGGAGTCATCTTCTCCTCTTCTCTTGGAGGCCCGGGAGTCGGCATGCCTTGCCGTGGAGCGGCACTTCCCGTGTACCTCCTCTGTGTATCATACAAGGCCTTTGACCTGTCGTCCGACAGAACCTCGTAGGCAATGGCGATCTCCTTGAACCTGACGTGATCAGGTGAGGACAAGGGCACAAATGCACAATCGTTTCTGTCACTTCTCGAGTGAAGACTGGTCTTGGGTGACATCCGGGTGAAAGCGCTTTGCTCCTTTGATGAAGGCTTCCCTGATCTCCTTCTGATTTGCCTTGGGCGAGACTCCCAACACTTTGTAATGATCTTGCTCTGTGCTCTTGACCGAATTAGACATCCTTGTGAAAACTTTGCAACACCTATTGCGCATTCCGGCATGTCTCTGAAAGGGCGAAAACCCGTCAACTATCAAGGGCAGGCACCTCTGCGAGATGCTGAACGCTGTCGTTGCTGGAAACAGCAGAGACAAGTGAAGAAACAGCAAAGCATCCAACTTGCTCATCCTCTTGGGATCATGTAGAAGCAGAGAGGTACAAGGTCTTCAAGACTCTAAGGTGAGCATAAGGAGGACCCTTGCTACCTTCCTCCTGTTGCCATGGGCCGGCCCCGTCGGGCAAACCACAAACAAAAAAAGGCTGTAAAGGAAACAAAAACTTGCTGAGGCCCCGCCTCAGTCCGGGATCGGGAAGGGCCCGGCCGGCCGGGGCCGGGCCGACTCTTGCCGGGCCAGGCGCCGCGCAAGCTGCATCCGACAGTGACGACTTACTAGGGCAGCCTGTGATCCAACTTGTAAGCGCATCCGATGATCCGATCCTGGCAGCCTCGGATCGGATCATCGAGGGTTGGTTCTCGACAAGCCTGTGTCTGTTCTCTTTTGGCAAGTCAAGGCGGCCCGGCCCGTCAAGCCTCCCGGTCCTCGATTCTCCTGATTATCCTCGTGACTGACTGATTGGATTGCGGCGTTTGCAACCGATGACTCATGATGAATTGGACTCGGGACTGCCACACTGTGTGATCTACCGGGCCGGCACTGAGCAAGCCACGGATCAAAGTATAAAGGAATTCAAAGAATTTACAATCTTTATTTCTTGATAGAGGATGACTATTTCGGAAAAACCCTCGGAGGGGAGGAAAATTCCCTTCCTGCCATTGAAGTAGCATTGGCGAAGTTGGGGTAACAAAATGTCACATGAGCAGGCCTGAAACATCAGCATTCACGCCTTGGACCTTTTCTGCATACTTTCCAAGGGTATGCGTATTACACTTAGTTAAAGGGACTCTTGAGTTCTGGAAGTAGAAGGAGCAATTTTTGTTTGGAGTTGTTCGACCATGCAGATCAATTCTTGCAGGGTAAAGAGATCTGTCGATGTTACTTATCACGGATAGAGATTGTCCTCTATCAAAATTTTCAACATCGATTGAATACGCTGATGCTGGCCGGGTATTCTTTGCCTTTTCAAGATTTGGTTCAAGCATCGTTTTCGGATGGTAAGGGATGGTGGAGGTGGAGGTTGTTCTATGACCCGTCGCTCTGGACAACAATTTGCAGGAAAATTCTGGTTCTTGTGATCGATTCCGCTTTGTCAAGACGATAGCACAACCATCATCTTCCTCTTCTATCCGATGCAGCGGCGACTCGCTCTCTTCCTGCACCACAAATGATGGTGAGTTTGTTATCAGACTCACTACGCGCACAACGATTCATGTTTCAAGCTTGACACAGAAAAACAACAGAGTTGCGTCTGGCGGTCACATTCTGCACACGGCTGGGCGCAAAATACGTTTACAGCCAAATTCCAACAAACAGGCTCTGCTGCTTTAGAGAGCTATAAGACTCGTTTCAATGCTTGTTCTCAAATCCCATCGTCTCTTGCTCCATCAGGCAGCAACGCTCATCATCTTCCCTCACCTGGTCGTACGATGATATTCTCCCCAACCCCTCCTGCTTCTCGCAGCATACTGATAGCTCTCCCGCCATCTTGGACGCAGGCGCCCCCATTCGGGTAGCAGTGAACCCTCTGGTTTGTTGGGGACCCTAGAAAGAGTTTTATACCGAATTTTTACTACCCCTACCACCCTGACAGTCCGATCGCAGAAACGTACCCCTACCTTTACTCACCTTGGGTACCCTACCCCCTATTTCCGAGTACCTGTGAAAAGAAGTTTGCCTTTCGAAGTACCCAAGTTTCAGCTGCCTACTACTAGCCTAGTAGTACCCCTACCTCCCCTCAAGCCACACCTTAGTGGCCCCCGATAGGCTCACATTGACCCAGCTTTATATGGCAGACCACCCCACCCCCGAAACATGAACGCGAATGTCAGTGGCGTGACCGTCAAAACTCGAGCCCTCCTGGCAATAGTTCCAGTAACGGTCAATCGGACCCCTACCCCCAACCACTACCGTCAACGCATCCCGCAGGACCCCTCGATCTTCACATGCTTCCGTATTCACTATTACCTCCAATAGGACCGGGGCCTATGAAGTCCTACGCCCTCGTTGAGATCCCCTTGTATCTCTTCACACCCCCATTTTTCCTCCAGAGTCCGAATGGCCGGGCAACGGGCCACCCACCCCTTCTAATACCTCACTTTCCTGGTATGTTGATGTGGTGGGGTCATGTCCCGTCCGGGCCGCCCTCGGCTCGGAGTCAATTCCTCCTCCGGGTGCCAGGAGACTGACTTTTATTCAATCTCTGGTCTACCGGCGGTCCGGTACACACTTGCGCACTGAGATGGCGGATGGAGGCGTCAGTATGGATCGGAGCAGCCGCTATATGTCTGTTGACAGTGATATGGTACATGCGGAGGAGAGGTGAAAGTGCTGCAGAAGAAAGGACATCGCGGTTCCATGCCTCCTTGAAACGTGTTAGAATGCTGCAGCAACTGGACCTGTATAAGGCAAACAGGAAGCGGTTTGACAGTCCGGTGTAATGGCCTTGCTAAGTTTGACCATATGTAGAGGCCATGATCAGATCTGAAAGAGGTCACAAAAAGAAAGTGAATTAGGCAAAGGGGAAACTGCCATTATAGGATAGGATTTTCCACCGAAGAATCGTTGATACCGGCCATGAATTGCTGAAGACCAGCACCTGAGATCGTTGATAGCGTTGATTTATTCTTCTTCATCAGATAAAGCTACATGTCATGAATTGGGTGATCGCTATTTGAGACTTAGAGGGGTGGAGAGCATATGTGTGTACTACATGAGTCAAGAAGTACCACTGCTTCGCCGACTGTCCATGCTCGATCGAGCAAAGACGTGTTTTCGGCCTGGGCAGTATACCCTGTAGCACAAAACAGATTCTCTGATCGTGCAAAGATGTTCTCATCATGCAGACATGGTAGAGGTCATGTTCTTCACTCAATCTTTTGATTCATCTCGCATTGAAGAATGCGTACAAGGGGGTTTACGATACACGTTCCGCAGCTTCTTGAAGGAGCTCTGCACTTAGGCCGCCAAAGAAACCAATTCGACGTAGAAGACCAGCACCTGCGACAAAATCAAGTCAATGGACCAGCCACATCCACGTGTTGAAGAGAAAAAAGGAGGCAAGCACGTCGATAAGAGAAGTGATCGTCCAGTGATGATGATGAGAGCGAAGTGATTATGAGAGCGAGACATCTCGATCAAGTTACCGAGTTGGGAGGAATCAAGCCGTTGGCAACGTTGCGCTTCCCGTAAGCAAGCTCGGAGGGGATCAAAAGGATCCTCTTGCCGCCAACCTTCATGGACAAGAGTCCCTCGTCCCATCCCTTGATCACCTGGCCGACACCAACATTGAACGGCAGGGGCTGACCGCGGTCATAGCTGGAGTCAAACTTATTTCCGTTTGAAAGCAGATATCCCGAGTCTGCGATGAGACAGGATGACGTCAGACTACGACCCGATGCCCTGCAATCGCGTACAGTGCGCCTTGATCTTCTGACCAGCGTTGGGCTGAGGACCCTGTCCGACCTCGATGTCCTTGTACTTGAGACCAGAGGGAGTCTGAGAAAATCCCTCGAACTCGCTGTCGGAGAATCTGAGCCAGCATCTGAGTTAGGAGAGGGAAAGGAGCAATGCGCAAACATTCATGTCCTTACGGTCCACTGTGCTTTGCCCAGTCTCCCTTGCCAGCAGCAAAGGCATCGGATGCAAAGCCAGCAGCAAACACGGTGGAAACTCCGTTCCTGAGCATAGCTCTGCGATCCAGGACATCGCCGTTCCCTGCGGAAGGAGACTGCATCCTCGATGCGGCCACCGCGCATCTGGAAGTTACCTCTGTCAGCGTTCACGCCCCCATCCACAATGCTTGTGAACACACGTCTGACGAGAGATGGAAGAGAGCTGGCGGATGGAAGACAAGGACGAGGGAGGAACGGGCGAGAAGGCGCAGACGGTGCTGAGCGCCATGGCGCAGAACGCTGGGATCTTGGTGAGCATGGCCTCTGTCCCTTAGGCGTATTTCCGTTTTTACTCATTTTATTGGGATCTCTGACTCAGTGACAGTGGCCGGCAGTGGAACGGCGGCTCAGTGCGGCCGGGCCGCGCTCGCCGACGGTCGGACTATGCGGAACCCGCCGGGCCCGGGCCCTGGCGATCCGACCGGCGTGGCATCGTGAGACCAAGCGCCATTATGACCATGACTAGACTGCCTCAGCGTCCCCACTTCGGAACGGTCACTGCTGCGGTCTGTGCTATACTCTACTGACGTAGTACCGTCCGATTTTACTGATCAGGCCCTAGTAAGTGACAGTATCGTTTAGCTGGCAGTGCATCTTCACTTGTCGAACTTGTTCCCTGTGATCTCGAAGCCATAGTTGAGGAGAAGCTCTTGATTACCCAAGTTGCCGTAGCAGATCGTTATCTGCTCAGAAGCCGACAAATCTCGCTGGGCGACCAACTCAGCACTTGGAGACGAACTTCCGCTCCTCCTTATCTGCGCATTTGGCTCGAAATCGTGGTTGGCAAAGTCCACGAAGGGAAGGAGCAGGCCATCTCGCTTTTTGTCCAGCCTCACAGACCGGGAAGTTGCTATGCCGTATGCCCATGCCAACCTCCGCACACTGAGACCTTCCAAGCACGCGTGAGCGTTGGCGAGAGAGCTCGATACGGTTTTCAGCAGCGCCGCACGTCCAACGACTTCAGATGAGATTCCGGGGTAGGTTTCCTCCTTTTCCTTCAGAGCCGCTCCCTTGTAGAAGATAGGCAGGTTGTTCAAGGTCTGCGGCAAGCTTTCAAGGTAAGGTCCCCACTGCTGGCCCTCTGCTGCGCTCGCAGACGATGCTACGCTTAGGAGTGCCTGAGAACGAGATCAACAATGCTGTTGAGATGCGAGGAAGTAAAAAGAGGAAAGAACAAGAAAGCAGAAGACAAGAGATGTGAAGATTCTCACCAGTGCAAGCTTGACATCCCATTTCTCAGCAGGAACTTCTTTGTCTATCAGAGTGTTGAGATCCTTTCCGACGACTTTCTCGTAGCTCAGGTGAAGCTTGGGCGGAATCGACACCATTACTTCTCCTCTCCTCACACTCTTCCCTTCCTTGACAAAGAGGCCGACTCCTTGCATGTCTCCAGCTTGCTTGGCACACACAGAGGGATGGATGGAACCTCCGTTGGAAGAAATCCAGGTCTGCAATGCCGGAATGGAGTTTGGAACCATTGCGCCTGAAGTGCACATCATGGCGAACAGAGCAGCTGTTGTGATTGTTGACTTCATCGTCAAGATCGTGGTCGTGCACTATTTCGCAAAACTTGGAATGTTGTAGGAGAGAGGATACAGGTACGAAGGGAAGAAGGGGTAGGAGATTGGAGATTCAGAAGAGGGAGAGGAGAAGGATGAGGAGGGAGAGGAGGAGGGAGAGGAGGAGGGAGAGGAGGAGGGAGAGGAGGAGGAGGAGGCAAAGAGGGAGTGAGGAGGGAGGTGAGGAGGGAGTGAGGATGGAGAGGAGGAGGGAGAGGAGAAAGGGGCAAGGACTGGCGATCCTCAGTTCGCGGCCTCGTATCTACTCGGTCAGAGGGGGTAAAAGAGGGTATTTGCCCTCATCCCTCCTCGTGACCTTTCAAACGGCTTGTCAAACTGCTTGTCCGACGGTCAAACAACTGTCATCATCAGGCTCTCCGACAGGCCCGATGGCGAAGGAGCTGCGATGGCGGGAGGCTGAGAATCTCTGCGGTGAGATGAGGGACATGGCGATCATTCTTGAAGCAGATGTTAGTCTAGCGCTTGTTAGTACTACTTATCAGTACTTTCCGGTTAGTCCGATCGATGGTTCAGGTGCAGTGTAAGACAAGTAGAAACTGCCTTGCGGTGGATCTGAAACACCCAGTCATCGTCGGATCCTGTTAGTCAACTCGTGACTTCCATGCCGTACACGAACTTGAACCATTCAAAATGGATGTGCCGGGTTTGATTGTCCGCTGATCAGGAAAGGGAGGGTTGGTCAAGACAATTGCCCCTTTGAAGAGCGAAGATGCAACAACATCAACATCGAAACCTGAGAAAACTCCTGAGAGTCCAGTTGTGAAGCTATTCAAGGTGAAACTCCGCCTTGAAGCTTGGATTTCCGAACATATCTCCCCCCTGCCTTTGCCGCTCTGGTCATACGATAAACTCATGTGTTCTGATAGATTGGGAGGGGTTCAAGTTTCTTCGGGTTTGATGCCATCGATGACTCAGGTCTGTTCGAGAGGAGGGAGGTAGGTGTGTGACGTTCTTGTTCAGTCCCGTGTGGACGGGAGGCTGTCTTGGAGTTTCAGGTGGAGCCGACCTGGAGTTCGTTCACCGTAATGGTTGAAGGGACCTGCGGTTCAGTCAGCTTGACCAGAGAGTCGGATGAGGAGGAAGAGGAGGAAGAGGAGGAAGAGGAGGAAGAGGAGAGGGGGTCGTCCAAGGATACTGAGGAGCAGGAGGAGAGGGAGTCGTTGGCGAGGGAGTGCGAACAACTCAGGTTACGATGGATCGAGGAGAACGGTGCCGCCACAGACCTTGAAGTGAACGTGAAGATGGTGAGATGGGAGCAGGAACTTGCCGTCCGACAGGCTCTCACTAGCTGCACAGGGCTCGTTCGAGGCAAGGGAGAAGAGCCTTGAAACGTTTTCTCGACTGTCTGAGCTAGTGGGCATCTTTCCTTTCTCCCTCCAGCTCCCGCTCCATGCTCTCTTCACAAGGCACCACGTCGAGGTGGAGTCTACCCGCGTCAGGTAAGTGATGCCGGAGAGGACAGGACAGGACAGGACAGGACAGGACAGGACAGGACAGGACAGGACAGGACAGGACAGGACAGGACAGGACAGGACAGGACAGGACAGGACAGGACAGGACAGGACAGGACAGGACAGGACAGGACAGGACAGGACAGGATGTATGGGAAGAGGAGAGGTGAGGGGAAAAGAAAGGAAGGCAAGGGGATGGCTACCACGCGGACAGAGAGAACGGAGGGCAGAGGAGCAGGAGCAGAAGGGAAGTGCTAATGAAAGAAGGGGGGGGGGGGGGGGGGGGGGGAAAAAGACCAGGCCCAAAACCCAAACCCGGGCCAGGGCCAGGACCAAGGGGGTTAAAGGGAGAAAGAAGGATTTGCAAAAATTTGCAAAGGACCCGGGCCGGGGGGGCTGAATTTTGGG